TCACGGAAAGGAGCGAGTGGTGACGAATGCCCAGAACCCCAGGAAATCCAAAGGACGAAGAGATATAAGCCTTACAATGCAAAGGTAAAGATGTGGCTGTACGGAGGCATGTGCAATCTCAGCTATAGACAAACACATATAGACAGATACCTGCTCCAAATGCGACAGACTTAACTTCTCCCCCAATGAACCTTTGTCAACAGGACAAACTGAAAAGGCTGCTTGCGTCTAAAGTGAGAAAGGGAAATTCACCATTGAAAGGCTGAACGTGCTCAAGAGAGTCTTGTCACCTCAACTACGTCGGATGAAGAAACAGATGCATATTCCTTTCAGTTTCAGAAACATCTTCCTCTTCCGTGCATTTCAAGCAGCAACATGTTATATTCTAGGATGCCGTAGGTGTACAATATTTGGATCGCAAGGGGATGGAATAATGCATTTGTAGAGTGAAACAAGTGCCAAAGGCGGTTCATCAGAGGTGTGTTCTTGTCTGAAAGAATCAGTTAACGTAGACATTCAACTGCAGGGCTCCTCACCGATGGTGTGAAGGTCCGAACAAGAACCTACCTCTCGAATGATGGGGATTTTGCTCTAATTGAAAAGCTCATTGTTGACTTATTTATATATGTATTTATTTATTCATAAGAATATTGACTTCAATATTGGGATGGAGGTGTGGGTGTGTGTGTGTGTGTGTGTGTGGGGGGGGGGGGGGGGGGGGGGGGGGGCAATTAAGTAACACCCCATCACCATGACTGAAATTTCATTCATCTTGTCCTGCAATAACTTCAATTTACTCTGGCAATTTCAGTTGCCATCAGACGTTTACTTCGACAAATAGTCCAGTTAATTTAAGTCCGATTGGCCATTAAGTCACTGTCATTCAAATTCTTAATTTGTCATCTAACCATGTGACCTTCGACTAACAGATCATTAATGCCTTCATCCCACTCCTTCTCAGTGTGAAAGCATTAAGTCCTGACAATATTTCTGATAGCTGATGTAACTTCTCCAATGTGATGAGCATCAGATTTGGATCTACTTCAAGCAACCCTGACGTGAAATTAGACCAACTATTTAAAATGTTTGATCAAAGCCTTGACAATAGCCGCGCAGTAATGTTCCTCAAATGAGTTGTTTCTGGAAATCTGGTTGAAGCAAATATCATTGTCAATAAATACTAATTCTCAGAATTCGTTTTAGGCAAGGGACTAGACTAACGTTTAGTCTCTGAAATCTTATATTACACAAATCCTTCTTGACTCTAAAAATAAAAAAAATTCCCTGTGCTTTGAAATAGAGCTAGCTCGGGCTGGCTAGACTTGCTTTTGTATGCGTTTCTAGAGATTATCATTTTTTTCATAAAATAAATATATTCCACGGTCATGGTGCAGGACTAGCAAGGGACCAACACATTCAGTAATGACCTGACTGCATCACTCTTCAAACGCTCGCATGGGCTTTTTCTGATTACGCATTTTTACCACCTGTCGTTACTGCTTGTTGGGCGTCAAGCGGGACCCTACTACAGTTACCTAAACGCATTGTCGTCCCTTGTCATCATGGTCAGTTAAGCCATGACTTGGCAGCTCGTCAGTATCAGCTCATCCCAGTCAAGGAGTGATTCGTCTAACGACGCTTACTCCGGATTGTCCAGCTTTTACTCACATTAGTTTTACTTATTCTCAGTCCATTTATCAATACACGACAGGATCAGACCGGCCAGGCTCGTCACTAAATGGGGACTTAAAACTTAAAACGATCGGGGTCGACTCGATCGACAGGAAACCGCGCTCTCCTCTCCTAATGTTGACGGTATCATTTACAGTGTTCGGGCCTGTCTTTGTCACATGTCCTCACAGATCATTTTAGTTGGTTAAGAACAATATCAGACCATGAACTCGTGTTTGTGTCGTGATCAGCAAATTACCGGAACCTACTAACTGATTAAAGATGTCTATTGATTAATTGGCGACAACACCACCGAAGCTATCCCGAAATATCCCGTCACTGTCATCGCCCTATTGATTTCCTACTTGTTTGGCCCTCACTTCGACTTTCTGTCTCCGTCGTTTTTAAAGCTATGACCATTAGTTTAAAGATTGACTTTGTTATAATTTCTAACGTTTTCGGGATGCATTTTACCTTATAACATCTAGGTCGGGTCTTATATGTTACAATACAATTACAATAAACACAATAGAAGTAAAACAGGATCGATCATTCCATATATTACATTTCATACATTGTGAAACCTAGTAACTATCTGACCGTATTCATCTCGAATCTTTACCCGCTAATAGTAACTGACTGTATCTTAGAAGCATGATAACAATTGTCACAAGTAGGTGATATATAATGTCACACTAGAAACCGTGCGAGTAAGCAACATTCAACAATAGTATAATTCTGTACCAACATGTATCATCACAGCATTATTCATTGTCTCGTCATTGTATTTCACGTCACATGACTGTATGTCATTTCACATGGCTGTATTTCGATTCTCATCATTGTATTTTGCTTCATTGTATTTGTAACCATATCATATAACCATGCCACCCGTACTCATTTGTATTCTCGTATATACACAAAGCGGCCTGCGAAATAAATGTGCGGCCATAACCCGTGAACATGATTTGTATTCTCCATTGTCAACTAACACATAACTGTAAATAATCCGAGTGTTCGGAGTATTCAAAACACAACGTTTGACAATAACAATACACATTCTCAACATGTATGCACGATTGTATTTTCCTATAACCTTGCGACAATTGAATCATCTAACAATGTAATAACGATCTATAGCATGTGCTAGCTCCAGGCATATAGCATCATGTAATTCTAAACCTGAAATAAAACACATGTAAAAATCAATATTAGAGTGCGCCTCTCCAATACGAAATTTGCAGTGCTGTAACTGAAAAGAGACGAAATATAACAACTAATCTGAATATGTGAAATACATATATCGAGATTTCTATCGCTTGGGCTTCTATTTCAATGACTTCTGTATCCTGTAATCGCGAATCAATCCTTGGGGGATATCAGATTCGGGTTCCCATTGAGCCCTTGTAAAGTGACATTTTCCCAGTGATTATTGTAGTTTTTCTCTCCATTGACTATTTCATGCGCTAGAATTCGTTTAACTATGAAAACGTCGTCCTTCTGTAAATCAAAGGTGGGATTCTGTGCCTGCGTGGAGGTTAATTTCTCTGTCATATCCGTCTCTGTATCAGGTTCATAAAGTTGAGACGAAGCAATTAGATTATCCGGAGCAACAAGTGGGAATACATTAATTAGCCTATCTTTTGGGTAGACACACTTTTAAAGCCGGTTAGTGTGGACAAAAACCTTAAGTATTAAGTGATTAGTACAACGACATAGTTTGTAGGTACAATGTTGAAATTCACTTGAATCGTTCTATTGCCTTTGTGCTATCGAATAACATCTATGGGGTCTGAGATTAAGAGGGTCACTAACTGTATTACTATAACTGTAACTATCTATCATACAACTGTTACTATATCTGGTGCAGTCAAAATCGTTATCTTGTCATTGTCGTCAGCCGACTTGGCGAGATCATTGCCTGCGCAATTTTTGCCCTACTGTGAAGCAGCCTGCGCAGTTTTTGCCCAAATGTGAAGCAACCTGTTGTTTTTATTGGGGAGGAATTGTAATATTTGACAGCCAGAGAACAGGAATTTGTTCTGGCTCTGTGGTCACTGTTTGTTGACCAGCAACAGGTGGTAACAAAATACCATTTACCCAGATAGGAACAACTGTTGAACCATTTTGAACAGTCAAAATATAAGAATAATAATTCATGACAGCGCTTTGCTGTAGCAGGAAATCTAAGCCTAAAATAAGAGACGCTAAGTCGGCAACAACTTGAAAACGTTGTTCTATGTAAATGTCACCAATAATGGGAGGTCAAACATCTGACTTTTGAAAAATGATGTCTTTCGACAGACCTGAGTCTTTGAAAACTTCAAGACTGACAAAATAAGTATGGTCAAAAGTCGATTATTTACAGACTGCCGTCATATAGCTGGAATATTGCTGAGGGTGGCGTTACACAACAAACAAACAAAAAATACTAGGATTTAAACCTGTCTGAACAAAAGTAGTCAATCTTTGCTAAGCTTGCCCAGTGGTAAAAGCGTTCGCTCTCATGCTGAAAACCCGGATTCAGTTCCCCACATGGTAGAAAGCGTCAAGCCCGTTGGCCCCGCCATGATATTGCTCGAATTTGCTAAAAGCGGCGTAAAACCATACGCACTCACCCCCAAAAGGTTCTAAGTCACCTAACCTGACCACCCGATTCACTTACGATTGCCATTGACGACCAGCATAGGTTGCTGTGAACCTGTTCTAACCCGGAACCTCCAGGGGGCCGTTGTGTAGTGTTGAGCTTTATAACAGACAGGGTTCTTTCCCTATGGGTACAAGCAACATATGGCATATAGTGTTAAAACTTGGTTACCTAGATTACACCTACTCTAAGACATTGTTCGAAGTATTTTATGTCTTTGTTTAACGAAATTTTTGTTGTAAGTTTGGAACAGTTTTAGATTAAAGCTTCCAGGTGCGATTGAAAACCAGTTTAATAATCTTTGCATTATGCTTTTTATTTAAGAAATGTATTTCATGTTTGTAGTTCAAAAACGATACCGAAAAATAAGCCATTTGGACCTTTGAAAGATAGTGTGGTGAAAAAGTCGGATGGCATCTCTGTTACACACTAAATAGTATGAACATATTCTCATATAATCTAAAAGTCATTAAAATACTATTCCCGTGGCATATTTTGTAGAGATATATGGCGACGACGATATGCTTGATTGAGGTTTATGTGAGTGAGAATATTGATTTGACAGACTAAGTAACTACAAGTATTCACTGCAACATAATGAAACGTATTCCTATACAGCAGGGCCGGCGTGTTTACACTTAGCCACAACCGGGCACTGTGGTTGCTTGCCGGGCCGTGAACAGCTGTTGCTAAGGACGCTACAATGGCGAGCACATGTACCCGGAAGTATAGGGAGCCCGCTCTGTGACGGACATACCAAGGCTCGGAATCACACACTGGACGTTACTCGGTGAATAAGTTTAGTTCCTAAATCCATGGGTTGTGGCAGCAGCCAAAGTGGCCACACAGAGCCGAGCCATGCATCTCCACACCAACCGCAGCCATATTCACGCAGGTAGGCTAAATATGAGATGAATGTTAATAAGCCATTTTTTTCAGTTCATACAGTTTAATGCTATTTGGTAGTACTGCTGCATACATATTGTATTGTACTGGCTTAGAATTATGAATGAACTACAACTGAGTTCATGTCATTCATTATAATATTGCTTCTGAAATGGATGTTATGTTCACGAAGGGAGATAACTCCCTATGTGTTATGTCTGTGCACACTATAAAGAAGCGGTTGTAAAATGTAAATAAATCTAGATCGCGAAGACGGATGTTGTCTCTGCAACACCTAAACCACGCAAGCTTGAGTTTTCCTTACTGTCACACTTCGATTCGGAAGTTTGTTTGGGGTTCGAGTCCAATCTTCTTTACAATTTGTGACCAATTTGAAATCCCACGCGGTGATATTTCGAGGTTATGCCAGGGCAATTTTCATGCCATACCCGATGACAACGCGAGACGAGCCGTGAAGATCCGGGGTAGAATAGGTCTTCAGCAACCCATACTTGCCGTAACAGGAGACTAACGGGATCAGGTGGTTAGACTCGCTGACTTGGTTGATGCATCGTATCCCAATTGCGTGGATCGATGCTCATGATGTCAATCACTTGATTGTCTGGTCCAGACTCCATTAGTTACAGACCGCCGTCATATAGCTGGAATAGTGCTGAGTGCGGCGTTAAACAACAAACAAACAAAGAACGCGAGACACCCATATTAGTCCGGGGCCGAAGGTCAGAGGGTTCATATGGGGGTCGAGGGTTGATATTGGGTATGATATGAAAACTGCCACATACTAACCTTGTTAATTTTTAGCATATACCACAATATCAAATTAAATTGTAAAATGTATCTATTTGCAAGTGACTGCAATACATGTTCACTTTGTTTGGAAGACATTCATGAGAAAGCTTCCCCAGCAGACGAGCAGACGACGCACTAAGGGACGTAACTCTTACCACCCATACTGATATTGATCGCCCATTGAAAATGAAATGACAAGCTATATCAGCCCGGCAGAGGGTGTAATACGGATGTGTTTATTACACCCCCTGTGATGTGACCGTCTCCAAGTTGGTTCTATCGCACATGCAAAATGCCTCACATCATTGATAGGTATATATGATAATGAAGTAATATTTGCTACGTGTAGTCCACAACCTGTTTTACGCAATGTGTCTCTCGCGACGCAACAGGCCGCGTTGAAGGGATACTGGTATTGTTTCAGGGTGACAAAACGTATTAATTCCTTCGAGGTACTAAATCTATCTTATCTTACCTTATCTTAATGTCATGTATAATTTGTCACACAAAAAATACGGACGAGGTACGATACGGGCCACTTAAAATATGAAACTTAGAAGATACGGAAATTGCTGTTAAATTAGTATTAAAAATATCAGCCTTCAAATGGTAGACCACTAGCCTAGTTCTCTTTCTTACCCTTGCAAATGCTGGACTTCTGGCAGGGTCAAGTACAGAAGAATGGGTAAACAAAAAGATAATCATCTAAATCACCCAGCCCGTTTAAATATATACATATGTTTACAAGTATACCAAACATCGTGCTACGTCATGATGGAATTCACTATTCCATCGGTGTAATGACGACAATTTATTACTAATATGCAGCGAGGCTTAAAAAACAGGAACGCTCAAAGTAGCACAATTATTTTCTTCGTACATGTTGACACAAAAGATGGGAGGAAAAGCAGGAGTGGGTGAGTGTTGTTTTATGCCGCTTTTAGTAATATTCCAACGATATCATAGCGGGGGCACCAGAAATGGGCTTCACATATTTTACCGAACGAACCCGGGCTTTCGGCGTGACAAGTGAACGCTTTAACCACCAGGCTACCCACAAGCACGGATATTGTGTTGTGAATTGAAGATCATAGTCGAGATGAATGTTGACTTGTTACGCTAATAGGCAACAAACCTTTATCGAATAATGAAGGATGTCTTATACATAATATCAAAAGTATTTGAAACACTTTACTTATTTCTCCTGTTTTCAACAGCGAAGAAAATCAGCATACACACCTGCCTACACAGAAGACAGTTCCGATACATGTGTCAAATGACAATACACCTGACGGAGCCCAAGAGGACAGAAAGGGAGATCCGAAAGAGGAGGAGCCGAAAAGAGACATATCGACAGGTGAGGATACGAAGCACCGCGAAGAAAGCCCGAATGAAGATGGACCGACAACCAATACAGCACCTAAAGACGCAGATCCAACTGAGGTTGATGACGGTCTAGTAACTGAATCCGATATGCGCGGACAGGAAGAGGAGACTCGGTCCAATGATCGTTGTGAGACGAATCAAGAACCACCTGTCATGCCTGAGCCTCTCAACGAAGAACCTGTCCAACAGGAAAAGAGTGATGGTTCGGAAATTCCGGAAAATTACCCTCAGCCTGCAGCCCAGGAGCAAGGTCAAAATGATCAAGAGGTTCTGGATGGTTCTGAGAATACAGACATAAATCAGGCGTGTAGTGAAACCCTTAGGGAACCAGGATCATTAAATGTGCATGATGGCTGCACCCCTGTTTCGATAGAAACTATAGACAACCCTAAAAACGACAACGCTGACAGGTTTGATGAAAGAGCTACAGCGGAACTCCAGGAAAGGACTGTGTCTATGGAGGCTGTAAAGCAGGGTCTACTCTATGGGGATGCAAGCGTTCAGTGCCCAAAGACAGCTAAGATAGTTAGGATCTTCCTCAGCAGTACATTCACAGGTGAGAAACTTGTAGTTTTGTGTTTGAGTGTGTGTGCGTGTGGTCGTGGTTATAGCTCATGTGAAGCCCTTGGTGTTAGCACCCGTGAAGATCAGGGTCAGGTCTTCAGCAACCCATGCTCGCCGTAAAAGCCGACAATGCTTGTCGTAAGTGGCGACTAACGGGATCGGGGTCAGGCTTGCTGACTTGATTGATGCATGTCATCGTATCCCATCTGATTGGATCGATGCTCACGATATCAATCACTTGATTGTATGGTCCAGACTCGATTATTTACAGACCGCCGTCATGTAGTTGGAATATTGCTGAATGAGCAAAAACGTTGTTGTTCATGAGTGTGTGTGTTTGGTTTAGCCGCTTTGAACAATATTTCATTTATATCAGGGTGTCAGTTTAATGTGGGAGAAAATCCCGGAGTAAACATTTTTCACCTCGTGGAACCAACGAGAACGCGTGTGATGTTGACAAACCTAGAAACGTACTCACGCACACCTAGGGGACGCAACTTTGCACGAATTGCGGCGCCTAAGACGACATAGCACAAAAATGAAAAACTAAGAGGTGTGGTTTTACCAGATACCATACAGGAGAGGAACCACCTACTGGAGAGGAGTTACCCCCACCTGAAGGCCGTGTGTAAGAAGAAGGGGTACGAGTTTCAGCTGGTGGACATGAGGTGGGGGGTTGGGCAAGGAATAGCCAATGATCACATGACCAGTGACATGTGCTTCCGGGAGATCAAACTGTGTCAGCAGCTCTCGACAGGGCCTAACTTCGTGGTGAGTTGTCGTCGGCTTTTTCGCCCATCTACTGTACTCATATTCCATGGGCTGTCTCCAAAGTAAGTGAGAAGGGAATTGCTTAGGCCATAACAAATTGTTTGTTTTGTCAATGAAGCTTTGTCTTCTTATACCGTGAGGCTAAGTAAGGAAAGTTTTTCCCTTAAAAGGCTGCACAAATCTGTATTTCGAATATTTTGTTGTATATTAGTTGTAGTTTTAATGGTCTCAAGCAATAAAGTATTGAGCTTTTAAAGTGTTATTTCGTATTGTTTTATACAAAAAGGTAAACTACATTTTTTTAATATATCAATTGGTTTCTTTCATTTTGACTGCAAAATATAAAGATTATTGTGGTTAAAATATGTTTATTTCATATCAATTAAATGTAATTCATTGAATGTTTACTGAGTAAAAATGGAACCGGGATTAGAAAGTTAAAGTCAAAATATGTTACTTCAGAAGTGACGAAATACTTCCAAACGAGTATAGGGACAGCAATTTTGAAATCGTCATACTCGAAAGTACTTAAAACTTAAATAACAGAATTATAATTATGTTATTTTATGCAAACACTTTGTTATCAACATCCCTTAAACATGATAAAATGCCAGTGGTTATATATTACTGAGTTAGATTTTGTATTTTTTTCTTTCTGAGCTGGAACAGAGAGTTCGTTATAGCCAACCATGTTTGCAAAGTTGGGCAATGCCCAAATTTACAAGCAAAATGACTAACAAATACCGACCATGTGAAACCTGTGTTGCAGACACTGTTATCTCACAAATATGGCTACTACGCATATCCACGCCAGATCGAGGCTAAGCTCTACAGACAGCTCATGGCGACTGTGACGTCAGCGGAGGACAAGACGCTGATGGAGAAGCAAGTATAGTTAATGAAATGCCTACATGCACAAAGCGATCTTAGTCTTAAGACGAGTGTAAATCTTAACGGAGACTCGTTTTTGTATTTAGTTTGTTGTTTAACGCCACATTCAGCAATAGTCAGACGACAGACTGTAAATAATCGAGTCTGGGCCAGGCAATCCAGGACGCCAGAGGTGCCTTGATCCGAGCTTCTCGTGATTCAAAAAAGTATTAAATCATAATGTGATAAATATAGATTATTATACAAGCATACTGAAACGACTGTCAGAATTGTTGTATTTCCCGAGTCCAGTTATGACGTCCTTTCTAGTGTGACATTTTATGTGAGTAGTGGACTGGTTGAGTTATTGATCCAGGGCGCAGTAACTTGACAATTTTGCGTGTCTACTTTCAGGGTCCACTAGTATTTTGGTTCGAATTCCACAATTCGTCCATATTTTGACCCCTGACATGTTAGCGCCATTTCAATTCACCTGGGTTTCTACCTTTGGGGTTTCTTCCGACATTAAACTGACACACCAGTAATCAAAACTCCACTCCTCACTGACTGTTCCAAGTGTGAGGGTGGCCCAGGCGCGGCAGTTCGCTGTGGATAGTTGCGTCTTTTAGGCTCGCCAGAAACCTTATTATCGTGGCTTCGAATCCCAGATTTGCTTAGATGTCTAGGTTTGTCAGTAAGCCATGCTCGTACGTTTCACCAATGTGGTAAACGTGTAAGACCTGCATAACATCTGGCTTTCCTCCCACATCTGGTGACGTGCTGTGATATAATGGACTTCTGTTCAAAGTGGCGTTAAACTCAACTCACTCACTCACTCACTCTTTCAGGTGGTTCATTGAAGACACCAACGCCGACCCGCCGCAGTTTATACTATTGCCAGTTAGTACACACTACCCTCAGTTTATGTCCCCTGACTTTGAAGTCTACAACCAGGTCCGGAAACTGTGGGGCAATGACTGTAACGGAATCATTAACACTCTCATAGCTGCTGCCAAGGAGGTGTTTGATGAGGAAGACGCTTCACGCTTCATACTAGGGGGTAAATGTTTTTTATCTTATAATAAATAGTATTACCGATGCAAAAAAACAATATTACAAAATTTACCTTGTATCACAGTTAAAATGCAAATGGCAGCCTGGCAGGATTTTTTTTATTTGGCTTAATAGTATTAATACATCGATGCAATGTCTGCTTGTGCATGACGTTGTTGTTCAAACTGTAAACATGGATACAAATTATTTATCGTCAGTGATAATTGGGGCGTTAACACTTGCATTGTATTCATACGCGGTGAGTAACGTTACAACAGTGAGAACAATTGCCATGGTTACATTTTAAACATTGATTATTTTAAGAATGATCATGTGACGTTGATCATTACCATTGTTTCGTTGATATTATAAATGAGGAATACATTCACACAATGTAATTTACATTCCTGATACAGCAAACTCTTACTTATCTATATCATTATATTAACCCGGATGTATCAAATTCATGGTTGTCTCGAACTCAATTTATAGTACCAAGTGTTAAACGTAAGGTAAAAGTCGATTGTTTTAAACCACAACTGAGCACTAGTTAGAATTGGCCTAAACGCCACAGTTGCTTAAACATCGATGTGACAACTGCTTCTGTTTTAGTGATTCGTACAAATGCTATGTACATAACATTCGCGATGTGGAACGTTTGCTGTCTGTTGCCTGATGGCAAGATCAGACGGTAATAAGGTCGGGTCGGATGTGTCGATGTTGGTTCGAGCCAAGAAGGTTCGACACTATGTCATATTAAAGATACGGAAACACGCGCTTGGCTTATGGTCTCTGTACGTACACATGGGAGGACACATCTAAGAATTAGAAACCTCCTTGTCATGATCAGGGGTCACCTTGCTGCAGCAGTCTTGGGTCGAATGCTGGAGCTTTACGGGTTATGGGCATTGGTTAATCAGGATCACAGTCTGGTTGTAAACGTCAGCGGCCTCTTTTAGTTTAACTTTCAGGCCATGATATAAATGTAGTAATGTTTCTAAGTGGCGTTAATCCCATCATAAATACTTGTCGTAAGAGGCGACTAACGGGATCGGGTGGTCAGGCTCGCTGACTTGGCCGATGCATGTCATCGATCCCAATTGCGTGGATCGATGATCATGATATCAATCACTGGATTGTCTGGTCCAGAATCGATCATATACAGACCGCCATCATATAGCTGGAATATTGCTGAGTGCGGCGTTAAACAACAAACTAACCAACCAACCATCACAAACACCACTATACGGCTTACACTGTAATTGGTGATGCCTTCCACAATGGGAATCTAGGATTCCAACCTACGATCCTGGCACAACTAAGTGAAACATCTCGGCACAGAAAATGCCAGCACTTTTAATTACGAGGAATGACACTGACGTATATGCAATACGTGTTTCTTGGTTTCAGTTACAGAAAGAGAGATTGAGGAGGGTATACTGAAGAACCCTGGGAATGATACGTGTTTTTGGTTAAAACGGGAAATTCGGGATCTGGATCTCGAGTATAAAAGTATATCCAAATATAAAGGTAACTCATTGTTCTCTTTGACTCATTGCTTATTCCTTGGATAAATTCAGAAAGAAATTGATCAGAAAAATACCATTAATTGTCACCTTTGATGATGATCAGATGGGCAGGCTCTTGTGACTTGGTCGATATCGATCACTAGATTGTCTGGTCCAGACTCGAGTATATACAGGGTGACGTCATATAGCTTATAACATGGCTGTGTGTGGCTTTAGACATATATCATATCACTGTTCTTTCTATTTCCGAATCTAAGCAATATTATATTAACATGATAGCACTTTGTTTTAATGATAGGGAGGTAAGTGTTCTTCTCGTTAAATACACTGCTGTGGTTTTATTTATCTGTGCCATGATGCAGACACTTTGGGTGATGATGACTGGGCTTTGCGGAACGCTCGGCTCTTCAACAACCTTGAGACGCAGCTGAAGGCTACACTCCCTGCGTCCAGTGTGGAGAAGATTTCAGTGGACTGGTCAGATAATGGTAGGTGTTACTCGGGACACTACCTGCGTCCAGTATAGAGGAAACACAGGTGGACGGGTCAGATAATGGTAGGTGTTACTCGGGACGCTACCTGCGTCCAGTATAGCGGAGACACAGGTGGACGGGTCAGATAATGGTAGGTGTTACTGGGGACGCTACCTGCGTCTAGTATAGCGGAGACACAGGTGGACGGGTCAGATAATGGTATGTGTTACTCGGGACACTACCTGCGTCCAGTATAGAGGAGACACAGGTGGACGGGTCAGATAATGGTAGGTGTTACTCGGGACACTACCTGCGTCCAGTATAGAGGAGACACAGGTGGACGGGTCAGATAATGGTAGGTGTTACTCGGGACACTACCTGCGTCCAGTATAGAGGAGACACAGGTGGACGGGTCAGATAATGGTAGGTGTTACTCGGGACACTACCTGCGTCTAGTATAGAGGAGACACAGGTGGACGGGTCAGATAATGGTAGGTGTTACTCGGGACACTACCTGCGACCAGTATAGAGGAGACACAGGTGGACGGGTCAGATAATGGTAGGTGTTACTCGGGACACTACCTGCGTCCAGTATAGCGGAGACACAGGTGGAGTGTTCAAATATGGCATGTGTTTGTGGGGACACTACCTGCGTCCAGTATAGCGGAGGCACAGGTGGACGGGTCAGATAATGGTAGGTGTTACTGGGGACACTACCTGCGTCTAGTATAGAGGAGACATAGGTGGACGGGTCAGATATGGCATGTGTTTGTGGGGACACTACCTGCGTCCAGTATAGCGGAGGCACAGGTGGACGGGTCAGATAATGGTAGGTGTTACTGGGGACACTACCTGGGTCTAGTATAGAGGAGACACAGGTGGACGGGTCAGATAATGGTAGGTGTTACTGGGGACACTACCTGCGTCTAGTATAGAGGAGACATAGGTGGACGGGTCAGATATGGCATGTGTTTGTGGGGACACTACCTGCGTCCAGTATAGCGGAGGCACAGGTGGACGGGTCAGATAATGGTAGGTGTTACTGGGGACACTACCTGCGTCTAGTATAGAGGAGACACAGGTGGACGGGTCAGATAATGGTAGGTGTTACTGGGGACACTACCTGCGTCCAGTATAGAGGAGACACAGGTGGACGGGTCAGATATGGCATGTGTTTGTGGGGACACTACCTGCGTCCAGTATAGATGAGGCACAGGTGGACGGGTCAGATAATAGCACGTGTTTCTCGGGACACTACCTGCGTCCAGTATAGAGGAGACACAGGTGGACGGGTCAGATAATGGTAGGTGTTACTGGGGACACTACCTGCGTCTAGTATAGAGGAGACACAGGTGGACGGGTCAGATAATGGTAGGTGTTACTCGGGACACTACCTGCGTCCAGTATAGAGGAGACACAGGTGGACGGGTCAGATATGGCATTTGTTTGTGGGGACACTACCTGCGTCCAGTATAGATGAGGCACAGGTGGACGGGTCAGATAATAGCACGTGTTTCTCGGGACACTACCTGCGTCCAGTATAGAGGAGACACAGGTGGACGGGTCAGATAATGGTAGGTGTTACTGGGGACACTACCTGCGTCTAGTATAGAGGAGACACAGGTCGACGGGTCAGATAATGGTAGGTGTTACTGGGGACACTACCTGCGTCTAGTATAGAGGAGACACAGGTGGACGGGTCAGATAATGGTAGGTGTTACTGGGGACACTACCTGCGTCCAGTATAGAGGAGACACAGGTGGACGGGTCAGATAATGGTAGGTGTTACTCGGGACACTACCTGCGTCCAGTATAGAGGAGACACATGTGGACGGGTCAGATATGGCATGTGTTTGTGGGGACACCACCTGCGTCCAGTATAGCGGAGGCACAGGTGGACGGGTCAGATAATGGTAGGTGTTACTCGGGACACTACCTGCGTCCAGTATAGAGGAGACACAGGTGGACGGGTCAGATAATGGTAGGTGTTACTCGGGACACTACCTGCGTCCAGTATAGCGGAGACACAGGTGGACGGGTCAGATAATGGTAGGTGTTACTCGGGACACTACCTGCGTCCAGTATAGAGGAGACACAGGTGACCGGGTCAGATAATGGTAGGTGTTACTCGGGACACTACCTGCGTCTAGTATAGAGGAGACACAGGTGGACGGGTCAGATAATGGTAGGTGTTACTCGGGGCACTACCTGCGACCAGTATAGAGGAGACACAGGTGGACGGGTCAGATAATGGTAGGTGTTACTGGGGACACTACCTGCGTCTAGTATAGAGGAGACACAGGTGGACGGGTCAGATATGGCATGTGTTTGTGGGGACACTACCTGCGTCCAGTATAGCGGAGGCACAGGTGGACGGGTCAGATAATGGTAGGTGTTACTGGGGACACTACCTGCGTCTAGTATAGAGGAGACACAGGTGGACGGGTCAGATAATGGTAGGTGTTACTCGGGACACTACCTGCGTCCAGTATAGAGGAGACACAGGTGGACGGGTCAGATAATGGTAGGTGTTACTGGGGACACTACCTGCGTCTAGTATAGAGGAGACACAGGTGGACGGGTCAGATAATGGTAGGTGTTACTGGGGACACTACCTGCGTCTAGTATAGAGGAGACATAGGTGGACGGGTCAGATATGGCATGTGTTTGTGGGGACACTACCTGCGTCCAGTATAGCGGAGGCACAGGTGGACGGGTCAGATAATGGTAGGTGTTACTGGGGACACTACCTGCGTCTAGTATAGAGGAGACACAGGTGGACGGGTCAGATAATGGTAGGTGTTACTCGGGACACTACCTGCGTCCAGTATAGAGGAGACACAGGTGGACGGGTCAGATATGGCATATGTTTGTGGGGACACTACCTGCGTCCAGTATAGATGAGGCACAGGTGGACGGGTCAGATAATAGCACGTGTTTCTCGGGACACTACCTGCGTCCAGTATAGAGGAGACACAGGTGGACGGGTCAGATAATGGTAGGTGTTACTGGGGACACTACCTGCGTCTAGTATAGAGGAGACACAGGTGGACGGGTCAGATAATGGTAGGTGTTACTCGGGACACTACCTGCGTCTAGTATAGAGGAGACACAGGTGGACGGGTCAGATATGGCATGTGTTTGTGGGGACACTACCTGCGTCCAGTATAGATGAGGCACAGGTGGACGGGTCAGATAATAGCACGTGTTTCTCGGGACACTACCTGCGTCCAGTATAGAGGAGACACAGGTGGACGGGTCAGATAATGGTAGGTGTTACTGGGGACACTACCTGCGTCTAGTATAGAGGAGACACAGGTGGACGGGTCAGATAATGGTAGGTGTTACTGGGGACACTACCTGCGTCCAGTATAGCGGAGACACAGGTGGACGGGTCAGATAATGGTAGGTGTTACTCGGGACACTACCTGCGTCCAGTATAGAGGAAACACAGGTCGACGGGTCAGATAATGGTAGGTGTTACTCGGGACACTACCTGCGTCTAGTATAGAGGAGACACAGGTGGACGGGTCAGATAATGGTAGGTGTTACTCGGGACACTACCTGCGACCAGTATAGAGGAGACACAGGTGGACGGGTCAGATAATGGTAGGTGTTACTGGGGACACTACCTGCGTCTAATATAGAGGAGACACAGGTGGACGGGTCAGATATGGCATGTGTTTGTGGGGACACTACCTGCGTCCAGTATAGCGGAGGCACAGGTGGACGGGTCAGATAATGGTAGGTGTTACTGGGGACACTACCTGCGTCTAGTATAGAGGAGACACAGGTGGACGGGTCAGATATGGCATGTGTTTGTGGGGACACTTCCTGCGTCCAGTATAGATGAGGCACAGGTGGACGGGTCAGATAATAGCACGTGTTTCTCGGGACACTACCTGCGTCCAGTATAGAGGAGACACAGGTGGACGGGTCAGATAATGGTAGGTGTTACTCGGGACACTACCTGCGTCCAGTATAGAGGAGACACAGGTGGACGGGTCAGATAATGGTAGGTGTTACTCGGGACACTACCTGCGTCTAGTATAGAGGAGACACAGGTGGACGGGTCAGATAACTGTAGGTGTTACTGGGGACACTACCTGCGTCCAGTATAGAGGAGGCACAGGTGGACGGGTCAGATATGGCATGTGTTTCTCGGGACACTACCTGCGTCCAGTATAGAGGAGACACAGGTGGAGTGTTCAAATATGGCATGTGTTTGTGACAGGTAACGCTCACCATTGCACGAACACCTGGTATCATCACTATGTGATAGTGATTAATTAACACATGCTCATGATATGGTCGGAATCTTACAGGGAGTTTTCTCACGGAAAGGGATTTCACTTTTACTACATGTACCTACGTCCAGTATAGAAGGGATGCAGGAAGACTGGTTAGATAATGGAAGGTGTTGAAGTATGGGTTTTTATTAATATGTACAAAAGAAAATTATAATGGCGTGTTGATGTTGTTTTTAAAATTACGTGAACGTATATCTGACGGGTATGCTTTGAGTTATGGTGAGCCCAATATTTTTCTGCTAAGCTATTATGACACCGTATACGACAACTAGAGACAACATAACGAATGTATTATGCTGAAAAGTTTACACTATTTTGTATCTTTGTCGCACATGCTATGTCAAAACCTTCAACTCAAAACTTAACACTTTCAACCTGAGACCTTAAGAGTCAAAGGGAGACTACTCTTCAAACCTCAGAGGCTAAACCTTGTTGATAATTTTAACTTTATATAATCTTTATTAAAGTCACGAACGTGATCCATAAAAAACATTAACGTCCTTCAACATCAAAATTAATGATATTAAAACACAAAACAGTGTCAAATAATGAATTTCTGTACCAGAATTTTCTTGTGAAATATGTAAGGTGGGTGTTGGAAAATCCAAAATGGCTGTTACTGACGGTATTAGGTCATTAACAGCCATCTTGGATTTTAACTGACGGTATACGGGCTCATATGGGGTTAGTAAATCGGCTCTCTAATTGGTCGATCTCACTTTAAGGCATAATAATGACTTATATACTTCATATTATCTTCATGTGATTATTTAATAATGTACCCTTCTATAACGATTCCCACAATCGCAAGACAAGGCCCATTTGTAGGTGAGAGTTTGGTTTTTTTAATCCATGCGTTCCATGATTGATTCCTGTTCCAGCCATTGACCCACAGTCCAACCCTAAGCACAGAGAGTATATTGATGAACTGTGTACGGCGTTTGAAACTCGGGTGGAGGACATCTTCACCAAAGCAGCAGGAGCCCTCACTTCCGAGGGTTTCAATGACAGGCTGCTAGCGGAGCTGGCCCAGCACATAGCCCTGGCGCAGGCCAAGTGTAAGGACTTTTATGGAAGAGAAGAATTGATGAAGGTGAGTTCTCAACCAATCAAAATGGTGTACAAGGACTCCATTTCCTATTTGTTTTCTCAAGACTAGAAGTTTTGAAAAGGGGGCGGTCGGGGAGCCTAGTGGTTAAAGCGTTCGCTCGTCACGCCGAAGACCCTGGTTCGATTCCCGACGTGGGTACAATGTGTGAAGCCCTTTTCTGGTGTCCCCCGCCGTGATATTGCTGGAATATTGCTAAAAGCGGCGTAAAATCATACTTACTCCCTCTCCCACTATTTTTTAAAAGCAATTATCTGTTCAAAGTAAATATATGATATTTCAGTAGATTGCAGGCATCCAACGATAAAGCCCTTATCTTGGTCAAATCAAAATTGAACAGACAACATACCCAAGCATGGATCGATGTTGAGTTTATATATTGCAAAGTTACCATGGTAAACTGTTACTGATAAGACCCGCTATTGTAATATTACAGAAGATCAAGTCGTATCTTCTTGCTGAGAAAGGACCCACTAAGCCTTTACTTATATTTGGAACGTCCGGAAGTGGCAAAACAACGATCATTGCCAGGACGATGAAGGAGACTTTCGAATGGAGAGATGGAAATGTTGCTATAGTTACCAGGTAACATTTTGCTATTATTGTTTATATGGTTCATGAACAGCAACCTATGCTTGTCGTAAAAGGCGACTATGCTTGTCGTAAGAGGCGACTATGCTTGTCGTAAGAGACGACTAACGGGATCGGATGGTCAGGCTCTCTAACTTATTTGATAACTGTTTATTTACTTTCTGACCCGTGAAGATTCGGGGTAGAACAGTTATTCAGCAACCCATGCATGCTCTAAAAGGCGACTATGCTTGTCGTAAGAGGCGACTAACGGGATCGGGTGGTCAGGCTCGCTGACTTGGTTGATGCATGTCATCGTATCCCTATTGATGTCATTTCCATGATGTCAGTCACTAGATTGTCTGGGCCAGACTCGATTATATACAGACCGCCGTCATGTAGCTGAAATATTGCTGAGTGCTTCGTAAAACAAACAAACAAAGCATATGTAAGCATTTATAAATTTGACTGATACATTTTGCATCAGGTCGGGAATTGAAATAACTTAAACTGGCACTGTCAGACATTTCTGTATGAATATATCAACCATTAAAGCTTGGGGCGGCACAGGCCTAATGCATTTCTTATCATATGATTGTTCGTGGTAGGATCCGTTGCTCGTGGAGTCAGGGTCTCCTAGGTCTGTCAGTTCCATATCCAAACTTATGGGTTCCACCAAATTATACACGCCTTAGATTTACTATCAACGTAGCATTTTTCCTACTGTGTTATGCTGACACGCAGTAATATAGTGAGTGAGTGACAGGGTTGGGTTTAACGCCGCGTTTAACAGTACTACAGTTATATCACGGCGTATCGGCTTAATGTCGGTGGAAAACCCCAAGTGATGCAGGTCTCAGACGTTTACCACTTCGGTGAAACCGACGAGCACGGGTATGGTGCTGACAAACCTAGAAACATAATCAGGGCGAACCGGGATTCGAACCCACAATCAAAGGTTTCTGGCGTGGCCAAGGGACGCAACTCTGCACAGCGAATCGCGGCGCCTTAGACGACTGGGCCACCTGTGCCCCCACGCTGTAATATAACTGAACTATCCTTCAAAACGGTGTTGGGGGCACGGATGGTCCAGTCGCTGTACAGAGTTGAGTCCATGGGGCACGCCAGAAACCTATGACCGTTGGTTTGTTTCGCCAACATCATACCCGAGTTTCACCAATGTCGTAAACGTGTGAAACCGCTTTCCTCCCACATCAAGCTGACACGCCGTGATATAACTGTTCAAAGTGGTGTTAAACCTAACTCACTCACTCACGACGTTGTTAAAACCACTCACTCACTCATCCCTAGGTTCATCGGTACGACTCGAGAGAGCTCGCGCGTGGGAACAGTGCTGGCCAGTATGACAAGTCAGATCCAGAAGATATATGACAAGGAACATTCTTCAGACGTGAGTAGTAGATTCTTCATTCTTTCAGTGAATTGCGTCCCTTGGGCGTGTCCGAAACATGTGACCGTGGGTTCGAATCCGAGATTCGCCCTGATTATGTGTCTAGGCAGAGACCATATACCGGTATATGGTCTCTGGTCTAGGTTTGTCAACATCATTCCCGTGTTCGTGGGTTTCAACAAAGTGGTAAACGTCTAAGAACTGCGTCGCTCCGAGCTTTCCTCCCACATCAAGCTCCCACGCCGTGATATAACTGGAATACTGCATGACGTGTGATTGTTTTATCCACTAGACCCGGCATTTCATGTTTTATTGTTTATGGATGTGTTTGGGTAGCTCGTGAAGAAAAGAAAACTTAATATTCGTGTCTCGATGTTGTATATTCCATTCGGGACAAAGTTGTTTGGGTTGGTAGATATAGTGGGGAAAATACTCACGAAGGTGCTTAGACAAACCTAGAAACATAATCAGGTCGGACAGATTCAAACCCACGAACGATGGTTTCTTGATCGCGCTGATTAACGCAACTCTTCACACCGATTGCGTCCCCTTTGGCGACTTTGCTACCCGTGCCCCCTACTTCAAAGTAAAGTAGACCGCCTCCGTGGTCTAGAGATAGAGCGTCTGCCCGGAGAGCGGAAGTTGTCAGTGTCATACCAAAAGACGTTGAAAGATGGCACTTTTTGTTACCCTGTCTGGCGCTCGGCATTAAGGGGCTAAAACGAGGACTGGTCGGCTCGGAGTCAGTATACTGTGTCTGAGTGGGGTATTCGTGTGAAACTGCGGCATGGTATCTCAGTGAGCTAGGTATCAGTCCGGACTAGTGCACGCACGCACGCACGCACGCACGCACGCACGCACGCTAGCAGTGCAATCGTTATTGGACCCGACGTTAAACCCAATACTCATCACTTCAGCATCTGGCCACACCAGAAATAACAGTAACCTGCACTTTGAGATAAATCATCATGAAAAGGCAGATACGCTGAAATCCATGTGACATAAATCGGCATCAGTCCGGACTAGTACAAGCAGCCACAAAAACACACAACGTACATGCACGTGCAATAATCTCGGAGGCGACGTTAAACCCCATTTCACCTCACCTCAACTCACCTCAAAGTAACGAAGAGATAAAGATTCATTGAGAGATTGCTACATCAGAGAAGGTTTTGACAGACAGGCGGACAGACAGACGAACAGAAAGATTATTAGCATATGTGACCAAAAGGCCAATAGCTATACAGTACATTATGTATACAAGAATAGTGGAAATAGTTGCAACGCCACTTTGACATTCAGTATATATATATATATCATGAGAACAGGATTACAATAAAAGTAAGGAAGAGAATTTAAGTGATGACGTTGTGTTCCTCATAACAAAGAAGTTGACATTCACAAATTCTCTAACTTTTGTGTATCACTTCTAAATACCATTCAAAAACTTGACACAAAAAAGTATTTCATCATAGTTGTTAGTTTCCATGTGAAATGTATGACACTACAGTACAGAGAGCTTAAACAGCGTATTCACACCTGCAAGTTGCAGCTGAACAACTTTTCACGAGATGGTCGATGACCAAGTACTGGGGTATATATTCATTTCTTAGACTAGTATATCCAGGGCACATTAATAATACAAGATGTTCATCTTCATTATGGTGTTTACAAAATATACAGGCTGTGTTTTCAATATCCAGCTGTTAGAAAATGGTGTTGCTCGAGCATTGTACATTACATCTAAATGTAGTGAACATTCGGCGTAGATGTCCTGATGATATAATTGACGTAAGATATGTCTCAGATGCAATAAACATATAAATTCAGGATACTAATGTACATATTTCGATTCTTTTTCACTGAACCAATCTTGTTGATAAATGTCATAAATATTATCAACAATGTTTGCCTGTTGTGCAAGCCAGACATGCCCCAAATCGTATTGAAATGATTCAGAAGGCGTCAAGTTTCGGTCCCCCGTATCGTGCAATTTCTTGTGTAAATCTTAACATCATCTGGACAGTGTTGTTGATGACTCTTTGGTTAATCGTATCCAGTATGACACCACTCTACAGCGAGCATTAATAAGTCGGGGGAACGGCCACACCCAGCCAGTACCACTCTGTCAGCAGCCTTTTAACTTGTGTTTAACCAACATATGCGTGTAATTTTTCTATTGTTATAATAGTATTTATTCCCTCAAGATCTGCATCACAATTCTATATTTTCATACCATTCCTAAAAAATATTATTATGTTTTGTAAGTATTTATTGTTAGTCATCATAGTAAACAGTACTCATGAAAACAATCGTACGTTGTAAAAGATTAACAGTCTTCACAAAATGCAATGCGAAAAGTAATATATTGATAGATCTTTCATCAATGATTATGTCTCTTGAATCAATTACGAGCTCTTCAAGCATAATACAAACGAGACAGGCGATAAAATACACCCTTGTCTTACACGATCATACGTATTTTATAAATATCAATCAATTCACACTGTTTAGTTCTAACAGAAGCTCTTGCACTAGTGTGCCTGTTTTGTAAAAGGCGTTGCAGTATCCCTTGTTTACCTGATTGCAATAAAACGTACACTATTTCGCATCTATCGACAGAATCAAAAGCTTTCTAAACTCGACATATAGCCAATATTGTGGCGTATTGTGGACACGTGTTACCTTACGTCTTTCAACTCAACGCTATGACTCGATTCCCATTTTTAAAAGGCAAACAGTTACTTTTTGTTAGATTTTGGTATTTGTATCAAAAGATGGTAGATAGAAATAACTGTAAACTGTTCTCATTTTATGTTATGATTGTGATTTTTGAATCCGGTTTGTCGAATCGTGTACAAAAGCGTCGACAAAGTGTCGCCTATTTATCTTTCAGGAGTTTCAAAGTTTCAGTGAAACATGTGAACGGTTTACGTCCAGCTTGAACATGGCGACCAGTGCCCGTCCCCTCGTCGTGCTGCTGGACAGCTTCGAGCAGCTGGACCCCATGGAGGAGGCAATGAACCTCGCCTGGATTCCCAGACCTCTCCCACCTAACGTGAACATCATCATCTCCTGTCAGGAAGATGGGGACATCAAAGAGAGGCTAACGGTAAATTTAGGTGTTTTTTTTAGATGACCGCATTTTCATTTTTTAAAAGATTGAACTTGTAATTGAAACCTATGTTTTATTTATAGATGTGTTAGTAGGGTTTAACGCCCCTTTGAATAGTATTTCAGTCATGTCACGGCATGTTATCTTAGTGAGAGAAAAGCCCAAAGTGATGCAGATCCTAAACGGGTACCACGTTCGTAAAACCCACGAAGTAAACATTTTGTGCTGACAGCCCACGATCTTAGGATTCTGTCTTTAGTTAAGTACCTTTTTTCATATTCTCCGCAATAAGAGATGCCATATCTTTTATATTTGTGTTTGTTCTAGGACGTTGTTAAACCAAATGAGCACAAACTGGAAGGATTTTCCTCTGAGGATGCAATGAGCACACTGAAGCAATGGCTACAACAGGAAGGTCGTAGTTTGACGAATACTCAGCTGGATGAGGTTGAGTCTGCTTTTGCCAGATGCAGCCTCCCTCTGTTTGTTCGCCTGACTCTTCAAGAGGCTCTGAGGTGGAAATCCTTCTCGCCTCCCGCAGAGACACGGCTGAAGGACACAGTCAAGGAAGCTGTCCGTGCTTTCTTTCAACGCATTGAGCAAAACCATGGGCACATCTTTACACGCCATGCTCTGGGCTATATAACTCTTGGTAAGAAGAATGTGCCTTCATATTGTAACGTAATAGAATAAGGGAACATAATTATGCATATACGAACGTCAAACGAAACTGTGATCATTTGAAGGTTTTTTTAAATGAAAATGATTAATTATGTTTGTTATATGAAATTCTTCATATGGTTTCTTCTTTAGATTTTCAGTTGGAGTGTGTGTGTGTGTGTGTGTGTGTGGGGGGGGGGGGGGGGGGGGGGGGGGTAAAAAGTCCAAGACCGTAAATAACCACGATTATCCCACGAAATAGACTCCATCGGGCGTAAAAGGAAAAATAACAGTTAAAATTACATGAATGAATCGCTGAAAAACATTGATGACACCAAGTGTTTGCGAAAAAAGTGAAAAAATAGAGCCTCAATCTTTTCCTTACACTTGAATGGCAAAACAAAAGAGAGTTTACCTCTGCCTTTGTACGGAAATATTTTATTATCACCATCATCATCATCATCATCATCATCATCATTATTATTGTTTTGAACTTTTAGCCCGTCGCGGTTTGAGTGAAAGTGAGTTGGAAGACATCCTGTCTTGCGACGATGAAGTGTTGAACGAGGTCTTCAGCTTCTGGGTCCCACCAATCAGGCGATTGCCTCCCTTGATCCTGGTTCGACTAAAGAATGACCTTGACCTGTACATAGGTAATATCTGCTGTCTCAACTCTTACGGGGTGAATAGTGTTCCAATATCTACCAATACCCCTTGCATTTCAATGTTATTTCCTATGTACAGTTGCTTCTTCTCATTATCTCCACAAACACTTGAGAAACAGCATGTTGCTGACATGTATTTTCTCGTGCACTTTTATAATGTTATTCCGGTTTTTCTTGATCCAGATAATTTCGTTCGACACGGTCGTTCCCTTTGATCTCGTACTGATTACGGTGAAAGGGAATTAGTTTAAGGCATATATGTTTTAATAATTTTTACTTTCTTGATATATTCAAAGTCTTAATTTGGAATTCCATGCTTTTGTTTGTTATCAGAACAAATAAATGCATTTTATAGAAAATCTTAAGAAAGAAGTCTTATTGTCGAGGGGGCGGATGTCCCTCTCGTCTCAGCGCAGCATTTCGCTGTAAAAGGTTGGGTCTCTGAGGCGTGACAGAAACCTATGATAGTGGGTTCGAATCCAGGTTCACCCTGACTATGTTTCTATGTTGAGCAGGAACCTTACCCGAGCTCGTGGGTTTCACCAAAGTGGTCAAAGCCATGTCGGGTGTTCCTCCCACATCAACCTGACATGCTATGCTATAACCGAAATACTTTTCAAAGCGGCATTACACTCACTCACTCACTCATTCCCTCATGTCATTGTACAGCTCAGCGGGAGATAGACAACACCCCTGTCTTGTTGTGGAATCACCAGCTGTTTAAAGACGTTGCACGTGACATGTACTGTAGTGACGTCACCGTCACCACGACGTTGCATGAGAATTTGGCGGACTTTTTCTCAGGAAAATGGTCAGGTTAGAACGTGCTTTTTTTAACATTCTGTACTTCATTCAGTATTAATCACAGAATTAATCATTGTCTTTTTTCCCAAATTAGTGCTAATGTGCCGTCATAGTTAATTAAGTCAACGGTATTTATCTGTGACGGGATTGACAGACAGCCGTCAAATCTGCATTGTCCGCTCCATTCGGTGATCACGTGACACATAGTCTTGTCTGTCATGATTACGTATACTCGTTAAGTATACGAATTCTACATAATCCGATTACCAGCTGCTACAGGCAGGTAATGGACAGACAGACAGACCATTGTATATTTACATCTCATCTTTGATTACATCATAAAAATTACAATATTTACAGATACAAAGCCACGCTTTAGAAGAGTTATGAGAGACGATGTTAAAATATTCAAAAAATGAAAAATATACACATGTTGAACAGTGAAAGGTTATCCATATAAAATATATCTTCGTCTGTGTAAAATTTGATGGCAGGTTTTAGAACTAAAATATCTTACATCACATCAAAAACATAACTTATTATTGCTGAAAATCTAGTACTAAAATCTGTATCATAATTCAGACATTTTTTCTAAAAGCTGGTCATGGAGGTCAAGCTGTGTACAGACTGGTCGCGAAGTCTACCCGGGGGCCGTATTTATCAAACAATTTAAGTCATAAATAAAACTTAAGTCAGTTAAAAAACTTAGTTTACTTGTTTTACTGACTTCAGTTAAGTGGAAAAACTTAAGTCATATTTATCAAAAGACTTAGACTTAAGTTTTGTCATTATTTGAATTAACTATTAAGACTCACCTTGCTACACTTAAATCATATATGTGAAACAAAATGGCTGCCAGACATAATCCAAGAATATTTAATGAGAGAAGAGATGTACGACATTCATTAGATGATAATGAACTGATACAGCGCTACAGATTTGACAGGAACAGTAGTGTTTATGTTTGTGATATACTTGAGCAGGAGTTGAGTCCCATAACACAGCATGCCCTGTGTCACGTGATCAGTAATATTCTCACGGACCGGAATATGGACAATTAAACAGTTGCTTTAACAGAGAGGATGTGTGGATTGTATAACGACGAAAATAAATAATCTTATTATTTGTTGTACCATATGAAGACATCGGAAAGTGAGATGTTAATTTGGTTTGAATCGAATTACTTTGGGTAGGATCCATCCTAAAGCAGCGAAGAAACTTTGTAATATCACTGAAAATAAAATATTCAATATGTGTCGTCATACAACGAAACTTACTGCAGTTAAAAACGTTTTCTTCGCAGACTGTACAAAACCCTTTAAAGACAGAAAAGGAGAGAACGGAAGTGCCGACAGGCGTGTTACCGCCCAACCAGTCATGCATGAAGAGGGGGCAAATTTGAGAAAGCTGAATAGTCTGCCATGGCACTTAATGCAGCTTCACGACTCCTCAAGACTGAACGAAGAATGTTTATTCAACATCGAGTTCCTCACAGTGAAGATGAAATACACTAGTGTAAGGTATGAAGTGTCGAACATTTTATTACCTGTCTATTATTTTCCTTTTCAAAGAGCGGATCCAAATAAACAACACTGTCCTGTCACGCCACTCCGCCCTGAATATGTGGAAAGACTTTCTTTTCCTCTTCCACAATTTGTATTTTAGATCCGAGTTATATATTTGTCTCCAACAGGTATGTCATTGATGACTTCACGGATGCGATGACGTGTGTGGAAGAAGAGAGGAAGTTGTACAGGACGATCAGGGACGCCATTCAGATATCCCAGAAGGCACTTTTCATTGACGTCAATGAACTTCCGACACAGCTTCTTAACAGACTCGGGAAGAAAGATGATAGCTATAGACTTCTGATGGACAACTGCCGCAAAGTGGCGTTCCCGATCTTGATATGTGACCAACAACTTCTAGCGACACCTGGTGGCAATCTACAACATTCCTTCCCGAGTCACCAAGGAAGAGTTGTCTCCCTTGATTTAACGCGTGATGACAACACTGCTGTCACCTGTAAGTTCAAAGGTCATAAACTCATAGTTTTTCTTTCGATTCTGTTGGAGTTCTTCATATATAGTTCGGGGATACGATTAGATGGATAGTGTGACGCGTCCAGATTCACGGTAAGGGGTTGCTTCCCTTACCCTCTCCACGGTGATCTGAGTTTCAAATCCTACATTCCGCACGATTACGATCTTTGGCTTCATAGCGCCATACCAGAGCACGATGGTTTCACGAAAGTGGCAAACATCTCCCTTCGCCACATTGGACATGCACACCTTAAGTTGATATGCAATTATATATCTCGAAAACTGTTCCAACTTGCGGTTTAACTCACTTACGTTCAGCGGGCGCTGTATGTTAATCAACATACATTAGTTTTTTACGCGTATAAACCTCTACAAGACCTCTCAGATTCTCATCTTCCTGAGGGCAGGGATTTCTTTTTTGTAAATATTATTTGTTTGCCAGACATGCTGGGTGTCCGCGAAAGAAATGTGAAAAAAAAATGTCTTAAAGCAGTGATCGAAAAAAATAGTGAGTGAATGAGTATGGTTTTATGCCGGTTTTAGCAATATTCCAGCAATATCACGGCAGGGGACACGAGAAAGGGACTCCACTCATTGTACCCATGTGGGGACTCGAACCCGTGGCTTCGGCGTGAACGCTTTAACTTCTAGGCTACCTCACCGCAACAACGAAACAAGACATTCTGCAGGAAGCATGGTGTCAATGTGGGATCATTCACGCTGTTTACAACGGGTCACGGGTGGGCCAGTCGTTTGAGGCGCCACAATTCGTTATGCAGAGTTGCGTCCCTTAGGCATGCCAGAAACCTATGGTCATAGGTCTGAGACCTGCATCATCACAGGGTGAGCACCGCCCCCGTGGGCAAGTGAATATAGCGTCTGCCGGGTACAGGAAGGTCCGAGGTTCGATCCCCTACCGCGTCATACCAAAAGACCTTAAAGATGGTACTTTTTGTTACCCAGGCTGTCGCTCAGCATTAATGGGGCGTAAACATGGACTGGTTCGCTCTGAGTATGTCTGAGTGGGCAATTCATGTTAAACTGCAGCATGGTATCTCAGTACTCTAAAATCGGCATTAGTCCGGACCAGTACAAGCAGCTAGCCACACACGCATGCACGTCGCTATATAAGTGCAACGATCTGGAACGGGACGTTAATCCCCATTTCACCTTCACCTCGCCCCACCTCATTGGGTGAGGAACCACCGGTGTAGGAGACTCAACTCGTAGTTCCATGGCCGTCACGATCCGCGAATCATATGTTCGAATCCTAATCCCTTGATCTTTCCGTGCCGTTCGTTCACTCGCCCATACGTTTACTCTGTATGTTTCTTTCAGATGGAGTGGACAGAAAGGTCATGATTTGGGACGTGGCAAATGGATGTCTTCTGCAGTCATTTCATACTGGGGAGGAGGAGCCAATCAAAGCCCTTCTTGCATACGACGACCAGAACATCGTTGTCGTAACCAACCAGAGTCTTTCTACCTTCCACAGGAAGTCTGGGAAACGGATAGGAAATGTTACTTTTCAAAGTCTTCAAATCAGTGTCCCGGCTGTCTGTGTTGCTGGTTTTACACGAGATGCCAAAACTAAGATGCACGTGCATAATCCGTTCGTGTTGGCGTTGACAAACACCCAGATAATCAAGGCGGGCGCGAGGAAGCTTGATGTGAGACACATGGAGAAGCACAAGATTGATGAACTGGCTAGGGGGAAACTTGGACGGGATTCAATCTGTGTAGGTGAGAGTGGATATTTCATATACCGGCGGTAAAACATTCGCTCTGGGTCTGTATTGGGTAAGTGGGTGAGAAGGTTTTTACGTCGCTTTAAGCAATACTCCAGCAATACTCCAGCAATACGTCAGCAATATTCCCTCACAATCCCAGCAATATGACGACAGAGGATACCAGGAGCAAGCTTTTCACATTGTTCTCGTACAATGTTGTAGATGACATTATTATCACTAATGTCGGCTCGTGTTGAAAGAAATTAGAGGACGAGGAAGGATAAGGGTACTTTTGGTCTAGAGGATCAGAATTGTGTAAGAACTGTGCAAACCTATTAGAAATTGCAATGTAAATTAACAGATGTGTTCATATGAATGAGAACGAGGCTTTGTTCATTTCTACAAGACTACATGTCCATATGTGGGCCCCGTGACATCCCTAGATGAATAGGTAATGTTATAATGTGTCGATTTTAAGCGTTTTCTGGAAGCCTTTTTCGAATATCTAAACATGAGTATGTCTTTGAACCAAACATATTCATAGGAGATGTAAATAAACAGTTTAAACGGTAAAGAAGTTTATCATAGATCACAAAGATTCTCATACTTAGATTTTTATTTGGCGTTCGAAAATCCGATTGTTTTAAATCAATATTGATCATGCCTAAGTCCATAAATTACAAGTGTCGACCATTTGAATATTTTTCATAATCTTTCAATATTTTTTAATGTTTTTTTACATTTCCACTTGGCCAAATAGGGCCCTTTTCCTACCTCGTCATTTCAAGGGGGCATGGGTAGCCCAGTTGCCTAAAGCGCCGTAATTAGCTGTGCATGTGCTGTGGACACGCCATAAACCTATGATCGTGGGTTCGAATCCCGGTTAGCCCCGATTATGTTTCAAGTTTGTCAGCACCATTTCCGTACTTGTGGGTTTCACCGAGTTGGTGAGGGTGGGAGACCAGCATCCCTTCTGCTTTCCTCCCACATAAAGCTGACACTCAGTGATATACTAGTAACTGGAATACTGTTCAGATCATTGTAAAACCCAACTCACCCACTTGTCCTATCAAATGCCATGAATATTTTAATATAAAAATTTGATATTACATTTAAATGCAGCAGAGTATCTTTGGTATGAATTTTTAATTGAATTTGAACTTCAGAGTCTCTGAATGAGTCTTAGACGGTTTCTCCATCTGTGTGCTGGAAACCAAACGAACCATGGTTTGATTTACTAAAACGGATTATCGCAGCGCTTTACAAACTCAAAACGTCAACAGGTGAACTCACATTTTCATCCCTGTGGTATAACTAGTAGAAACTAGAGCAACATAATTACAGATACTCTCCCACGCGAATAATTGCATATTTACAGAGATGACACCTGTTCGAGAAAAGGTAATCAACGTACTCCTTTATATTTGTTCATGGTCCAAGGCTTCAGCGGCTACATTGCTGTCACGGATGAAGACCGATATCATCTGCAAGTCTTCTCCTTGAAGGACTTCAGGCGTCAGGCTTTAACACGGGTCTATCTAGCATTTGAGCCTGGGGAGAACCTAGGACTGACAATAGACGCCATCTGTTTCTCTAAGGGGGGTGACTATCTGTTCGTCTCCAACTGGAGGGATGGAGATATCCTGTGTCTGGACCTGAAGGACTTGAAAGGGACGAGCAGACTCTCGGGTGAGTGGGGGAGTGTGTTTAACACAGCTTTTACCTAAATGTTTCCATGGCGAGTCAACACAATGTAGAGTTAAGCCAATGAGCGATCAGTTTCCATCATTTTATTAGCTGTCTAACAACAGACACACGCCACCGCTAGACCGTTTATCGGCACAGCGTGGTGGAGGAACCTGGTGTTGGATATATTTCCTCACAATACATGCCAATTTGTGTGATACACGGGATTTTACTTACAATGAATGTATGATAACATACAGCCAATGCATGAGGGGCACTAGGGTCTAGTAATTCGAGATCGGTCTTAGGTTTGAATACCAATTTGACACCAGTTGTGTACCATGGTATGTCGGTACAATACCTTTTTCTTTGTGATGTGCCCATCTTCCCGAGGCAAGAGAGTTAACTGACTATAAAAGTCCAGTTTCCACCCTTGCCGAACTAGGCTTGTATTATGGAGTTGCATTTTTGATGGACTAACGAGTCTATGCATAGTCCAATCAAAATGCGCACCGAAATCGTAATCCGGTTCATAAACCGTCGTGCAGGATTGCAGGATTTGCAAAACATGTGCACCGCCAACTCGTTGTCAGCAGATATTTTCCAAATCTTTTCATGTTTTTAATCAAGGTGCTCACGTGATTTGATGCATTTCGTGATGTAAGACCCATTTCATCAGAATATAGATCTTGATTATCGATCAGATCGTTCTGACTGGGTCCAACCATTTTGTGTGAAGCAAACGCAAGTAATACGAGATGTGGAATCTGATTGGTCCATAGGAGAGGCTTAGAAGGGACATAACTGGTAATAGCCACTGGTGCCGCTACGATCGAGCCCAGTAATTCCAGCCAATTTCGGCAAAGGTGGAAACTAGACTTTTAAAGTCAGTTAACTCTCCTGCCTCGGGAAGATGTGCTGTGCCAAGGGCTAAACACAACATTGGGCGTTTGCTTACAAATTCATCTGACATTCTTCGCTTTAAATTCACATAGCAACTGCGCAATGTAACTCGATTTCTCCCCAAATTAACGATATCTCACCTTCCGGAGTTTAAGTGTGATGTTTCAAAAATAATAAAGAGTTAATTTTGCCCTTATACAGTCCATACATTCTTCTTGTTTCCATAAAATGTTTAACTGTCTAAAAATAACCATTCAACTTTTTTGCAAATTATAATTATTATTATTATTATTATTATTATTATTATTATTATTATTATTATTATTATTATTATTATTATTATTTTAATGACGATTTACTCCTAAACGACAATGGGGGTCCCCACTTTTTTCTTTTCTTCTTTTAATTGCCGTACTTGAAACGTAAACGAAAAACCTAACGAATTTTAATCATGTTCATTTCTGCGTGGCATCTGCCTTTAATAGCTTTCTCTCGTGTGTTTGTACAGGGGAAGATCGGCCAGACAACTTCCGGGTGACACAGGATGAGGGTATTCTGTATTTCCCGTCAGACACCAGAGTTGTACTCCGAGATAACCGAGACCAGGGCCGTACATGCGTAGCTGAACATCCATGTCGTGTTCTGTTCTGCGCAACAAATGCTTTCGACCCACTCGTGACAGTCGGAGAGGACAGCGTCATTAGACTGTGGCGGTATAACGCTTCCTCCAAACTGGCGTGGCCTGAGAAAAGAAGTCAAGTAGAAGAACCCGCAAATATGATACGGTACGTCAAACATAATCTTCAGCTGGCAAGGCATCATCAACTGTATCAACTTTATAGCCTTGTCATTTCTAGAATGTCACAAGATCCCAACACCTCACCCATCCTTTTGGCTTTACCCTACCTATCGCTGTGACATATTTTTTTTCATTTCCCCTCTCCTCCTCTCTGAAGTAAAGAGTTCTGTAGTATAGTGTTGCAGGCCGTATGTTCATCTAAGGGTTCTTTTGAGAGAAAATTCATGTTTGATCAAACTGCCATGCACCAAACTAGAATGCACCAAACTGGAATGTACCAAACTGGCATGCACCAAACTGCCATGCACCAAACTGGAATGTACCAAACTGCCATGCACCAAACTGGCATGCACCAAACAGCCATACACCAAACTGCCATGCACCAAACTGCCATACACCAAACAGCCATACACCAAACTGCCATACACCAAACTGGAATGTACCAAACTGGCATGTACCAAACTGACATGCACCAAACTGCCATACACCAAACAGCCATACACCAAACTGACATACACCAAACTGACATGCACCAAACTGCCATACACCAAACTGCCATACTCCAAACAGCCATACACCAAACAGCCATAAACCAAACTGCCATGCACCAAACTGCCATACACCAAACAGCCATACACCAAACAGCCATGCACCAAACTGCCATGCACCAAACTGCCATACACCAAACTGCCATACACCAAACAGCCATACACCAAACTGCTGTACACCAAACAGCCATACACCAAACTGCCATACACCAAACTGCCATACACCAAACAGCCATACACCAAACAGACATACACCAAACAGCCATACACCAAACAGCCATACACCAAACTGCCATACACCAAACTGCCATACATCAAACTGCCATACACCAAACAGCCATACACCAAACAGCCATACACCAAACTGGCATGTACCAAACTGCCATACATCAAACTGCCATACACCAAACAGCCATACACCAAACTGCCATGCTCAAAACAGCCATACACCAAACTGTCATGCACCAAACAGCCATACAGCAAACTGACATGCACCAAACTGACATGCACCAAACTGCCATACACCAAACTTCCATACACCAAACAGCCATACACCAAACAGCCATACACCAAACTGCCACGCACCAAACTGCCATACACCAAACAGCCATACACCAAACAGCCATACATCAAACAGCCATACACCAAACTGCCATGCACCAAACTGCCATACACCAAACAGCCATACACCAAACAGCCATACACCAAACTGCCATACACCAAACAGCCATACACCAAACTGACATACACCAAACTGCCATACACCAAACTGCCATACATCAAACTGTCATGCACCAAACAGCCATACACCAAACTGCCATACACTAAACAGCCATACACCAAACAGCCATACACAAAACAGCCAAACACCAAACAGCCATACACCAAACAGCCATACACCAAACAGCCATACACTAAACTGCTTTACACCAAACAGCCATACACCAAACAGCCATACACCAAACAGCCATACACCAAACAACCATACACCAAACAGCCATACACCAAACAGCCATACACCAAACAGCCATAAACCAAACAGCCATACACCAAACTGCCATACATCAAACAGCCATACACCAAACTGCCATACACCAAACAGCCATACACCAAACTGCCATACACCAAACAGCCATACACCAAACAGCCATACACCAAACAGACATACACCAAACAGCCATACACCAAACTGCCATACACCAAACTGCCATACACCAAACAGCCATACACCAAACTGCCATACACCAAACTGCCATACACCAAACAGCCATACACCAAACAGCCATACACCAAACTGCCATACACCAAACAGCCATACACCAAACTGCCATACACCAAACTGCCATACACCAAACAGCCATACACCAAACAGCCATACACCAAACTGCCATACACCAAACAGCCATACACCAAACTGCCATACACCAAACTGCCATACACCAAACAGCCATACACCAAACTGCCATACACCAAACTGCCATACACCAAACAGCCATACACCAAACAGCCATACACCAAACTGCCATACACCAAACTGCCATACATCAAACTGCCATACACCAAACAGACATACACCAAACAGACATACACCAAACTGGCATGTACCAAACTGCCATACATCAAACTGTCATGCACCAAACAGCCATACAGCAAACTGACATGCACCAAACTGACATGCACCAAACTGCCATACACCAAACAGCCATACACCAAACTTCCATACACCAAGCAGCCATACACCAAACAGCCATACACCAAACAGCCATACACCAAACTGCCATACACCAAACTGCCATGCATCAAACTGCCATACATGGATTAACGAACCATGTCACTTCCTAAATTCGGGGTTTCCGGGTTAACGGGATCCGGACAAGTCAGTATTTCCAGTATACATGACGCAGTTACATCAGAGAGTCTAACTCCATGTACGTGTATGTCTTACAACTACATTTCAGGAGACTGTGCCTGTTCCGGAACCCCCGTTATGCCCTGGCCCTGAAGGTGGCCACAGATAGGTCAAGACAGGTGCTGGTGCAGGACCTGCTCGAGGGCAGACTCGTCAGATGCGCCACGTGTGTAAGTTACAAACTCAGGTTCTGACTCAGGGTTCTTTCACGAAAAATAGTTTGTCCTCAGATTTTACTTCAAAAACATCGTTTACAAGACATAGTCCGAAAACTAAAGTGTTGTTGGTCCTCCAGAAATGTGTATGTCTTGTAGCACTGTCTCAAACAATCATCCCAGGACTCAATTCCCCGAGATAAAATTGTATAGTTGTATTTCTGTGGACAAGATGTCTGTTTCAAACCACGAGATACCATTATGTTTGGTGGAGTATTATGTTTTACTGTTATGTGTGATGCAGAAGGGTAACTTGGAGATGGAGATGTACGAAGAAGAGCCTGGGAATGTGACAGCTGTGATACGAAGTCCGTCGGGGAAACTGTGCATTCTTGACCTTGAACACATGTCCCTGACCCGCCTTGACCTTTCAACCAAAGACCTTTCGCCAACAAAACGGTCATTTCGGATCCTCAAGAAACATGAAGGTTTTTTATTGTTTTGAGCATAAACGTCTTGATGAATATTGGTGTCATTTGCGAATTATTGTACCAAAATGTATCACAATAGAATGTGGATTGGGAATATTATTACATGTGTTACGATGATAAGTTAAAGTGGGCCAGTTAGTGTATGTGACCCTTTGTGCAATGATATGCCAACACGACATGTTATATGGATGGCAATGTACCGTGGATGCTCATCCTCCATACCTACAGGGCTCGCATATCGATGAATCCTAACTCGTGGATGCATTCCCATTGTTCTCTCGATCTCAAATTCCCCGTCCTGGATTTTCATTAGCAAATTTGATTTGTGAATGTCCATTTAACCATCACTCATTCCTGCAACAGTTTGCAACAGTAATCTGGCAGGGTACTTTTGTGTAGAAATTTGTCCAATGCAGACTGGGGTAAGGAATTAATTTGCAACCACATGACCCCCTACCATGATTGAAAGGTTGTGAATTTGTGCCGAAAAAAGCAAATGTATTGATTTCAAAGACAAGATGTCTAAGCTACCAATCGACAGTTGTGTGTTATGCGAAGAAAACAATTAATAGGTTAAAATCAAATTATACATAAAAATTAAACCATTTAGAAGTATTCTTTAACTGCCAGTCCAGTTCATTGTTTATATAATATCGCTAACTTAAGATATTTTCAACTAAAAATCGAATATATATGATAAACACGCCCCTCAGTTTATGTCAAAATCAAATGTAAGTCTCACAAGTCATTAATACGTAACCAAATTTAATCGAAACATGATAAGGTTAAACCATCTTCCTGAAGCAAGGAAGTTAACTGACTCAAGTCAAGTTTCAACTGAATTTTTACAGTCAGTTAACGCCTTTGCATATGAGGTTACGGCGCAAACCGTTAGTAAGAACTACAGCTTACAACAACGTTTATCATACTTTCCATATAAATACTAGCACAGGAATCTATTAAACAAGCTGCTCCTGAACTACTTCTAACAAATGAATGTGATTGTAGAGCGTGTAGCATTGGAGCTGAATCAATAGCGTGTGCTCATTATGTGTGACGTGTGAACCAGATGCAAGATGCAGTACCCCTGGATATCTTTGTGATGGAGATGAACATTACATTGATGGTTGTTGTCTGTCTTCCAGGTATTGTGGCAGTCAGTAGTGGCGGCGACAGTATGGATATCTACGATCTCAGGAGGAACACTCAGGAGAAACTTCATTGTGAAAAAGAAACCATAGAAAACTTCCAGGTAAGATGCATCTCAACGGTATTCCTCATACAGGCGCTTACAACGTCTTCGTTTTGTTGGGCAGAACACCTAGTGTCATCACCTTTTTCATAGTGATTCATAAACTCATGCTTAGGGGCGGATCATTTGATATGCTTGGGGATGGCTGTGATTTTATCGGGGGAAAGAGTCCTGGAAAATTCTTGAAAATAATAATTATGCTTCAGACTATTGAAAAAAATAAACAACTTAACTTTCTGCCACAAAACTGCATTGTTTGCAGGGTGTGTGGGTTTTTTCAAAACCAAATTTAGGCGCATATATTTTTAAAAAATTAAAAACATCTGGTTTGATTTAAAGCTGTAGCTGAAAAAAATATCTAATCTCCATGCAAAATCTCAGGCCCTCCCAGAATAGTACATGATCGGCCCATTATGATATAGTCAGACATGTTCAGTGCACTTTTGGAAGATATTCCTTAGGGTTATGGAAAGGGTTTGTCTTACACTTTAAAAAACATTAAGCAATGTTTCAATGGCTTCCTGCGATGTTACACACTGACTCCAGTAGTGTCACCATGAGTGTTTGTGATGTGTGGGACTGCTGAGTATCTCTCCAAGAATACATCAATGGTTGGCTCTGACATTACAGAGAATCTCTAGTATGTGGAACCAGTTCACAGTAACCACCGCCGAAATGTTGCTTGCATACTGCCTTCACACAAAGTCACAACATATGGTTTCAGCTGAACGAGACGGAAACAGTGTTGGCCGTGGCTACAGAAGATGGGTCGTGTATCGTCTATAATCTGGAGAAAAAAGTCCTGCTTTTTTGTCTCAAACCAGAAGATATTTGCCCCGAAAGTCCGGACAGCTGTGACTTCCTAAAAGTGTCAGGTGTCACAAATGACGGGAAGTTCCTGGTTCTGGAAACTGAGGATTTGCCGAAAATTTGGAATATTGAAAAAGGTCTAATTGATATCTTCTCACTGAGCATAAGCATGCATTGTAGAGTTACACAATGCACATTTTGAGGTCTTGTTGAGCTTTGGCATGCATTGTAGAGTTATACAATGCACATGATGAGGTCTTGTTGAGCTTTAGCATGCATTGTAGAGTTACACAATGCACATTATGAGGTCTCGTCGAGCTTTTTCAATTGTGTTGAGGGTTCTTTTATAAAAGCAGAACTGAAAAGTTTGCCTTGTTTTTAGTTTGTTTAACGCCACACTCGGCAATATGTCTGCTAAATAGCTGCTTTTAATGCTTTGAGCGAGGCGACTTAGTTGTATGCCATGGAGCAGCATGGCATCAGCTTTCTGTCTGTAGCTCTGTGGAAATAATTGCAAGTACATGTTCTGCTTCCACTGGCACAATCCTCTGATGATCTAGATACATCCTTTTTCCATTGAATTCCGTCAATTTGGGTGTAACTCGGAATGCGTTTAGTTATTGATTCCTCGATGACGCCCGTGGGAAATCGGGGGAAATAGGTTGCCGGTATCCGTATTTGTCGTAAGCGCCCACTTACGAGTGTCGTGTGCTCCAGAAATGTTACTAGGCTGACTCAATATCATATAGGAACCCAACTGCGGAGATCTCTGCTCATTGTTTGGCCCAAACGCAGTTTCACACAGACAGCCACGATATATATATATAAAATATAGCTGATTGTGGCATAAAACAACCCTCATTCATGCACTTTGCCACATTTATTTTGAATCCACTCACTCGCTAACTAATGAGTTTCCTTCTACAGAACAAGCCTCCAGTGACCTGGAGATGTACTGGGAAAATGGAGAGTACATAGAGCTCTCACACACCGCACTACTTCCGGGAAATCAGCTCCTTGCAGCGACAGATACCGGAACAACCTATGTGTTGGACATTACGACAGGTACAATTGTTTGTTTGATTGTTTGTTTGTTGTTTAACGCCGTACAGAGCAATATTCAAGCTATATGACGGCGGTCTGTAAGTAATCGAGTCTGGGCCAGACAATCCAGTGATTGATATCATGAGCATCGATTCAGGCTATGACATGCATCAACCAAGTCAGCGAGCCTGACCAGCCGATCCCGTGAGTCGCCTCTTACTACAAGCGTAGTCGCCTTTTACGGCAAGCATAGGTTGCTGAAAGACCTATTCTACCCCGGATCTTCACGGTCACGACAGGTAAAAAGAAGGAAGTGTGGGTAAAGAGGGACACGTTTTCAAAGACCTTCCCACAGTGTAATGATTCGTTAATCAAGTAGGGAATGTGTTCATCAATCGGACTGTCTGTTCAATTCCAGTGTGGGTTTCATTACGGCAGTACATTCCTTGGTGTCGGTTTTGAGTAGCTGCTAAACGGGCATTGAATAAGTGTACAACACTGTGCAACATTTACCAAAAGTTCGAATTACTAGTATTTGAATTGCCGATGTTAAATTTTAACTCACTCACTCACTCGAATGATTTGAAAAAAGTTTTGGGCCATAACCAAATTTTGACGGCTCAGTAATAATTTCCATTGAAGGAAACAAGTTATATACACTATTCTAATTTAGGACCACTCGATTCTCTCATATTCGGGTGGTCCTTAACTCCTTTTGAGTAGTTCATATCACACAGGCGTTCATCCATAAATAAGATCAGATTCAGTCCGTCACATTAAGTTTTGATTATTCATTTGACTTTTGGATCCTTGATTTCGAAAGGCCAGTAAGCCATGTTTCATTCACTAGGGCATACGTTGGTTGAAAACTCCTTTCATCGCGGTGAAGTTCGTATATCGTCCAGTCGCAGCGACACCTACTTGACCTACGGTGAAGACGCCCAGGATCAGACCATCGCTGTGTGGAGCAAATCAAAGGTGGCTCCCAAGGCTACCTTCACTTCCGATCAGCAGGTACCGTAGCATGTGAACATTCACTTTACTTTGACAGTAGTGCATTCTGTGTCAAGGATGCCCAGTTTAACGTACTTTGTCTGTATTAAGGGCGTGGGGGCCCAGTGTCTAAGGTGTCAGCACTGACTGTGTTGAGGTGCGGACGGTTGGTCGTTTGTTCGACTCCTTCATTTATGATCTTTGGTTTGGTAGCAGTTTAAACTGGACTTTTTCAGTCAGCTAACTCCCTTGCCTTGCCTTGGAAAGATCCACTATACCCATGGTTTTGAGTTTCACGACAGTGCAATAAATAAAATACTGAGCAGCGTTTAACAGGGCAGTGAAGGGTAGGGAATTCTTTGTATTTCTCTATTTTTAACAACCATACATTATGACAATGTTTATGATATAAAGCAAACGATAAATGAACTTTCACACAAATAAGACCCGTAAAGATCCGGGATAGAATAGGTCTTCCGCAACCCATGCTTGTCGTAAGAGGCGACTAACGGGATCGGGTGGTCAGGCTCGCTGATTGGTTGATGCATGTCGTCGTATCCCAATTGTGTAGATTGATGCTCATGATGTCAATCACTGGATTGTCTGGTCCAGACCCGATTATTTACAGAACACCGTCATATAGCTGGAATATTGCTGAGTGCGACGTTAAACAACAAACAAGCAAACAAACAAATCACAAACAAACAATAAAACAAACGTGACCAGCCCCTGGAAATAATGAACGTATTTTCAGGCGACACTTTTTGTATTTCTTTGTTTACGGATTTCAAACTCATTTCAAAAGTGAGGCAGGCCAATTTAAAAAAAAAAAAAAAGCCTCACATTTTTTTTACTTGAATTTTGTCCTAAAAAGTTAGGTAGGTATGAAAAAAAATATCCTGGCGTAACAAAAGTCAAATAACTCAATTTTTCAAGAACATTTTATTATATCCCTGGCACTCAGCTTGTGCACAAATGGCAACATAACAATATTCATGTCATGGGTGGAAATGCATGAAAGATGCTGCTATTTTGGCAGCATGGGCAACGTTTAACTCTTTCAACACCAGCCAACCAGAAGATTACTGCTGTGACACCAAGTTCCCAGAGACTCTTGTGTGATAGATGAAACAAACATTTATCAAGGAAATTATCTGCTGAAATTAACATCTTTGCTACTACATGTTTGGCCATACACTATTTGAAAGGTCTAATTAATCCTATTGTTTATAAATCTGAAAGTTATGTGTATTACATTATTTAAATAATTCATTAACAACTAATTAAAGTTCGTTTTAAATAAAAATAATGTAAGCTAAAACATTCATAACGTCGATTAAGGACCAATGAAGCGCAAATTTAAAGATTTTTTCGCCAAATATAAGAATTCATAAAATCCACATACCCATTTCTTTTTTATTTTCATTTGTTTACGTTGTTGGAACGTTATTTTAAAAATTTAAAAAGAATTACAAATAATATCTGTCATCACCCATTTCCCGATGATAGTCCGCTCACTAACATGATGAAATACCTCCGTTTTCAAAGCTTCGTATGAATAACACAAACGTCTAAGACTGCCATGTCAGTATACATTAAAAAAACTTATATTGTTTCACCGACAAAAACTGCTACAAGGTTCGTGATTGGTCAAATTTAAGCACGTGACCTAACGCAGCCAATCAAATTACAGCAACGGTAATTTTCAGACTTTGGCGAAAGGTTTGGGTTAAATCATGTTATTCTGAACGGCTAAGCATGGAATCGCGATCTATATTAAAAATATGGAACTTTATGGATGTATAGAGCTAGGTTACGAGCTATGACAAAGATTTCGTATGCATATATTTTGGCATTAAGACATCGTGTCCGAGCCGAGAAATCGAGGCGACGAAAGGCGAGATGTCATTATACTGACAATTACATGCGATCGCACGAAAAGTTGGAAATAATAACAAAGATGTCAGTTTGGCAACTTTTATAGATATATTTTGGAAGATTTTATTTCTTTGTCAATAAAGACGTTTCAGCACTTGAAACGTCTTTATTTTGCTGTTTGACATGTTCGATGAGGACCCGTTCTCGAAGTGTGTCCGAGAATATTTTCAATAACATTGCGGGAAATCGTGTCTAGTGAATACATTTTTAATCTATAGATAAAAAAATGATAAAATCAAATGGAATACGTATTTCAGACATTGTGAAATGTGATAGATTTAATAAATGAATGATGTGACAAGTAGGTTAATATAATTATAAACTATTTTGACGTGACTTGGACGGTCTACCGTGCGGTGTGACTTGTGGCTTTGAACGGCCGACAGTGTTGAAATAGTTAAACTGGTCACCACTGCGCTTTGCGTTGACAAGCTATGATGGTATTAGAGAAGGATCCCAGCAAGAAATATCAGAGTGACTTCCGTTTGCTTTACGCTCGACGAGAAAATGTAATCTTTTTTTTGTTTGAACTTTTTGTCGAAAATATCGGCGGTAATAAAAAAAAGGGTAATTTTCATTTTTATTTTTTTTTAACATTTGGACTTTGAAAGAGCGGCGCATCCGTAAACCAAGAAATAAAAAAATTGTCGCCTTACGAGTGCCCTATACAAGCTATATTTCCATCCCTGGTGTGCATCAGTTGCATTGTGAAGTGAGAACATACGCAGGGTACGTAAAGGACATTACTCTTTTATTAAACCAGCTGGATGAAGTGACGCTTAGTGAAGATGGGAACTTCATCATCGGCTGTCTGAGAAACCCTGCGAGAATAGTCACTTGGCACGTTCAAGACGGAACTATATCACGTGAAAAGTGCATGGATGGCAAAGCCCTTTTCAGAAATGAAAGTAAGTCAGTCCTTCTTCAGTGCGAGTGGCGGGTGCTACCGCAGAGGCAGGACACGCTCTACCGTTTCATGAACACCTGGTGTCATCATTGATTTTCAGTGATCTATTCATTAACCACTTTTATCTCTTTCGGCAGATATTCGAGTCTAGATATTCTATGGAGTTGACAAAAAACATTCTTGTAACACTCTCGTCACAGTGTAAAGGTGTGGCAGAGCTCCAGATAAACTGTGTATCTGCGTAAAATACGCATCAGAAATGCAGAAATACGCAGTAAAATAAAAGCCAAGCGTATCAAATACGCAACGAACATTACAGATACGCTACAAAAATAAAACTTGTGCGTATCATCAAAATATTGTGAAGTAACCCTGCGTATTCGATTAGGAAATCAGCAACTTAATTTGAAATTATAAACGGGCATTCCGTCAACCTTGCCAAATCCACAATGACAGTTACATCATGATCATTTGCCATCACACTTTCTTGTGGAAGAATCGTGATTTTTTTTAGTCCTATAAAGCTCTTGAACCCACACGACACCAGTTTGCAGGGACTAGATGAATAGTGTTTTTAAATATTTAACTTAAATACCCACATGTGTAAAAAACTAGTGGGTAACAGAAATTTGAATACCCAGATAGAATTACTGATACCCAATGATTTTAAAATGCATGGATAAAATTCCCACAACACCAAAAGCTTATCTGGAGCTCTGATGTGGCCTTTGACCTGCTACGTGGCTACTGAATTGTCCGGGTTATTCATTTCAGTGAATAGGTAATAACTTGTCTGTGTGGGTAACATACGTTCTGTTGCACAGGGAACTGTTGTTCCTCTTAAGATTAAAAATGTGTACTAACACTGATTATATGGTTCTGGAAATAATACGATTACATAGAAACGGGCTCCGTCCGTCTGTCATGATTCGTTTCCGGAGCATAAATCAGAAACCGTTCAATATTTTTTCATGAAACTTTGCAGGTTTGTCAGGTACATGCTGAACTGGTGCCTTTTGCTATTTAAAAATTTTAGAAATTTTTATTTTTTACGTTTCCATGGTAACAAGATGGACTTAGGTTCTGTGAGGGTAGGGTTCGTTTCCGGAGCATAACTCATAAACCTTTTAATATTTTTTCATGAAACCTTCCAAGTTTGTCAGGTACGAGTATGAACTGGTGCCTTTTGCTATTAAGAAATTTTAGAATTTTTCATCTTTTACGTTTCCATGGCAACAAGATGGACTTAGATTCCACACTCTTCTTTTTTTACAATTTCCATGACAAGTTCCACCTCGGTTAAAAAAGGTTAGGGTTTGTTTAGATTTAATTATGTCATTAATTCTGCAACAGGGGCGGGGGATATAGCCACGTTAGTGGCAAACTCTTGATATTATTATCCCCCGCCCCAACGAAGTGGGCGGGGGATATAGAAATGGGTTCTGTCCGTGTGTGTGTGTGTGTGTGTGTGTGTGTGTGTGTGTGTGTGTGTGTGTGTGCGTGTGTGCGTCCCGAAATCATTTCCGGAGCATAACTCAGAAACCGTTAGATATTTCTCTACGAAACTTTGCATGTTTACCAGACACATACTGAACTGGTGCCTTTTGCTATTTAGGAGTTTTATAAAAAAATATGTTTTACGTTTCCATGGCAACAAGTTGGACTTAGGTTCTATAAGGGTGGTGTTAGTTTCCGGAGCATAACTCAAAAACTGTTAAATACTTTCTTACAAAACTTTGCATGTCTACCAGGCACATACTGAACTGGTGCCTTTTGATATATAGCACTTTTAGAATTTTTTATTGTTTATGTTTCCACGACAACAAGTTGGATTTAAGTTTTAATATAGGATTGGTTGCAAAACATTGCATGTCTATATATAAAGCGCATACTGAACTAGTGCCATTTGATATTAAGGAGTTTTAGAAATGTTTATTTTAGAATTTCCATTGCAGCTATTTTGACATGGGCTAAGAGAAATGTTGGGTCAGTTACCTGGTTTGGGACCATAACGTGTTAAAATGGGCGGGGGATATAGATGACTTTGTCAACTATACGCTTGTTATAATTATTATTATTATTATTGGATACAATAGGCATTCTACATTTGCAGATGGATGGTCTCTGTTTTAATTAAGAAATAAACGACGAGTGGGAGTTGTTTATTGTACAATAAAAAAACTCCAGGGAGAATAAACCATGAGGGGTGCAGGATAAACAATGACCACGAGTCGATTTTTTCGTATATGACATTCATCTAAGGGGAACAACTGCGAGTGCATGTTCGAATCTCCAGAAATGACGTCATGATAGAACAATGTTGTGTCGTGAAATAAACCAGGCTTCGTTCTTCATTTTGTCCTTTGCCATTTATCGCGTAGCTATCTTATATAATCTCATATTGCACGGGTCCACACTCGCGGACACTGGTCAGCCCCCTGAGTAGCCTCATAAAACGTGACTAGATGCACACGATACATCTGAGATTAACATTTCAATTTTTTGTAGTACTGGACATGGATCTCAAACTGGACGACGAGGAAACAACCGAAGACAGGTACTCGACAGATGACAATCTCGAGTCCGCCGACGAAGAGGGAGGAAACCTTGGCGATATATTTGGATGACGTATCAATTACAACACGGTACACCACAGTCGTATGGTAGACAGTAGACAGTCTCATTCGTCACCACTGGCCGTGACCTGCAAGAAGACTCGTCCCCCTATCGATGAATGTTATGTGCGAAAGTACGACAACCCAATCAGAATGCGCGTTTGATTTCAAGTTCTTCGCCAAAGAATCCCTCAGAAATAATTTTTGATTTTACATATATGTCTTGCATCTAAAAATATAACCTAGATACAGTTAAATGTGTTCAATCATAGTGTATAATTACACATGTCACGTTGTGCTTCAAATTGCATCTGAAATATATGTAATATATGGGGAAATATATGTGAACCGTTACGCAACAATTTGACAATGGTTTTAGGTATGTCCGTTTGCGCTAAGACGGAACCCGGTCGCAAAAATGGGCATGAGAGGGCACGAGTCGCTATTCGGCTTGTCCCGGAATAACACGAGTTGGTCACCAATGCCCCTACACTGTCACCTGAAGCCTGGGTGCGACTTCATCCACTTAAAAAGCATTATATGACACAGTCTACCAATACCATTAATACAGCATTCGAGAAAGCATTCATAGCATGGAATACTTTGATAATCACAATGCTGTAGATTGTAATCAAGTTAAATTGCTTACCTTTGACAGTATTTGTAACAGTGCTGTAAGTTACATTTGGATACTGAAACTGACTTTGGCTCAGTTTAACTCCTATCAATGTATATCAAGATTCTGAGACTCCAATATATCATTAAGCAGCTGTTGGAGGGAAGAGACGCCGTATGGCTGATATAATACGACATACGAAAGTACTTACGAATTTACTTTAGAACTGATTTTCACGTTGTGTGGGTTCATTCGAGCATGAACCTTCATACTCCAATGAACTCTAACAAAGTGAAAGTCAATTCTTATAATTTATTCATATCATTATTTTATACCTCTAGGGTTGTATTACACAATTTGATGTAGAACGTGTGACTACCTGCTGGAATACAACAACCCACTGTGACGCGGGAAAATAATAGTTCACCAAAAGGAGAGGCTGTATGTATGCTCAAATTGCTCTACAGAAACATCTTTTTTAGTTTGGATACAACAAATAGATTCAAATAATATCATCATTAGATGATACAGGTCTCTTACGAACTACCTCAGAGAGTCGGTCACAGTGACAGCGCGTCGTAATACATTAACGTCAAATACAAGACGTCAACATGGCCGACACAATAAACGTGATGGGAGAGATTTCCGACGTTGTTAATGAACCTGTGGCGATAACAAGTGTTCGTGAGCATTGATCAATTTGCCGATCATTCACACTCTTATGAACGTCAGTTTCGCGCTCATTTGGTCTGAGACATGCATCAATTCGGGCTTTCCTCCGAAATTAAGCTGACACGCCGCTATATAACTGGAATACTGTTAAAAGCGGCGTTAAACCCACCTTACTCATTCATTCGACCGACCCCACGTCCAATGGAGGAGTAAATCGTAAATCGTGTAAACTTCACATTAATATAATATTTTTGATAAACAATGTAATCTGCCTGATTAGACCAGGATGTGTTCGATAGTTATAACTAGCATTTGTTGAATAATGTGATCATCATCTTAGATCGGCGCATCATGCGCTTCTGTCACAGTACATTTCTACAATATGATACTTATTGGTCGGTTTTCATCATACGGTCCCCTAAATGCTCTATTTTTCATCAAGCTGGGATTTTTCAAATTTTAGTTTAAAACGACAGTATATTAGAAATGATCTCGACTACCTACACCATATGAAGTATATAAACTCATTTGTGTTCCATCACACATGAACAATGTTTTCTGCTGCTGCGTTTAAAAGCTCGGTGGGTTTGTTTTTTGCTCGGATGCGATTACCGTACAAATCATGAAAGTAGAAAAAAAATCTCAATTGAGAGGTTTTTGTATTACCGCCGAGTCTGAAAACCTAATTTAGCAATAAAATATATCACAAACTGTTCTCGTGCATATCATGCAAGATATTAAACTCACCAACGACAGCACGTTTAAATAATTGTCAGGATCTTGGCCATTTGTTAATACTTACCGACCATATGTTTACACAATAGACAAAATAATAATTTGAAAGTGTTTTTTATACTTCAAGTTTTGAAAAGAAATCCGTGAGCCAACTAACAAAAAACATGCCCTACAATGGCAAGTAAAATTTGATGTTTATTGTGTGTTTTATGTATTTTAATATGGTGTTCAACAACGTCAAATACCATACGCAAATACAATGTCCTTGTATGTAGAGAGACTGTGCCTCGTTATCAACAGTAGTAATTGTCGTGTCCTTTTTGTCGCATTATGTTTGTTTGTGAGGGTTAGAAGAAGTCATTACTCGTCAAAGGGTCATACTCAGTATGAAAAATGTATGTACAATTCCATTTGTTGTCGTAAATCTGCGGCCTACAGAGGCTATAGTGCTTGGTGATAACTTTGGACGATGGGACAATTGAATAGGAAATTGTCATTTTTTCAAAGTGTGCCATGTGGACCCAGTGGAATCTGTTTCATGGTCGACAATCGAGACGTTCTCTGGCGTTGACAGTATATATTTATCGTTTGGTTTAAGGTGAAACGCCTTGAAGTCTATTACATGTATTTTGGTATAACATCTCGCTACAAAAGAGATAGGGAGTATTTTGTCCCTACGTACACTTCTTGCAAGAATTATCCTAAAAAAACGACTTTTGAATAAATACTGGGTCGCGTCAACTGTTAACTTTCCATATGTGTCGACACCACAATCACACAGTATTGATGCGGAGGATATATATTTATGTATGTGTGTCTCTTCTACATCTACACCAATGCATGTGTGGTACAGTCAAACACTGTTGTGTCGGAAGATGAAGGGACCTACGTAAATACTTCGAGTTATCCGAGATTCGACACATCCGAAAATGATGAGTAAAGAAGGAATACGCAGGGTCCGGTCCAAGCTTTTACTTCGTGACAAGCGTATGTTCGACACATCAAAGTTCGACACAACGGTGTTTAGATGTGTTATCATCATCTGTGGTATTGTTATATTATTTTTTTAATGTTGACTCTCGTTGTATTGAAGTACTTCGCAGCCTATAGGCTGGCCATCAGTTTCAACCGTTTTAATGTATTACAATACGAGTAGTTTGAGACGGATGACATCAATGAGATAATCAAAAATTCGGCAACGAGATCCTTTGCGAGACTCTTGTGTGTACAAAGAAATGGTTTCACACTTTGTACAATTGTTTAAATCTTTGGCATGAAGAGCTGACGTTTTTCATAGAACACCCTAAAAACAGAATTACATCCTCGATTAACCAGTGTTTTATATATCCAGTGTTATGAAAAATATCTTTCACCCATTCGCTACCATTGCCTCGTCTGCGTCATGACATGACGCTGAAAAGAGACCTGATATCAGCTTACACTCATGAGTGCGAGACATTCTAGGCGCTAGGCCATCCCTTTATTGTTATATGTGTTTCTTATCTCCACCCTCAACCAACTAGAGAAAAGGACGGGCGAAATATAATGACAACATGTATATATAACTGTTACACTAATTGTGTAACTTATTTTAGAACATTTTAAAGTTAAAACACTTTGTACCAGTCGGTTTGTTTCGGAAAGGACTTTTTTTTATAAACATAGCGAAAGAAAGAGCTATTTTTGAGTGTTCAATGACAGTAGGGGCATAATTTTCCACAACGGTAAAAATTGAGATACGAAAACATTTTATTATTTGAGTGAGTTGAGTTTAACGCCGCTTTTATCAGTATTCCAGTTATATCGCGGCGTGTCAGCTTAATGTGGGAGGAAAGCCCGAAGCAATGCAGGTGTCAGACGTTTACCACTTCGGTGAAACACACGAGCACGGGTAGGGTGCTGACAAACCTAATCGGGGCGAACCGGGATTCGAACCCACAATCATAGGTTTCTGGCGCGTCCGAAGGGACGCAACTCTGCACAGCGAATCGCGGCGCCTTAGACGACTGGGCCACCAGTGCCCCCTCGTCGGAATGAAAATCCAGGGTGGGCGTGAGATGGGAAACTCAGACAAACATACGGACATGGCGAGGTTAGTGATAAGAGCGTGAGATGGTGAATAACTTCCAACACATAGCTTTGATGGTGAACGAGTCCAGGTTATCACAATAGGATGTGATCAAGGATGACAAAATTATGACAAATGTCGAATTTTCTGAGAATATAGGTTAACGGAGCTTAACATACATATATTGTGCCGTATATTTACAATTTGTGTCATAATTGTTTTACATCAATACAATTCCAATTATGTATTTGTTATGAACAAACATCTTTGCTGTTAGAAATGCTTTTCTGAGAATGATTGTATACTCTGTGAAACATTATATGACATGTTGATTACTTTCATATTTTATTTCTATACACTTACGGTTGTAGCCCTTTTAAGGCAAATTCCTGAAGAAAAATAAATGTATCTCTTGAAATACAGAATATAAAAACATTTTTCATAACCATAAGATATATCTACCAAAAGCAGAATCCATTTTACAATTCCGATCATATCTTCATATGAATCGTGTTTATAAATCACTAGCTTCCCTGGAATTTAATTCAACAGAATTTAAGCACTAATAATAATGATAATAGTTCGTGTGTGTTTTCATAAGCATGCATCAACGCATTGTCATAGTACTATTCAGTGCTATATCCCCACGTTACAGTTATATCTCGTGCCTCATATCTGAAGCACGTGAAGTGCATTCCTGTCGACCCGTGAAGATACCCTTCCAGGTCTTCAGTATCAATGTTTGTAAGAGGCGACTAACGTGATCCTGTGGTCAGGCTCTCTGACTTGGTTGATGCATGTCATCGTATCCCAATTGCGTGGATCGATGCTCATGGTGTCAATCACTGGACTGTCTGGTCCAGACTGGATTATTCACAGACCGCCGTCATATAGCTGGAATGTTGCTGAGTGCGGCGTTAAACAATCTCATTGAAATCAGATCTCAGTTCTCGCTGCCGCTAAACAAAGATCTGAGGACATCCCATTACGGGTCACGTTAGACCGACCTGACCGACCAATGGAATTACTGACAAGAAGTCGACATTAGCCAATCAGAAGGAAGCTTTCTCGTGCTTTACGGCACTAATTGCAAATTGGCGACTACGCTTCGAAACATATTTTGACAAATTCTCGCTTAAAAATTTGAAACTTGTGCAAAAGAACATTCTCAAATGGATAATATATGGTCCAGATTGTATAGATTCAGTCGTTAAGCCCGTAACTATCGTGTGGAATACCCCGTTTTAAAGTTTTCGAGGCTGCGTGATTAGAAATCACATTCCGACTGTCACTGTCATGATCTGGTAAGCGACGCTCTGATTGGTCGGATGAAAGGTCGTTCTGACGCGACCCCTAATGGGATGTCCTCAGATCTTTGTTTAGCGGTCGCGAGAACTAAGATCTGATTTTAATGAAATTGGGCGATAAACAACCAAGCAACCAACTACCCAATCAAAGCTTGGTTCCATTCTTCAACCCCTCAAATCGGGCTGGCATGTCCAGCTATTTTCAATTAGGCTATCAGTTGATGGTAAATATCAAATGTCACTGACACCTGTCAATCACTCTTATCGACTCAAGGCTGTATAAGGCGTGCACATGTCAACAATCACTGTAGCCACGGCCACAAAACGATCCAAGCATTGACTTTCGTAAATCTGCGTTGAAGTATGGGATACGTTGTGATCGATTTGTGGATGGGCGCCTTATATCAACGTCAGTTTAATTCGGATTAAGACCGCCTCCGTGGTTTTGTGGTAGAGCGGAAGGTCCGGGGTTCGATCCCCGGCCGCGTCATACCAAGACGTTAAACGATGATACTTGTTGTTACCCTTTCTGGCGCTCGTCATTAAGGAGCTGCAAAAAGGACTGGTCGGCTCGGAGTCAGTATACTGTGTCTGAGTGGGGTATTCAGGTTGAACTGCGGCATGGTATCTCAGTGAGCTAGTACCATAATCGGCATCAGTCCGGACTCGTACAAGCAGCCACACACACACACACACAGACACACGTGTGCATGCACGTCGCTATATAACTTCAATAATCTTGGACGCGACGTTAAACCCAATTTCACCTAACCACACCTAATTCGGGTTAAGACAGATAATAACTGATCATTAAACGTACCATATAAGTTTCATAGTCAGTGTGTTGGTTATAGTTCTAGCCCACTGAGATACCTAGCCGTGTGTTGTCGTGCCAGGCCAGTGAGTTACCAGGCCGTGTTTTATGGTGCTAGCCTACTAATATACCATGTCGTGTGTTATAGTGCTAGCCCACTGACATGCCATGTGTTATAGTGCTAGCCCACTGACATGGCATATGTTATAGTGCTAGCCCACTAGGATACCATGCCATGTTTTAAAGTGCTCTCCAACTGAGATAAATTGCTGAATTTCTAACCAGAATGGGTAATTTCAGTGAAGAAAACATTTGATAATTAAAACATTCAAATATTTTTATTTTACAAGCGCCTTGTACCATGTACCATGTGAAACATATACTCGACAATAACCGTACCGATAGTCGCTTTGACTTGTCGGGAACGGCTTCCAAACTATATAGCTGTCATGTCACGTCATGTCGCATCATGTCATGTGGTCCTGTCCAGTATTGTCCTAATCATCCCACAGCTGCATCCGAGATCTGCTCCCGTGTCACTGGAGGCGCTTGAAGTACCGTGTACATACCACATCACGCGCGTGAATAGTCTGAAAAGAAACAAGAATCAAGTAGATTTTGTTCATGTGGATTCTCCTTCAAAGTTTCTCGCCCCGGGCAGTGACCTCTGCCACCCACTCGAGACGCATGCGCAACGGCCTATTTCCGTGAACGGACATCTTCTACAGTGATGTGGTCAACATGTTTTAATGATTGAAAGAAAATGAAGATTTAGCTTTGAATGACAAATAAATAAATGTAAATACATCATTTAACACGCAGCAGCCTTATGCAATACCATATCATGGCGGCTATAATTAATATGATGCGGTGGGGCTGGGACGAGCCCAAATTTACTACCCGGGTACCCACCCCCCTATTACCCGACCCTACGCGGGTACCCGCTGTAGGTCTCAAGAGGTAGGTACAAACCGATTGGGAAAGGTTTGACCGTAGCTCTGGTAAAAAGTGTTTAGATACATGCATGAAACGATCCGGTGTATACACAGAAGTTGACTGACGTTTTACTTTTATTCAAACATATAAAAGTCAGAAGGAATGAGTGTAGTAGTCAGGAAGAACTGCGATAAGTTGTGACTTGTAGTTTAAACATAGAGTTTTAGATACGTTTTGTCATTAAACAATATATCACGTGACTAACAGTGGGTCCGGGTAGTCCTGTGGGTACCCAGGTCCTACTCGGGTGTTTTTGCCCGTTTCAACCCCAGAACATAACTCGCAAACTAGACATGCTGGTAGTTCTGGAAATATAATTGGATGTGGGTCAAATATAATAATGTCCTCCTTTGCGAGAAAATAGTATGTTTTTTAAGCGTAGAGAGTGTGTGTCTCGAGTGAGCAGGGTTTACGTCACTTACTGTAAAAACATTGTCCAGCCATATCACGCCCAGGGTCACCAGAAAGTGGCGTAACGCACTGTACCCATGTGGGAATCGAACCTGGTGCTACGGTGTGACGAGCCAACGCTATAGCCACTAGACTATCCTCTCGAATTTGGTGTTACGCCGCCCCTCAAGCCGCATCGTACCCCAGGGACACCAGGGCCCACTCAACAAAGCGATCTTAGCGCTAAGATGAACTCCCATACTTTAACATAGGCTCACAATAGTCGTAGCGCTAAGATCGCTTTGTGCAAGTTGGCCCAGGCATGGACTCTCATCGTGATACTGCTGGAATATTGCTAAAAGCGGCGTAAAACCATACTCAATCAGTCTCCACATCGTGCCCTTGTGGGAAGCGAACCTGGTCTTCGGTGTGATGAGCCAACGCTTTTACCCTGCGGGAAAGGTGAGTGAGTATAGTTTTACACCGCTTTTGGCTAAACTCCAGTAATATTGCGACGGGGACACCAGAAATGTGGCTCTGTACACATGCAGGGAATCGAACTCGGGTATTCGGCATGATGAACGAACGCTTTAACCACTAGGCTACCCGGAGTGGTATACCTACCATCACCATTTCTCCATCAACAACATCTCGGACGGTTCTCTGCGGTGGCAGTTCCGAGTCTATCGGCGTCGCCACCGTCTCCAGCTTCCCGTCCTTGTAGGAACCTACAACCTATTCATTCATATCAGAGTGTTTGTGTCTTTCTTTATTGTTTAACGCCACATGTATATTCTAGTTATATGAAGGCGGTCTGAAATGACCCGATTCTTCTACGACAACATAGGTTGTTGAAGACCTATAATATCACCCGGAATCCTCATCGGTACATTTTACACCATCATCGTCACCATCATCAAAGTTATTCTCTACCTTGTGTTTGACTTTGTTCGTCTCATTCTCGAACTCTTCGTCCAGGTTAAAGTTGTCCTCTCTGTCCCAGAATCCAGTCTTGTACACGATGCGGATTTTACCATCTTTCACTTCAACTTCCTGTTCCGGTTTGCCAGCAGCTGCTAGCTTCCTAGCAACTACATTTACCCCTGCAATAAGAAAAAAAGGACACTACAGCCCACACTTGTCGGCAATAAGAGAACACCAATGGTGATTATAAACCAATATAAACAGCAGTACAAAAGCATTAACATGTATTCATAATTCTTTCGGGCGCAACTCTGCACATCACATTGTGTATTCTGTCCAAGAATACTTAAAGGGAAACAAGCTGGTGCACTGAGGACCGATTCTGCCCCGCATTTCCCACGGGAACACACCCTGGTGTACTGAGGACCTATTCCGCCCCGTATTTCCCACAGGGACACACCCTGGTGTACTGAGGACCTATTCTGCCCCGTATTTCCCACGGGGACACACCCTGGTGTACTGAGGACCTATTCTGTCCCGTATTTCCCACAGGGACACACCCTGGTGTACTGAGGACCTATTCTGCCCCGTATTTCCCACGGGGACACGCCCTGGTGCACTGAGGACCGATTCTGCCCCGTATTTCCCACGGGAACACACCCTGGTGTACTGACGACTTATTCTGTCCCGTATTTCCCTTGGGGACACAACCTGGTGTACTAAGGACCTATTCTGTCCCGTATTTCCAAAGGGGACACACCCTGGTGTACTGAGGACCTATTCTGTCCCGTATTTCCCACGAGGACACACCCTGGTGTACTGAGGACCTATTCTGTCCCGTATTTCCCACGAGGACACACCCTGGTGTACTGAGGACCTATTCTGTCCCGTATTTCCCTTGGGGACACACCCTGGTGTACTGAGGACCTATTCTGTCCCGTATTTCCCACGAGGACACACCCTGGTGTACTGAGGACCTATTCTGTCCCGTATTTCCCAAGGGGACACACCCTGGTGTACTGAGGACCTATTCTGCCCCGTATTTCCCACAGGGACACACCCTGGTGTACTGAGGACCTATTCTGCCCCGTATTTCCCACAGGGACACACCCTGGTGTACTGAGGACCTATTCTGTCCCGTATTTACCACGGGGACACACCCTGGTGTACTGAGGACCTATTCTGCCCCGTATTTCCCACGGGGACACGCCCTGGTGCACTGAGGACCGATTCTGCCCCGTATTTCCCACGGGAACACACCCTGGTGTACTGACGACTTATTCTGTCCCGTATTTTCCTTGGGGACACACCCTGGTGTACTAAGGACCTATTCTGTCCCGTATTTCCCTTGGGGACACGCCCTGGTGCACTGAGGACCGATTCTGTCCCGTATTACCCACGGGAACACACCCTGGTGTACTGAGGACCTATTCTGTCCCGTATTACCCACGGGAACACACCCTGGTGTACTGAGGACCTATTCTGTCCCGTATTTCCCTTGGGGACACACCCTGGTGTACTGACGACTTATTCTGCCCCGTATTTCCCTTGGGGACACACCCTGGTGTACTGACGACCTATTCTGTCCCGTATTTCCCACAGGGACACACCCTGGTGTACTGAGGACCTATTCTGTCCCGTATTTCCCACGAGGACACACCCTGGTGTACTGAGGACCTATTCTGTCCCGTATTTCCCACAGGGACACACCCTGGTGTACTGAGGACCTATTCTGTCCCGTATTTCCCACAGGGACACACCCTGGTGTACTGAGGACCTATTCTGTCCCGTATTTCCAAAGGGGACACACCCTGGTGTACTGAGGACCTATTCTGTCCCGTATTTCCCACGAGGACACACCCTGGTGTACTGAGGACCTATTCTGTCCCGTATTTCCCTTGGGGACACACCCTGGTGTACTGACGACTTATTCTGCCCCGTATTTCCCTTGGGGACACACCCTGGTGTACTGACGACCTATTCTGTCCCGTATTTCCCACAGGGACACACCCTGGTGTACTGAGGACCTATTCTGTCCCGTATTTCCCATAGGGACACACGCTGGTGTACTGAGGACCTATTCTGTCCCGTATTTCCCACAGGGACACACCCTGGTGTACTGAGGACCTATTCTGCCCCGTATTTCCCACAGGGACACACCCTGGTGTACTGAGGACCTATTCTGCCCCGTATTTACCACGGGGACACACCCTGGTGTACTGAGGACCTATTCTGTCAAGGCCCAGCGGGTTTCTGCCTATTTACCACCCGACACTAGCTGTTGTGGTAATTGTTTTTTTGCTACAATGTACTGACTCACCCATTTCTTTCAGAAAATCCTCAAAATTTTCACTCCGACACAGTTTCCATTTGCCTCTAAATTTCTGCTGAATTTCGTCCAGTGCCATATCTAGTCAGGAGCAGTAGGCGGCCCAAGGTGACTGGAGAGTCTAGAGATATGCAGTAACTGTTACACTGTTACATCTGCAGATCGGTCAAGGTACAGTTAGTCATCAGAAGATGTGATAACACGATCACCTGCTGCATCAGACAAACCATATAACCTGGTAACCGCATTGTGCAGGAGACACTGACGTAAACTGCTTGGCAAAGGAAAGTATACACCCATGTTTGATGGTGGCTAAAATGAAACTCAATCCTGAGTACGTTATTTGATACGGATATCATAGTTGTGTTTTTGGACCTTCAGACTGCAGTGTTTCGGCGACTGTTTTCTGCCTAGTAACGGTTTGCTAGATTTGCTATTTTTTGGCAAATCTAATTTTCTAGTGTAAACTTCTTTGCCCTGCAGTTTATGTTACGAAATGAAATGACAAATCTTTCCAAACACATGTACAAAGTTTATTCAATCGAAGTCAGGTGTGGTCCCCATGGCATCATAGGCGTATCAGATAGGCGTCTTATCCATGTACACTGTTCTCATCCAGGAAACAAGCGTCGATACCACTTGTACTCGATCTTTGCGCGCCATCTCCAATGCAACAAGAACTGTAGTATAACCATTTTGTGGTGACGTCATTGCCAGGTCAGTCTCACAGCTGGTTAGGTACCAATGATAAGAGAGTTCTACACAAAACTACGGAGATCTCATGTAATACGAAAGTCGATAAACATCATGTGTTTCCCTATCCGGTTGTTGTGAAGAGGAGTTTTAACATTTAAAGCATTCGGTTAACGATGTCGGTTACAAATGAAATATCCGGGGATCAAATACTCAATAACACCGGCAAATCTGAAAACACATAATACGATCTACGGCCATCTTGTGTTGATACTTAATTTTGAGCACGAAGTTACATGATCAGTAAGAATAGTTGACCGCTGGTTTGCTGGAAAATGACCACTGGAAAAGTCATCACGTGATCAAATGGTCAGCTGTAAGCTTCGACTCCTTGTGACCAGACAATACCAACCAAGGCAATCGATAACATGTGGAGGGTACATAAATCAATAGTATATCAGCCCGGCGTTATTTGTCATTCAATCCCTCACATTTAAGTGCTTCCGGAATGCCTTTGTAAAGACCCGCTGGCTAAACACGCTTGAATATCCTCTTGCAGATGATGTCTCCCACGTCTATTGTCTGAAACAATGATACAATGCGAGAACAGCTCAATGTTTTGTTACAGCGAATAACCTGTCTCGCATTATCAGTTGTATAATTATATTGAGGATATGTGTATTTTCTTGTCAGAAAACATGTTTATTTCCTCGTGTGATCTGACAAAGATTGAAAGTAGTTCCGGCAAAGAGTGATATTACACTGCACATATCGATTTTACATTTTCAGATAAATACAATATTCACCAGTAAATAATTAATAAATATGTCGTTGAAAAATGCATAATATATCAGTATTATAATTTGTAGCAGTAAGCTAAGCTCGATCCCACTTCGTTAGATTCATGATATATCCCGAACATTCGGGATCTTTCTTCAATAAACTGCCAGGCAGAAGAAAGTATACACCCACGGTTGATGGTTGCTAAAATGAAAAAAAAAGAAAGAAAATTTTATGGTTATCCGATTGAGATGCATTTGTTACTTGATATCAGTACTGTTATTGCCGATTTTCGGCGACTGTTTTCAACCCAGTAAAGTTTTTATAATTTTTGTAATTTTTAGACAAATCCAATTTGCAAGTGTTTATGTTTTTTATGCCCGGCCGTCTATCTACATATCGCATTGATCTCATTTTGACAAATGTCAAAGAAACCGACGATATCTCACGGGTCGTTGGTGAAATAACCCGGCATGTTTCTCCAGTTGGTGACAAGTACTTGGACATATTACAGGAGACAAAGAGGCACTACTGTCGCGGAACAGATACAAAACATGGCCTTGATTTCTGCATTTCAATCTGAGTATGTCACTTCGTCGACAAAAATAAATGAGTCTTGTTATAAAATTGATAAAGGTGCGATTTCAAAAAAGTGAATATTTTAGTTAGGAAATATTTCGTAACTAAAGACATTTAAATGAGCATAAGAAATCTCTACTGAAACCATAGCCCACTGTGCGAATCAGGCTTCGTCATAAGCATGGGTTTAGGAATAACTCTCACATAGTGGTGACACCAGGTACTGCCATTAACTTTGTGATGTTGTTTCTTTGGCAGTTGTATTGTAAATATCGGTGATCGGTGGCAGGTGTATTGTAAATATCGGTGATCGGTGGTAGCTGTATTGTAAATAACGCTGATCGGTGGCAGCTGTATTGTAAATATCGGTGATCGGTGGCAGCTGTATTGTAAATACCAGTGATCATTGCATTCGGATCTAGGAAAAGTGGGCGAAACCAGTCAATTGATAAATGTCAAATACACCCTTTAATCTCAGTGCACCGCGGAAGGAAAATATTCTCCACTGATTATAGTTCATGCTATGCGCTGGAGAAATTCCCGAAGCCCGTGTGAATTGCATGACGTATTCCAGCGGCTTGTTGGTGCTGTTTTCTACTGAATCAACCTTATTTATTTGTCCTATATGTGTAATGTCACGTTGCACGTCATATAATCTTGCGTTCGCCAGGTGCCATAAGTACAATAAACGACTGATTAATTGATACTGTTAACAGCTGCTGGATATTCTAACTCACCTACTCACCATGACCATTTCATCCTGGATGAGCTCCCGACAGATACGCTGTGGCTTGAGGTCAGACCCCACTGGCCGTGAGGTCACCACCATCCGACCGTCGCTGTACACGACCTTCACCTTCACAGGATAAACAAGCAGGAGATGCTGGGATTTTGTATCGAGATTAGATATTGTTTCCGCTACAGCAACAAAACCAGATATTTTTGCCAGGATGAGCCTGACTTTTTTTAAAGAGAAAAACCTTGCAACAATGTATTTTTTGTGGCAGGCATCTTATTTTATTTTCAACAGTAATTGTAAGCATAATTATATTTGCCTCCATATGCATGTCAGTTATGCTTCATTTCTAATCAGAAGTGGCTTCTGTTAAAGCCTCTATAAAATGTTTATATTAGTTTTATCATCAGTATCTTGTTCACAATATTCATCGGTGTTGAGAGTTTATGGGAGACTTTAAGTGCTTATAGTGTCGATCATTGCGCTTTCACTTCAGTGAATGCGCCTTTTTCAATTAACATGTGAACTAGTGTTTACTTTCACTGACATGAGAGAGCACATGTAGTGCCTTGACAATTGTTAGAGCTTACAGTCTCCTATCTTTCCCCCAACTCAAACTTGTGTCTTGTATTTTCGGTTTACCATAAAGGGAGATAATACAAGTCCCGCGCCAGTTCTATTTCAGCAATTGCATATGCCCCTATTCAGGTTAGGTTGAATATGTACCTGTTGGAGCCATGTATCACCCGTCTTACACTTCTCAGAAAACGTTTTTTTCCGACCGACAAATTTTGGAAATCGTCATTCCGTGTTTGACTGTCATTGAGTTCCATCACTTAACAAGATGTAGTAACTGATATTTCATTGTACGTTGCATTTGCATGAACGTGAATGGTCATGTGACCGGATAACGTATCCTAGGGTAGCATCTTCGGCTTTCATCCTGTATTACCTTATGTTTAACTGTGTTCGTCTCTATTTCACATTCCTTTCCCAGGTCAAACACATCGTCCTGGTTCGATAATCCAGTTTTCGTCGATATCCTTATCTGACCGTCCTTGACCTCAATTACTTGTTCCGGCCTACTGGACTCCGCCATTTTTCGGAGCAAGACGTTAACCCCTGAAAGGTTAATATAAGTTTCATATTTGTTGAAGCAAAAAAACGACCGAGAAATGGCAGCATGTTGCCTCTCCTAAAGAGGTCCGACTCTGCATATGTTAAAGAGTGGCTATGCTCCACAGTTTGGTATCCATTTTTAATCTTGGTCTAAACGATGTATTATTGCCATGTAAATGAGATTGTGACTTAGTGAACTAGTGAGTAAGAATAGTTTTACGCCGTTTTCGGCAATGTTGCAGCAATATCATGGCGGAAATGGAACCCGGACCTTCGGCGAGACGAGCGAACGCTTTCGCCACTAGGCTACCCCACCGCCACTTTCAGTGTACAAAGTGGCGACATTATCATACAGATCGATATTCAGTATCAAAGATAGCAGACAAACAAAGACAGTTTTGACGGGCCTGAATCAAACTTACTATGCATGCCTACGAATTTGCGAGACTAGATTCCCTTTAAAACACTCGCATCTCAGAGAGATCCAAAACTCTAACTATACATTTCAGCTAAATGGCAGCTTAATGACTGATTCAATCATCAGGCTACACGCTGACTGCTCACTAGCATGGCGTGACAACAATATGTAAGGGCTTGAACCCTTTGACGAATGCATGTTATTCGGTACACAAGAGACAACAAACATGCAACGCAAGCTACGGCGTACGATGTCGCTAGGGAGCCATGTAGAGAGGTTCATTGACATCATTGGTGGTGTTCGGCAATGAATAATGGCAGAAATTCTAGACAAACATGTCGTGAAACGAATCCCAGTCTTCCTTTTAGAAAACATAAGCCTTGATAAACAAAAATACTTGCAGATTTTAAGGGATTGTTTGAGATAGTGTGGTTTAAGGTTTCTTTCAACAGTTGTATCTTTCAGGGATACCATTTTGTGTCAAGGTGATGTAGGGGGAAAGTCCGAAGTTATGTGGGAGGAAAATCCAAAGTGATGCAGATTTTAGACGTTTGCGACTTTGATGAACTGCGATCACGAGTATAGTCCTGACAAACAGAACCAGGGTGAATTTGGGATTCGAACCCACGATCATAGGTTTCTGTCACACGAAAGAAACACTACACAGTGAATATCGGCGACTAGAAACACTTTGTAAAAGACACACACTCTGTGTAACAAGGATAGCTGCGAACTTTCTATACAAAATCAAATTGCTAATGTCTGTTCACCTCTTGAATCAACTTGCTGGGACCATCAATTGGCTTGACCTCGGTGCACCTTTAATGTCTAACTGAGTCGACAGTGCGAGTCATGGGATATGGAAATCACAAGTGATTATATGTATCATGATGAAACATGTTATTACTGTCAGGGTTAATGCGGAGAGAGTGGTCATTCAGTCTGTATGAATACGGAATCAGTAAACACGCTTAGCTCATACAAATCTCAGTGACAAGAAAGAGCGGCATATACTCGGAATGACGTCACCACGCGTCTCACAGACAGCTATTGTTGTTTTGGATCTAGAATAATCCTGCTTCGAAGATGGCTCACACTTTAAATATCGCAAGCTGTCTGGAGCGTGTGGTTAATCATGGTAATTTTCTATTTATTTTAGAGTTCCAATTTTACTTTCCTTAAAACCATATTAAACTGAACGTGGTGTATCAACAAAATGTCGGGCAAAAGAAAGTATACACCCATGCTTGATGGTGGCTTAAAATGAAACAAACAAGAAATGGTTATTCGATGGGTTGATTGGTTGGTTGTTCAACGCCGCACTCAGCAATATTCCAGCTTTTTGACGGCGGTCTGTAAATAATCGAGTGTGGACCAGACAATCCAGTGATTGACATCATGAACATCGGTCCACGCAATTGGTATAGATGACATCCTTCAACCAAATAGCGAGCCTGACCACCCGATCCAGTTAGTCGCCTCTTACGACAAGCATAGTCGCCTTTTTTGGCAAGCATGGGTTGCTGAAGACCAATTCTACCCCGCATCTTCACGGGTCTGTTCGATGGGGATGTATTTGATACGGGTGTTATAGGCGACATCACAAGCATCACATGGACGAGTATATCACGACAGCTGACGTGCATATTACCTCTTGAAGAATTTGAGCGTCACATTTTCACAGTAAACAGTAATGAGCAGAGTGAAGCAGGTATTTCCAAGTGTATGCTTTCTCTTGCCCGTCAGTTTGTCCACCCGATTGAGTTGTGTGACCCGTATTGACATTATCTTGCACGGCCCCGTTTCACAAAGCGATCATAGCCCTAAGATGATCGTAACGCCCAAACTTTAACATAGGTTTGGGAGGCCATAAATAACTGCTTTGTGGAATGACCCCTCGCGTCATCCCGGATCATGCCAATGCCACATTATTGTTACTGTGTCTGAGTGGCGTATTCAAAAGAGAGGGGAGACACACAGAGAGGGGGTGGTGGTGGGGGTGGGGGTGGGGGGTTGGGGGAGAGGGATAAAGAGAGAGAGACGTCCATTCACGACGCAATATAAGTGCAATAATCGTTATACCCCATTTCACCTTGCCTCAAAATGGTAACACAGATTGAGCATAGTTCGACCTAACTGAATTGTGTTTTTGGATATTGCCAAAACACAGGATAGTATTCGTCCCATTAAAAGAAACGAAAGTTTACAAATATAAACTAGCCATTCAAAACTTCTGCAGGAGAAAATTGGTACAACGAGTTTCTCATTCTCAAAATTTTCGGTTTTAAGGCTAAACTAAGCTAAGATTATTGTTTCGGAAACACACACGTCTGAACCATCGGCATGGATACATGTGGATAAGTCGCTCATTACTTGACGTGGTAAATACAGCGGAATTCTATTTTCGTGACAAAATGCTAAACTTACCCATTTCTTTTAGAAATTCGTCAAAGTTTTCGCTTCTATCAAGCTTCCATTTTCCTGCAAACATCGTCTTAATCTCCTCCAGTGCCATGTCACACTAAAATCAGCGACCTGCAGCAGACGACAACGCGGCAGACGACAAGTCCTCAACGATAAAGCAAAGAATGGGAAATTGGTTCCCTGAACATGTGATTTACCACGTGACCGGTGGATCGATATTCCTTCACCAATATAATATTAGTTTCGTGTGAGAATAGATTGATCCGGTTTATTAAACCCCCCTTCCTCCCCTACTCCACCAGCAACTACTGTTGTGTTTTTGCCTGAAGTAGAATAAGATTTTTTTAAGTTTTGAGGACAAACAGTTGTTGCTCTGTTAGATTTTGTAGTCCGCCCGCAGGTCCACAGCTCCATAGTAATACATTATGACATAAGACGTTATGTCTCCAACTCTCCAGCTCTCTGCGTTTACATGTTTATTGTCCTCACACATTGCTGATCATAGTGACAAGAAGGCTTTGGGGCGGTGGGGTAGCCTAGTGGTGTAAAGCGTTACCTCGTCACGTCGAAGGTCCGGGTTCGTTTCCCACATGGGTTCAATGTGTGAAGTTCATTTCTGGTGTCCCCGGCAGTGATATTGCTGCAATATTGCTAAAAGCGACATAAAGCCATACTCACTCACTCACAAGAAGGTTTTACGATCAGACCACGTAGTACCTCGTCCACAATTCATAGTACCATGCCTTCATACTACAGTGGTCAGGATGATCTTACTCTAACAGTGGTCGTCAGGATGATCTTACTCTAACAGTGGTCGTCAGGATGATCTTACTCTTGACCTTATAAGCCTACTACATGAAGCTGTAGTCTTCGAATTCCCACAAGTGCAAACCAGAGCTCATTACACCCCTGTGGAGGGGGAGAGTGGGAGGATGTGTTTCTAGCTCATGCGGCGACTGCCAAGCGTACATTGCCTGTGGTACTTCATTCATAACGACAACTCCTTACTACCATTTACAGTAAATGATGACAACAGACTGAATCAGAAGTGAGTGAGTTTTGTTTTACCCAGTTTGGAGAGGAGAAATGGGGTTTAACGTCGGGATCAACTTATTGGAGTTGCAGATTTTCAATTTGTGTGGCTGCTTGTACTAGTTCGGATACAACGCCGCAGTTTAACACGGGTATCACATTGAGACACAATATACTTCGATCCGAACAGTCCTTGTTTTATCTACGACATGTTTAGCTCCACATAGCAACAAGTACCTTCTCTGAACGTCTTTTGGTATGACGCGGCCAGGGGATCGGACCACCGACCTTTAGCTCTCGTTGTCTATACACTAGACCAAGGAGGCACTCTTGTTCCGTTTGGAACACTATTTCAAATAACAGCCTGCGTAAAGCTATGAAACCCAATAGCAGGGAGCGGGTAGATATCAGTGGTCCTAATCGGATCACTGTAGTCCCGAACGGGACCAGTTTGTTTGGTTGGTAGTTGCACTCAACAATATCCCAGCCACATGACGACAGTCTTAGATAATTGAGTCTGGACCAGACAATCCAGTGATTGATATCATGAGCATGATCCACGGAGTTTCAATACGATGACATGCAGCGAACTTGACCACCTGATCCCGTTAGTCGCTACCTAAGACAAGCATAGTTGCCTCCTATGACAAGAATGGGTTGCTGAAGACCTATTCCAAACCGGATCTTCACGGGTCCACATCAACCACTAATCAAACAGCCACGTCACACTCGCTCCACGCTTGGGACCTGTCCTCATAGCAGTCCCCACGCGTCTTTCCAAAGAGTGCCGTTTTCTTAAACAAAACCATGATTTTAGAGGAAATGTGAGATCTGATTATGCTTATCAATCAGTTAATGCTTTACAAATCGCCAATCGAACCTACACTCTGGGCAACCAGGAGAACTAGCCCGCAGTTCGAGGAAGGGTCTGTTGTCGTCTCATTCTCCATGTTGTCTCCGGCAGCCTAAGCTCATGCAGCAAGTGACTAAATGGATAATTGCTTGTTATCCTACCCTAACGAAATGGATGGCCAGGACGGGTGACTTTGTGGATTGCTTGCCGTCTCTAGTCCTTGTCAATTATCTCCATAATCATTCTTGGTTTCCAATTGTCGATGTCGGCATTTGCGCTTGTGCAATTACAATCCCACGTAAACGAGTTTTTCAAGTCTTGATATATATATTTCTGTTACGAACAAGGCCAATTATTGATTTCCCAAGCCAGTTGAGAAATTTGCGCCGCGTAGCTTCTGGCCAATATACCTCCCTGTCTACAAATAACATGAATCTTGTTTGACAAAAACACACTTTTTTATTTTTTAAAAGCATTGAACATGGGCACTTTCTTGAAATGTACATTATTGTGGATGTTTTTAGAGCCCTGTGAAATAATGTCCCGGACAAATCCTGTGGCAAAACTCTGAATCTGAATATTACTACATCTAGGATATAATGAACTATAGTGTATGAAACCTTTTCTATTACATCAAAATACATGTATGTAACTCCCCATATTTCCGCGCCATACAATAAAATTGGTGCAATTTTGCAGTCAAAAACGCTGTAGAGGTGAGGTGAAATGGGGTTTAACGTCGCGTTCAAGATCGTTGCACTTATATAGCGACATGCATGTACACGTGTGTGTAGGGGTGTGATGGTGGGGGGAGGGGATGCGTGTGTGGCTGCTTGTACTAGTCCGGACTGATGCCGATTTATAGTGCTAGCACATTGAGATACCATGCCGCAGTTTAAATAGAATACCCCACTCAGATACAGTATACTGGCTCCGAGCCGACACGTCCATGTTTTAACCTTTTAATGTCGAGCGCCAGGCAGGGTAACAACAAGTACCATTTTTTAACGTCTCTTGGCAAGAAATAAATATGTCTGCTTTAGACGGTTGGTATGCAAGTGATTTACAGGCCTTCGACCAATTTAATCTTGAAGAAACAATTAATCCCAAAGTCACAAATTCTAATCTGGAACGATACAATGTCTACTTTTCATGTACAGAGACATAACCACCCTTCATAAATCCAAAAACTTTAGTCTTGTTTAAATTGACAGTAAGTTCCGAATTTAATTCCATTATGTAATCAAAGCAAACACAATCATAAGCAAACAATAATATAGTAACCCCTATTTATTGAGACACAAGACACAAATTTTCGACGAGGACACTCCAGCCTTATATTGCTTTATGGTTTATTTAAAACAAAAGATAAACAATGTGGGACTAAGTATACACCTTTGTCGGGCACCGGTACTGGTGGCAAAATATGGAGTTTTAACAAATAGTGTTTTTACACCCGTTACAGTTATATATTAAGTAAATGTCTATAATGTAGGCAATATGCACATTGACTGAATAGTTATGTCAATATGTATATTGACTGATTCACTGAGTCAATCCGGCCTTACTTGTCAGGTATATATGTATATTGACTGAAATGTGAGTGAGTGAATCAGTCAATATACATGCGAAACACTGCAAGCTAAGGGCAAAATGCATCACCATCAAGTAACTATTTCTTGTTCGTTTTATTTCAGCTTCCATCAAAGGGTGAGGTAATTTTATCTGAAGCATAACTTTTTTTTGTCCTCCCCGCGAACACCCACACACCCGAGGATATGAAATGGTGGGTTCCTTACAGTAAAGCTATTCACTCAACTTCTTACATTCAAAACTTGGAGGGAACCAATTCTAACCCAGATTCCCCTCCAGGTTAACACATATGAAGACAAGGTGCGCCTACATTAGATGACCGTGACTGCAAAGTTTTGTGAAAAAAGTCATTTAAAAAAAGTCTACAGAGGGTATAGGGCTATGTCGCATTCTACCAAGCCCTGTACCCGTGGAGACCCGGATGAGAATTGGTTTCAGCTACCCATGCTTGTCGTAAGAGGCGACTAACAGGATCGGGTGGTCAGGCTCGCTGACTGGTTGAAACATGTAAGCGCATCCCAGTTGCTTGGTTTGTCTGCTCCATACATGATTATTTACAGATCACCGGTATACAGATGGAATATTTAGAAAGTTGTTAAAATCACAAGGAACGAGCCACGTCGTCAATTTCATCATCTTACCGAGGCTATGTATTAAAATTACTATAAACGTCGCCGAACAAACAAACAAACAAAACAAGCCCTGTCTATATGCTTAATGTTCACTGGCCGACAATCTCAATTCTATGGAATCCTAGAAAGGACGTTGTCGCGTTGTTGCATCGTCGCGCTTTGGTTAACTTTGAGAGTTTTTGCTTGTTTTTGTCATGGTGAAATCACGACGATGTCCTTTCTTGAATTCCATATAATTCCCCACTGTATTGGTTCCAAGAGATGGAATAGCGCACTTGCTGGTGGTTCTTGAATTACATTAGTCAGGAGCTTTAAGTTACTAAAGGGTCGTTTTATGCGTATTTTGACACACGAGCTAACATGTTGACAAAGCAAGAACCATAATCAGGGCCAATCTTGGATTCGAACCCACGATCATAGGTTCCCGGCACGGCGCAGGGACGCAACTCCCCGAGACAAGGGCGTTAACATTTGTTACAATCTTATAACACCAGTAAATGAAGCGGTGTAGCTAGCATCTGACAATAATACTGAATTCTAGACGTTTTCAGGAAGCATGTTTCCAATTTTGAACATAAATTACATTTGACTGATTTGCGAAGGGAATGTATGTAAACACAGTTCAAACCTGTGGAGAAAAATATCGCCTGGGTCATGATCATAGAATTGCTCATAGTTAGATTTACTTTGAATCCCTTTAAAATAAGATCTTCAACTCCGGACGGTGGTCCTTTCGTAAAGTTTAGTCGTTTAGCAATTTCCTGAAGGCGTCCATTAGCATGTCATAACGAAGACTTTTGTACATAGTGACGTTTGAATCTTCCAAACCCCAGTCTAATTTCAAAAGAGACCGTGATTTGCCCGAAAGCTCTACTACTGCGCGTGCCTTTTCGCTTGCTGTGACTGCTTCCGGGTGCGCAATAGCAACCATAAGGGCGAAGTCACATATTCGTATATTTATGTATACTGGGCTTGTCATCCTCTCCAGGAGTATTCGTTTAATGAAGTTAGCCTTCGCCGTTTTCACTTTTAGTTGCTCTATCATCCATTCCTGTAACATAAAAAATGTTATGTCTTTGAGGCGAGAGACCAATCATTTGGGGGTGGGGTGGAAGGAGGGAGAGAGAAGAGGGCTGGGTTGTTGTTTTTTAAATGTGTTCCAGAATAAAATGGATAAATATGTCAACAGCTTATACGAAATAAAGAAACTGTGTCACATGGATGAGAGCAGAGTTTTCCTGTTTCGAGCTGATGGTCGACAGCGTGTGTACAGACGTGTGTCCAGGAGAGTCTGCCATTTGGAGGCGTGGTGTCATGGTCTGATAAGGAATCAATGGAAATTTGTAGACGTGGCTGGTTGTCGTTCAGACTACACTAGTGGTAGTAGTAGTAGTAGTAGTAGTAGCGCTGATGGTTGTAATAGTGGTCGTAGTAGCGGTAGGGGTAGTAAAAGAGGTAGTAGTAGTAGTAGTAGTAGTAGTAGTAGTATGAGCGGTGGCGGTAGTAGTAGTGATAGTAGTAGTAGTAGTAGTAGCATAGTAGTAGTAGCGGTTGTGGTAGTAGTAGTAGACGTAGTTGTGGTAGTAGCAGTAGTAGTGGTGAGGTTAGCAGAAGAGGTAGACGTTGAAGTAGCAGTGACGGTGGAGTCGTAGTAGTAGTAGTAGTAGTAGTAGTAGTAGTAGTAGTAGTAGCAGAAGACGTAGTGTAGTACTGGTGATAGTAGAAGTAATAGTATAAGGCATGGTAGTGCGTCTAAGAAAGGATTGAGGAAACATGTGTAGAGTTACTATACAGCAGAGTTAGAAGTTTGTTGTGTACCTTAGTAAATTCCGTCATATCGCAAACGTCACGTGACAGAATGTGGATATTCTTCATATTGCTGAGGCAAAGGTCATCTACTTCCGGGTCCAGACTAAAGTTGAACTCCTTCAGAACATGTTCGCCAAGACCTCAAGTTCCAAACAAATAATAATAATAATAATAATAATAATAATAATCACCCATGACATGATCTCATGTCTGCCTCTTTCCTATATACAAACATTTTACCGTCAGCTCTGCATCCCCCTCTTTACATCACGTACATGGCGTCAGTCTCATCAATTCTTTACTTGTTTTACTTACTTTCATCTGTTGCGCTTTTAGCATACACGAGTTTAGAGTTCAGCGCTTTTTACGAATGCTAATAGGAGAACTATTAGTTATCATTATTCCAATTATTAAAGATAGAGACGTATATGTAAGTAATGTTACAGAGCAAGAGTACTGACTGACAAACCAAGGGACATCGGGAGCGACTCACTCCAGACCACCAATAGTGTTTCCGAAAGGTTGGTTGGTTGGTTGTTTAACGCCGCACTCAGCAATATTCCAGCTACATGACGGCGGTCTTTAAATAATAGAGTCTGGACCAGACAAGCCAGTGATTGATATCATGAGCATCGATCCACGCATTTGGGATCGATGACATGCATCTACCAAGTCAGCGAGTTTTCGAAAGGAACGTTGGAAGATTATATATTGACTTCAATTACATAAAAAACAATACAATACCATCTATATTTCCCCCCATGATGTACATATCCTTTATGCTGGCAGCAAAGTCTGGGTCCAAGTTGATCGCCAACGCAACATTTGTCAGTGAGCCCAGTGTCACCAGTGAGATTTCACCTGTGAATAGAAGCAGACGTGGTATCGGTCATAATTCAGTTTAGCAAGGATGAATTTTAACTCTTGAACATTTCAACTGAAGCATGTGGGTGGGAGGATACTTGAACAGAGATGAAATAGAGTCATGATTGACGGAATGATAGCAACCCGGCCTCAGTTGGAGAATGTACTGTTAATGTGAAGTTACACTTCATAACGTGGGCCTCGGACTACGGAGCAAGCTCAGCAGCTACCGGAACTCTATGTTAAAAAGTAGGAGTTTGGGTTCAACACAGGCTGTATGTCAGGCCCGAGTGATGTAAGTTTTAAACGTTTACAGGGCGCGGGCATGGTACTGATGGACCAACAAACATAATCAGGGGGAATCTGGGATTCGAATCCACGGACACAGCTTTCTGTAACACCTCATGGCCACAACTCTACACAGCAAACTGCGACCCCTCAGAAGACGGGCACCCGTGCACCTTAAAAGGTAAGCATGTTACGACACCCGTAGCGCTGTATGATTTTTGTAAGGTTATGTACACGACCAAGCCTACCAATGAAGCAAATAAGTTTTGTCTAAAAGTTGTTATTTGTTGAGTTTGCACACCAAAAGAGGGAATAGCTGGAACATACATCTAGTTTGCTTGTCACTTACGAGATGATCAAGCACTCTGGTAAACAAGAAAGTACTCGGGTGAAAAACGACGATCATGTACTGGGAAAAACGACGACCAAGTATTCTGGATAACGTCAAGAAAGAACACGGAATACACGACGATCATGTACTGGGAAAAACGACCACCAAGTATTCCGGATAACGATAAGAAAACAATCGGGAAAAACGACAAAGCACCTTGAAAATCGATTTGCGATCTAACAGTATGGTGAACGAACTGGATTGTTATTTCAGCCAGTTGGTCATTACTGAGCGATTTCGACAAATCACATATACATTGTAATAGATGTACCTGTCTTAGATGTACTTCACTTGTTGGCCTGGCGACAGGGCGCGAATTCAAACCTAACGTGAGCACAGTGTTCGAAGCCGTTGTTGGTTTCCCCTTCTGTCACAAAAATGCAAGATTCCTAATAACGGTGTCACTCACTCACTCAACTTACCAGGGTGTTGTTTGGCCATTTTTGTCAACGCTACAACAGCGTTTTCATGTTGAAAGACGTCAGTGTCGACGGTATCCTCCCAATCGACGTTGCCAAGACCATCGACGCCATGAACCCTGAACCGATCAGGTTTCAAATCTGGGACCAGCCCATGAAGGGCTCGGTCGCTTCCGCAGTAGATAGGTACCTTGGTAAATAAACGGCACGTGTTCACTTCAACGCTTGTGACAGATAACAGTGGTCGAAATATATGTCAGGTCATTAAAAATATAAGTTAATATAGAATTGCATGTGATTTAGAGTGGTTCTATAAATAACCAAATTGATCTCTGCTTTTGTTTCTGAAATGTATTTGTTAATAGACTCGACGGTAAGAAACAACACTGTCCTTGTGAAAAATATGTGAACAACATTTGTGAAACTTAGTGTGGGTGGTTATTTGTATTTCTCCTTAAATGCAGATGACGAAACAGTTTGTATATGTTGGTTTCCCTCCAAAAATGTCTTCGGTGGATTCGTTTCATCCTGCAAGCAAGTCTGTCTTCTTTATTATCATCCATTCAACAGCCATCACCAAACACGTGTCAACAGCCATCATCAAACACGTGTCAACAGCCATCACCAAACGCGTGTCAACAGCCATCACCAAACGCGTGTCAACAGCCATCACCAAACACGTGTCAACAGCCATCACCAAACACGTGACAACAGCCATCACCAAACACGTGTCAACAGCCATCACCAAACACGTGTCAACAGCCATCACCAAACACGTGTCAACAGCCATCACCAAAAACACGTGTCAACAGCCATCACCAAACACGTGTCAACAACCATCACCAGTCACCCAAGAACGTGGATCACGAAACCTCTTTAACTGGTTCCCTCTCAGTGTTATGTCCCTTTGTATCCTGTATAGGCAGTGTAGTAAGCTGGGTGACTGTCTTTACGAAACAATCAACGTGATGCAGTTTTTCATCACCCACCACCAACATCCCCATCCGGAAGTAGTTTAACCAATATGCATATATCAGGTTCATATATTTGTCAAATGCACGTGACTAGACTAATTAATTTTACTCGAAAAAGACAAATTCTAATCTCGTCCCTCAAGCCGGCAGCCAGTTTCAGGTTTATACATTTGTCAAATGCACGTGACTAGACTAGTAAATTTCACTCGAAAAAGACCAATTCTAATCACGTCCCTCAAGCCGGCAGCCAGTTTCAAAACCACAATTAAACATCATCTATATTACTTTGGGCTGGTAATAATAAATTCGGTACATGCGTATGAAGCGGTATTTTACAATAATTCGGCGTTACAACATCGACTTCGAAACTTGGGTGTGTTAAGGCCAATCAGCTCGTGAGACACCCGCTAGTGTATTGGTTGGTGGACATGCACGAGCAGGTAATAACAACCCGCTAGTGTTTGTCTGTTGTTTAACGCCGCACTCGGCAATATTCAAGCCATGTAACAAGCAATGTAATGGAAATAATCGAGTCTGGAAAGACCAGCGAGGCTGACCATCCGATCTCGTTAGTCGCCTCTTACGACAAGCATGGGTTGCTGACACCTATTCTCACCCGGATGTCCACCTTATAAATATATCTAGTGTTAATTCGCTGTACTGTTCCGTTCCCTCGCTTAACTACCGGTTCCCTCGCGATAACTTTCGCGTTTGCTCAGACATTATTACAATAGAACACAGGACAATAGCTAAGGGAATGCAAAATTATTGTGAGGGAACTATACGTATAGTTTTACCATGGCAGAGAGAGGCTTCCGTAAAAAGCATAGGTTACAAGGGACCAATTTTATCCAACAATCTCCACAGGGTATCTCCCATCTGTGACGCACCTGTTTTCCACAAAGGTTTACGACTCGAGCTGCGTTTCGACAACTGTTTTCCAGACTAGTGTTTCCCCACGTACACGTTATAGCGAGGACCTCAATATTTGGGGAGGAGAAGGCATACATGATGGCCACAGCATCATCCACTCCTGTGTCGGCGTCTATGACAACCTTGCGCATGCTCACCTAACTACGTCACTGAAACAAAAAGAATAATTATATAATGATTTTATGTGTTGCAATTAATCGTTAACAAATACAAATGCTGATCTGCGGACCCAAAGTCAATTAAAAATGAAAATTTGGGAATTGCCATTGGTGCACCTACACCCACGATTTGCCCTTTTCATAGAGCAAAAATGCACCTCGACAAATTGATGCTTGATGCTAGGCATGCATCGACACTGTGCTTGATCGCAAGTAACTGGCGTATTCCGAGGCACTACGAAGGCTTGCACACTCACGTTACAGACAGAGGCCGATATACCTGGTGGCTGAAAAGTTGTGTGCCTCACTACGAAGGATGCGACAATTTGATGTAAAACTACAAAACTTCCCATGCCCTCAGCCTGCATTTGAACAAAAAACACAACCAGTCACAGCATATTTGATCATATGTGTGCAGTCATCAAAGTGACTCGGTATCCTGTGTGGGTGAAAATGGACAAGATTGGCTATCGCGCTGTCTCTATTCCCAACTGCCATCCATGCGGACATGGTGTCGATATTAAGGGATAATGCGGCTTCCTGTGCAACTGAAGTGAGCAGCGGAAACATTAGAGGAGGATGGTCCTACCTGTGCCACTGAAGTGAGCAGCAGAAACATTAGGGGATGATGGTCCTTCCTGTGTCACTGAAGTGAGCAGCGGAAACATTAGAGGAGGATGGTCCTACCTGTGCAACTAAAGTGAGCAGAGGAAACATTAGAGGATGATGGTCCTTCCTGTGCCACTGAAGTGAGCAGAGGAAACATTAGAGGATGATGGTCCTTCCTGTGCCACTGAAGTGAGCAGAGGAAACATTAGAGGATGATGGTCCTACCTGTGCAACTAAAGTGAGCAGCGGAAACATTAGAGGATGATGGTCCTTCCTGTGCCACTGAAGTGAGCAGAGGAAACATTAGAGGATGATGGTCCTTCCTGTGCCACTGAAGTGAGCAGAGGAAACATTAGAGGATGATGGTCCTTCCTGTGCCACTGAAGTGAGCAGCGGAAACATTTGGGGATGATGGTCCTTCCTGTGCCACTGAAGTGAGCAGAGGAAACATTAGAGGATGATGGTCCTTCCTGTGCCACTGAAGTGAGCAGCGGAAACATTAGAGGATGATGGTCCTTCCTGTGCCACTGAAGTGAGCAGCGGAAACATTAGAGGATGATGGTCCTACCTGTGCAACTAAAGTGAGCAGCGGAAACAGAGGATGATGGTCCTTCCTGTGCCACTGAAGTGAGCAGCGGAAACATTAGAGGATGATGGTCCTACCTGTGCAACTAAAGTGAGCAGCGGAAACAGAGGATGATGGTCCTTCCTGTGCCACTGAAATGAGCAGCGGAAACATTAGAGGATGATGGTCCTACCTGTGCAACTAAAGTGAGCAGCGGAAACAGAGGATGATGGTCCTTCCTGTGCCACTGAAGTGAGCAGCGGAAACATTAGAGGATGATGGTCCTACCTGTGCCACTGAAGTGAGCAGCGGAAACATTAGAGGAGGATGGTCCTACCTGTGCAACTGAAGTGAGCAGCGGAAACATTAGAGGATGATGGTCCTTCCTGTGCCACTGAAGTGAGTAGCGAAAACATTAGAGGATGATGGTCCTTCCTGTGCCACTGAAGTGAGCAGAGGAAACATTAGAGGATGATGGTCCTACCTGTGTCACTGAAGTGAGCAGCGAAAACATTAGAGGATGCTGGTCCTTCCTGTGTCACTGAAGTGAGCAGCGGAAACATTAGAGGATGATGGTCCTTCCTGTGCCACTGAAGTGAGCAGCAGAAACATTAGAGGATGATGGTCCTACCTGTGCCACTGAAGTGAGCAGCGGAAACATTAAAGGATGATGGTCCTACCTGTGTCACTGAAGTGAGCAGCGGAAACATTAGAGGATGATGGTCCTACCTGTGCCACTGAAGTGAGCAGCGGAAACATTTGGGGATGATGGTCCTACCTGTGCCACTGAAGTGAGTAGCGAAAACATTAGAGGATGATGGTCCTTCCTGTGTCACTGAAGTGAGCAGCGAAAACATTAGAGGATGCTGGTCCTTCCTGTGTCACTGAAGTGAGCAGCAGAAACATTAGAGGATGATGGTCCTACCTGTGCCACTGAAGTGAGCAGAGGAAACATTTGGGGATGATGGTCCTACCTGTGCCACTGAAGTGAGCAGCGGAAACATTAGAGGATGATGGTCCTTCCTGTGCCACTGAAGTGAGCAGAGGAAACATTAGAGGATGATGGTCCTTCCTGTGCCACTGAAGTGAGCAGCGGAAACATTAGAGGATGATGGTCCTTCCTGTGCCACTGACGCAGTCCATCAACGCAGTCCATCATAGGCTCGGAACTATTCAGCCACCCCACGTAGTAGAGCAATCTTGTTGAACGTACCTTCGTAAGGTGTAGCCATATAAAATGTCCCTTCTCGTTGTAGTGAAACGTCAAAGATAAAGGCTGAACTTATATATACACCTGATATATCATAAATAGACCCCATGCATAGACAAAATGTCAAAAACTAGGTTCGATCCTTGGCCGCGTCACACCAAACAACGTTCAACTGTAATACTTGTTGATACCCTGCCTGGCGCTCGGCATTAGAGGGACAAAACAAGGACCGGTCGGTTTGGAAACGATATACTGTCTGAGTGAGGTATCTTAGTGATATCTTAGTGAGCTGGCACTATCAAACTGGCATAAGGTACTGGACAATTATTATCGGCCGCTGTGTCTGCGGGCTGTGCCAAGGCTTATGGCCCTTTGTTTCACAGTGTACAATATAATATTAACGTACGTCGTAGTTGATACTTGCTGTATAATTGTAGCAGTAGACTAGAGAGGCTGTCACGAGTGCGTAGCTTATTTCAATCAGCCAAATAGGTCAAGCGCGTGAAATGTATAAGTAGTACTAGTTTCAGTTATCAGGTGATGTGATGACTTCAACCGTGTGTCAACCAAATGCGGGTGAGTATTGGTTGACGCCACATTTAGCTATATTCCAGCATAGTGACGCATTGTGTAGACTATACCTCCTTGATTAAATCACAGGTGCGGTGTTGACAGAACAAGGATAAGAATCAGGGCGCATCTGGCATTTATGCCAACAGTGTGCGGATCCTAACACGATAAAGGGAGGCAACTCTGCACATCAAATGTCCAAGAAGTAATGGTCCAGAAGGCTATCCTTTCGGATTAACAGGATCCGCACTGGCGAGGTTTCGCTTTGTACATAAATACAAACTGTAGATGATAGAGTGAGTGAGTTGGGTTTAACGCCGCTTTTAACAATATTCCAGTTATATCGCGGCGTGTCAGCTTAATGTGGGAGGAAAGCCAAAAGTGATGCAGGTCTCAGACGTTTTTCCACTTCAGTGAAACCCACGAGCACGGGTATGGTGCTGACAAACCTAGAAACTTGTATTAGTCCGGACTGATGCCGATTTATAGTGTTAGCACACTGAGATACCATGCCGCAGTTTAACATGAATACCCCACTCAGACACAGTATACAGACTCCGAGCCGACCAGTCCTTGTTTTAGCCCCTTAATTTCGAGTGCCAGACAGGGTAACAACAAGTACCATCTTTAAACGTCTTTTGGTGTGACGCGGCCGGGGATCGGGACCTTCCGCTCTCCGGACGGACGCTCTACCACTAGAGCACGGCGGGGGTCGTAGATGATAGAAGGTGAGATGGTGCGCATGGGTTCTCGGGCATGTAGGTAAGTGTGGTCAGCAGGCTATCGAACATTCTAGTAACCATAATGGACCCCGTAAATACGGACAGTACGTTTTTTTAAAGGAATAGTCTGAAATAGCAATTATCCGGATTGATCTGAAGTATTATCTTGTTATGCATAGTTTACTTCAAACATTATTTGTCCTGAAGCCAGGGTGTCCGGGATAACGAGGTTTCGTTGTATGCAGTAAATTATGAGTACACATGCTCTGTTATTTACTTCATGTCACCATAGTGCGTGTTCACCATCAATTCAAGAAATCCGTTACAAATTCAGTGCTAAAACTAGAATTCCTTTTATCCAGACCCCTGATACATACTAATAAATGAATTAAGGTAGCTTAATGGAGAACTGACATCGAACAATAGCAACAGCAGTAACGTTTAAACTTAACATAACGAGGGGGAGAGGGATTCCCCACAGTAACACTGTTTACCTACCTCCACTTGATGAACACAGTCCCGACTGTTGGCGCAAAACACATCCTGATGTATGAAATAACTACAACATCATGTTAGAATACCAATGGCTTGCACGTACGTGCTTGCAATACCATCTATTTCAGATATACTCGGGGGCCTTGTGCACAGCTACTATTATCCATTACATTACCAAGTGTACTAGAGGTACAGAAGCTCACTTTTATCCACTGGTATTAAATTTCATGTGTTTATTTTTTGCTATTTGTTGTTTTGTTGTAGTTGGGTTGTTGGGGGGGGGGGGGGGGGGGGGGGGGGGGGGTTTAGCTGTTGGTTTTGTTTTGTTTTGTTTTTGTTTTTTGGGTTTGTTTGTTTTTTGGGGGTTTTTGGGGGGAGGGGGGTGTTTTGGGGTTGGTTTGGGGGGGGGGTTTTTTTTTTTTGGGGGGGGGGGGGGGGTCAGCAAGTTTGTACACATGTACGGGCACACACCAAAAAACTGCCTTGCATAGTAGACTTTTTTTGAGAACATGGCGGCTTGTGCATCGGCCTCATGGTGTTTTTTGTTTTTTTACAGTATCACTATCTCCCTCATTTCACTTAACATGTATACACTATTTAGTGGTGGCGTTGGGTGGAATTTTAATTGTACATGTTTTAGGAAAACCCTCGCCACCCCCGAGCCATAAAGTATGGACTTCCCCCAACAACTACAATAACAGTATCATTCCGAAAGGTAACATGGAAAAGGTAGTTTCCATATCAAACCCGTTTATTTTTTTACCTTGGAAAACACGGATACAAACATGTTTAAAGATTGCATTATTCTAAAACATGTCAAACCTACCAGCACTATTAATATAACATTGCTTATTGATTCGTATTGATGCTTGATACTCGTGTTGACTTATGGACTGTTGGCTGGATAGAGAATTCTTTTTCAGGGTGTCATAGTAAGTGAACGGTTCTCATTAACAAATCATTAAACGCACGGAAAAATTTTAAAATATCTTTAATGTTTAAAGAAACTGGCATTATCAAACCATGAAACACAAGTGCCTCGTGTTTGTTACGCGAACACTTGGTGGTTCAGCTATTGTTGCTGTTCAATATGGTTGTGCAGTAAGCTTTGTTTTATTGAAAACTGTGCACAAAATGAGCATAACGGGCAGGTTCATCCAACCACTTAAAGCAATTGTTGGATGTCTTGGTTAATTTACATAGGTTGAACATCATTATGAAATTGAACATGTTCAACCAAACAGGTGCGAGTTTTTGAATTTGAATGTGAGAATGTCAAATCGATTCTCAATAATGTCGGGTAGATACGGGGGCCCCGGTTGTCTAAGGGGCTGCAATTAGCTGTGCAGAGTTGCGTCCATTTGGCACGACAGAAACCTATGATTGTGGGTTCGAATCCCGATTCGCACCGATTATGTTTCTAGGCTTGTCCGCACCATACCCGCGTTCGTGGGTTTCACCAAAGTGATGAACGTCTGAGACCTCCATCACTTGGGGCTTTCCTCCCACATTAGGCTGACACGCCCTGAAATAACTGGATTTCTGTTGAAAGACGCGTTTAACCCAACTCAAACACCCACTCTCTGATGGCACGTGCTTCTCGTGTTATTTTTGCCACAATCGCTTCCTCTAAGCTGTGAAGTGAACCAAACATGTAACAGGAGGAAATTGGTTTTTTAGTTATAAGAATATATGTCCCCAGCAACCTATGCTTATAATAAGAGGTGACTAAATGGATCGGGCGGACAGGTTCGGTGATTTAGTTGATTGCATGACATCGTGTACCACATGGGTTGTTCAATGCTCATGATGTCCATCACTGGATTGTCTGGTCCAGCATATAGATGGAATATTTAGTAAGTTGTTTAAAGTACAAGGAACGAGTCACGCCGCCATAATATGACACAGGGGGTAGACGTTGCCCAGTCGTCTAAGGCGCCGCAATTTGATAATAAAAGTCCCGTTTCCACCCTTGCTGAACTAGGCTGGAATTTCTGGGCTCGATCGTAGCGCACCAGTGGGACTGCACAAGTATGGGACTGCCAATACAAGTGAGTGAGTTTGGCTTACAACCAAACAGTACCTCGGGTATATCATGGTGTGACATGGTGTGCCCAAGGCAGGTCTGACCACTTTGAGAAAACCCTGGAGGGCAGGTATATGGTGCTGACAAACCTTGAAACATAAGTGGGAAAACTTTGGATTCAAAGTCACGATCATAGGTTGCTGGCATACCTCCAAAGTGAACAGCAGTTCCCAAAGACAATTGTGCCACTCCTGCTCCCTAAAGACGGCAACAACTTGTTTCAAATAATCACCAAGATAAGACTCGGTTTCAAGGATTTTATTTGGCATTTTCAGACGATAACTACTCAAAGCTTCATGTCAGATGTCAGGTGATCCGTACTACACAATCATAGTCTACAATCATTGCTCAATAAGAACTCAGGGCAATTTCCATAACCGTATTTGCAGCAAAACCTTATCAAAATGTCAATATATGTAAATAAACATCAACACTTACTATCCCCCTTATACTTTTTTTCCCCTTGTGTTTACTTAAATCAGATTCTTTGGTTTTTATTACGTCCATTTTATGACAATGAACAGCAAGGTTTTTTTGTCATGCCAATTCAAAAAATGTTTGTACCACCTTTTAGTATATAAAATAGACATATTCTGGTCTTAGCATATAGATTATATATCAGTTAATCCCACAAACAAAAAAATGAAGAGTAGATCATAATTTGGATTCCAGTTTTGATATCTACAGTGTGAGTGAACATAATGAAGTAAATAAAGTGAGCCATCACATACAAAACAACTAAATAAATAAAAGGTTCATACAAAATGCTATCTTCACCAAATTTACAACTCAAATTTACAAATAAAGTCAGGAAATGATTGATTATTAAAGCAATATACCATTTTGCCTCTTCGGAACAGAATTTTGAGAATAAAGGATGAACTCATTGAAAAGACTTTCAAATGAAACCACATTTCAATTTCGCTACAGACACAAAAGTCTGCCTCCAAAGTTCATACATCAACTATCAGTGTCAAACACTAGACCACAATGAATATCTATAGATTTGTGTTGCATATTTTTCAGCATCGCTATCATATTTTGGTATTACATTTGACAAAGTTAAAAGTAGGCTGAAAATGGTCGAGACATATTTATATAAATATGCAAAAACTGTTCTTATATTGAATAGATTCAGAATGAAATCATTTGCACCACTTTCACACCCATATTGCTGAACTCTAATTGTAAGAGAAATAATTACACAAATAAATTATAGACATAATTTTTAATTCCATCATATTTATGGAAGATTACCATTTCCTTTACAACAAAACCTAGCAAGCCAGAGAGGAGCAAAAACTCTTGTTCTTGTACATGCAGTTATTTAGATTGCAACTCAGAATGATCATAGACCGGCTGGCTGGCGCTACAAGCTGGGGATAACTATAGGAGGACTGCAGCAGATCACTACAGGGGACTATTTCCCCCTTGTCATGGAGGTGGTGAACAGCTTTGTGAATTTGGGTTTCTTCTGTTTCTTCCTTCCTGCATTCCCTGGACGAGCTTCTGTGAATAGTGGAAACAAACTGTTGATATCACTTTGAAATATTGCCTACTACATACCACTACTACCAACAGGCCATGTATACATGTTTACGCCACTTTCAACAGTATTTCAGTTATATCATGGTGTGTCAGCTTGAAGTGGGATGATAGCCTAGGTGTTAAGACATTAACCACTTTGGTCAAATCAACAAGCATTGGTATGGTGCTGACAAATCAAGGTGAGTTGAAATGGGGTTTCACGTCACATACAAAATTATGGCCCTTACATAGCGACGGGCATGCACAGGTGTCTGTGTGGCTGCTTGTAATAGGCCAGACTAATGCCAATTTTTTAGTGCTAGCCCACTGAGATACCATGTCGCAGTTTAACATGAATACCCCACTCAGACACAGTACATTTACTCCGAGCCAACCAGTCTTTGTTCTAGTCCTATAATGCTGAGTGCCAGACAGGGTAACAACAGGTTCTATCTTTTAACGTCTTTTTGTGACTATCATACTTGTCTACTCCTAGTCTATTGACAACATATCCATAAGGACAACCCCATTGTGACCCGTAGCTATGTCCAACAACATATAGTTAAATCCACAAACCTTTAGGCTTATCTATGGTGTCCAGTGCAGCTTGTATGGCACATGAGAAGGAGTCCTGGTACATAGGTACAGGGACTCGGTCTTCGTTATCACTGTCATCCGTGTCAGCAGATCGGGGGACCACTGGCCCTGCCTGTGCCGGAACCTGCGCTTCAACAGGGCGTGGCCACATAGGCTTGGCCTTAGCTTTCCCAGCCTTCAACATCTGAAATTGCAACATAATGTCTAAATCTTCAACTCTTTAAACATGAATGTACAGGTTATACAGGTAACATATATGATTAAAATGGTGTTGCCCTCGATACCCATTTCCTTACGAATACTCTCCAGGCTTCTTCGAACCAGTCAGGTATGGCCAACACCATCCTTGATGATCAATGGCATTCTCTCTCCTTTCTAAAACGATAAATATCCTAGACCCATTCGCCACCACAGCTTTGTTTCAGAAGTGATGTCAATACCTAAATCTCTCCCATCTGTAACATAGCAAAGAATTTCTCTCACTCGAGAGAGTAATTTGATTGGACAGCTATTTTTAGCATCATGCCATTCATACTGGGATCAAAATGGGTTAAGTGTCTTTATCATAACAGAATGGAGATATAATACACTGGATGTACCAATCCAAGTGAAAAACAGAACTTTGAATACTCATCTTATTTTCCAACAATATCTATCATTCAACATGTTGAACAAGAATCTAAAACCAAGCAGCTATTATTTGTCAGCCATTGGTCATCTTCATTCAAGTGATTATTATTCCACCCACAACTATTGTAGACTAACAAATAAATAGTTTCTTGTGAAGTTACACAATCATTATTTCAAGTGAGTGTATTTTTCATGTATGAAGTACAAGGTTCTACCTGAGCAAATGACATGGATGTCTGCTCGCCATCACTGACGTCTTCTATAGCAGGACTGGCTCCCGGCACAAACTCTGCTGCACTCACATTGAAACCTGCAACAGTAGAATACAGGTCTCAAGATTGCAACAGCCTTTGTTAATCTATAAAGTTTACAAATTTAAAAACATGTTTCATCAAGCAGAATTTGAGATCACACAAGATGCAAAGTCAAAATCTGACTGACTGACTATGGTTTTACGCCGCTTTTAGCAATATTCCAGCAATATCACGGCGGGGGACACCAGAAATGGGCTTCACACATTGTACCCATGTCGGGAATCGAACCCGGGTCTTCGGCGTGACGAGCGAACGCTTTAACCACTAGGCTACCCGACCGCCCCAGAAGTCAAAATCATTTCTTAAACACACTTAAAGGATATTCTTAAGACATGAACATCCCTTGCCAAGAGATGATGTGCATAGGACTTGGTTTCCCTTTCAGAATATTTCATTATTTATTAGCAACATGGACTTCACATATTGTACTCATGTGGGGAATCTAACCCAGGCCTCTGACATGCTGAGCGAATGTTTCAACCACAAGGCTGAGCCACCGCTGCAGTACCAAGTGAATATGCAGCAAGGTGTTTACCTGATGGTGATACAGGAGGCGTGCTCGCGAGGCTGGAAACAGAGGGTGACTCAGACCTGATTTCAGGGGACCCCGACACATGGACATGGCCATCGCCTGCAGCCGGGAACTGGGCAAAGCTGCTCAATGACAGCTTCATACCAGGAACTGAAAGTAATGAACCTAAATTAATTCCTCTGACAACAAGGACAACATTTGAAACATCCGCATAGTCTGGTTGAATTTCAATTGACTTCAAATCAATTATTTACATGCAGAGGTGAGCAACAAAATGTGTCATACTAATATCTGAAGGATAGTGTGTACAAAGCTAAATAACATTATGGCATCAAGACAAACAATAACTTGTGTCTTCCAAGTTGAAGTTGGAAGTTGAACTCACTGAAGTATACAAAACACACTGAACCAATTACTCTCTCTTACAACAAACATGGGGCATGCAAGACTCATCAAAACTGGATGGTTTTAGGTGAGAACTGTAAGTTATTCAAACTTCTCGGGATTTGTTTTTGTTTGTAGTTCAACACCTCACACAGCATGCTGAGCAGTATTCAAGCTATATAACAGCGGCATGCAAATAATCAAGTCCAGACCAAACAATCTCAGGACTGATATAGTGAGCAGCGACCCATGACATTGGGATATGGTGACACGGAAGTCACTGAGCCTGACAATCATATCCATTTTAACTCGGAATCCACATATGGATAAAGTTCTCTGGAATATAATGACTCCCAGTTGAAATGGTCAGATTATGAATGAATGTATACATGGTATAGTAGTTCTTACATTTCCCCATCTTTTCATTCTCTTCCATCTCAATCTTCCTTGACCTTCTCTTGTCATCACGCATCTTTTTTTGACGCATACGTCTACGCTTTTCTATGTCACCTAAAAAGAAAAAAATAATACATGGTGATTTTACAGACCCGTAAGAAAAGTATCTTAAAAAATGTATTTTTGAGAGCATAGAAAGTGTTTTTCTTCTTCAAAACAAACTTACATACATCAAAGTGTTAATATTCATAATTCACTAGCACGTTAGTCTATTATTCTATTAATTCTTCTGACCAGAATTAAAAATAAAAGAAGTGCCAGGGGTGGTATCCTACCAGCAAAGTGTCGAAGTGTGTCTTTTGACAGAAGGGGTGGCTTCAGTGCAAGCTCTGCTACCTGGAATTCACAAGTCAGTGGCAGGTGGTTTAGGTACCGAAGTCTCTTCCGCAGTTCCTGAATAAAAGACAAACCAATAAATGAACAGTCTGCAGCAAAGGCATTTCCTTCAATGAGCTCAAACTGCCTTTATAAATCCCTTCAAACAGATACAACTGTTTTCACATATTGGCTTTTCAATAGTAATGTTATAGTCAAAATGTGTCGAAATGAAACGGGACTGCGATATGCGTATCATCAACATGTCGACATCTTGTGTATAGAGTGTCAGGGATATTCTCTGTAAACTGTAGGAGTTGATTTCACAAGCTTAGTACCCTCCGTGGGACGGACGGACGGCGCCACAACATAATCCCCCTTCGGCCATTCTAGGCCGGCGGGGGATAAAAAGTGGTTGATAGCACGAGCAACAATTTACAACCAGCCTGGTTCCACACATTGTAACTATCCAATTCTCATTGTCCACTCGTCCAACAAGCATTGGGTACAGAGCTCAACTCCACAAAGCAATCTTAGTGCTAAGGTATTAGCTGTCATACCTTAAAATAAACTTATGCAAGTCGCAGCGCTACATTCACTTTGAGGAACAGAGCCCTTGGGGCCTATTTTGCCCTGGAATCCCCATGGAAAGCCCTAGGAATGTGAAGACGAAGCATACTGTATCTTTTACTAACGTTTACAGGAAGTGCCATAAGTAGGTCAACATTTATATCACTAAATTATCAGGTCATGTTAATAGTTCCAGGAACTGTGGACTGTGTCAGTGTAATATGTCTTTGCGTGATGAGATCTCTACTAGTACTACCTCAGTCATAAAGATGATCTCTGTGTCTACAATGTTGGCGGTGATGGTGTCAGGACAGTCCTCTAGTCTGCCATATTCTTTCACCAGACACCGAGCATTCACAGCATGGAGATAGATGTGCTGACCGTCACTTGCTGTGTGTAGAGACAAACAAGTGATAAACTGAAGCAGTAAATGTCAGGTATGATATGCATAGAACCATGTGCTTCACCTTACTAATTACACATGCCACAGACGTAAACATGACACATGGTTAACATACAAATGGCAATTTGGACATGGCACATTGGTGTAAAAAATTATGATGAGAAATATCTACACTCTAATGTTCAAATATTGCAAGAAAGTCTAGAGGCCCTTGTCATGACCCTTAAAAAGGTCAAAGGAGGTTCCCTAGATTCCAATACCAATGGAGAGGACCCTAGGATCCCACTAATTTTGAACACTGCTCTACTTAATATATGTCAAATACACCTGTGGCATGATCGGTTATTTTCTAAATGAAGTAATGGAAATGGGACATGCAAACAAGCACCGATATCTCCAGGTAACAGCTGCATAAATTCAGTTATACCTTTTAAGTATTATTCCTAAACAATTTTGAACCAGTATACCTTGATAATAGAAGAATGCACTTTTTGTCTGGTTGCCCCTTCTGCCACTGTTTCCATGCTCACTCTCTGGGGGCAGTTCCAGGTGCTCCGCCGCTTCCTCAACAGGCATGGCAGCCTCCAGTGACTCCTGTATCTCAGACAGACTGGGACCATCAGGCAATCCCACAGAGCTTTCAGGCAGGGACGACCGCCCACTGGGTACATCAACAGCAGAGGCGTCCACCTCAGACAGACTGGTGTCCATGTCCGAGTGTGTCAGGGTTTCCAAGGAGGACGAGGTGGTGGATTCAGTGCGGATTTTGGAATCAGGGTTAAGGGATTCTGGAAGACTGGCATCTCTAGTTATTTTTCCAGGCTCAGCAGATTTATTATTCCTATCCTCATCTGAATCTTCTCCATCAGAAAAGGCTGATGCGTACTGTTTGACTGGCTGGAACAGACACCATTTTCTTCTCAAACATATGATTCAGGGAACAATATTTTGCATAAGATAATAACTGAATCCTAAAATTCCTAAAAAAACAAAATGGCTACAGGTCTCATTATCATTCGGTCTCAATATTGGTGTAAATCCTTACTGAATTGTCATTGTTCGCCATCACAGACTTTGGAGATTTTACTTTGTCAACTTCAGCTTTACGGGTTCGTCTTGCTTCACGGTGCTTCTTATGTGGAGTACTGGTGTGAAGGCTTTCCTCTCTTTCCTACAACACAAATATACATCTTAACCTTACTCTACATTACCATGTCTTTACAATATAACAAATGTTAGCATTATTAAAACATAAATATCAGTAAGCAACAGTATATCCAGATCAATTTCTTGCAATGTATACAATCTAAAGAAGACATTTAACTATATCATGCAAAACTGAATAAAAGTGAAAAGTTATTAACTTGTATGGATAATTCTAGGGTGGGGCCTTGTGCTTTTAGCCCCAAATTTGGAAAAAGGCCCACATTTTCAAATACAAAGGGGCATTTTACACTGTGCTGGATGGGCAAGTGTGGGTGTACCTCTGGAATATTTGAAACTTTAACACAAAGGGCCCATGTCAGAAAATTCCTGGAGTGAACCCTGAACTTGAAGTCCACAGAAAGTACATGAGTCATCCGTTGACAAGCTGCAAATATTAGGTAGAAGTGTTGACACTTCTCAAGGTTACACGTGCTCAAAGAATATGAGTTAATGCAGTTTTCACCTAGCTATGACTACTTTAACACACGAGTCTTACCTTCAGCATGACCATGGCTGACTCAATGAAACACACTTCTGAAGCCTGAAACAGTCACAAAGTAAAGCAAAAATGAACGATAACACAGAAATTGATTAATAACATCATCACTTCTCGAAACAATAAGAAAAGTCATCTCCATGATACACTGTACACACAGCACCAAAATTTGGAAGGAGTAATTTACAGCATAGTGAACAATCCACAGCTATATCATGAGTCTGTAAATAGGTGATGGTACCAGTTGAGCCAGTGGGTGATATCATGAGCATTGTTGAAATACACTCATCCAGGTCACACATTGTACCCATCCAAACCCAATGTTTGTCAACCCTTACAACAAAGACTTGGGAACCATCATGCAGTGTATTACCTCAGCATTCTGCATATGCTTGTTCAGAGCTGCCTTCTCTGGTTCAATGATAGTTTCCTGAATCTGACTGGGTGACGCCACCAGCAGCTTGACATGCTCTGTATTTACATCATCTACAACACCAACACATCTTTCCATATAATCTCAGATAACACTTGTGACTTCAGGACAAAATCCCATTGCAATTACGTCCCTGTGTCAGTAGTGCATGTTCTAACCAATAAATTGCTGATGACATTTACAACAACTTCTAAATGTAACTTGATCACCTGTGATTCTGTGTGGTTTCCCGTCTCGCTTCTCCCACTGCGATTTGGGAACAGAGTAGGTGCTACCACGCTCCCTCTTCATCAGTCGCAAAGTGATTGTTTCCCCTGGTTTATATGCATGGACAACTCGGATCTGTACACTGCAACCAAATGAAGCTTTTAAAATGCCACTGACACAGGAGTTGGACAAGTCTTCAGATAAACCATAAAAAAAAATCAGAAATAACATTTACAAAGCTAAAAAACAAAACCAACTTGCACTCAAGCAACAACTTCAAACATTTTAGTGCATGCAAGCAGAATCCAATCATGCTTATCTAAGTACAAAAGACATGCTAAGTTCACAAAATGGTGTAATGCTTATTTTGGGGGGTTAACACAGAAAATGTTGAATTTGTTTCTAATTACCAAAGAATATATTTTCAGGGTAACCTCTTTCTTATTAACACCATAAAACTATCATACCAAGATTGTTTCACTGGTTGGAACATACCTCTTTAAATCACTCTTGTGAACGTACTCGTAACAAATGGGACACTTTCTCCATTTTTTCTCCCCCAGTTCCAAATAGTGCAGGATACATGCCGAGCAGTAGACGTGTCCACAGCGGGTTATCTTCCCTGGAGCAAACAAATAGGACATCTTTACAATCCTTTATCAGTAACAATTTTATTGGACTAAAGTTTTTACTTCAGCTATTTTACTATTAGCCCATGTAGAACATGTATCTGATTCATCTGCTAGTTCATTAACTATTACCATTATAGAGCTTGTGGCAACTTTGCCATCTGTTGTAACATGGCCGCAACAGGGCTTGATTTAACTTTTAAGGAACTTGATTTACCTTGCACCATGTTGACATGGAAAACAAGTTGCACCAGACAAAAACCATGTTACACCCTGGCCCCAAAGTTGAACAACCAGCTAAGTAAGGGCTAGATAAAAATTTGATTTTTTTCTTACAAGCACCAAGTTCGTGTAGACATAATTATAAGGCTTCATTTTCTCTGACAGGTAGCACTGGTGCAGGTGTCATATAGCTAAATCGAGCCTTGCACTATCAACACATTAGTACTAGTGTATGAGCAGAGATTTCATGCTCTAAAGTAGAAACTTATCACTACTAACCGATGCCTTTAATTGAGAGAGTGAGGGACAGCACTCTGCCCATCATTCAGCTTCGATGTTATTACTGGAACTATGTACCACTCTTAGGAGACAAACTGAGCAAAACTACAACATTTTCAAAGGAACAATCCTCAAAATGGTTACCATGGTCTCAAGACACAGAGAAATATAAAGACAAATCAAATATGTCTACTCACCAGCCTGTGGTTCCTGCAAACAAATGGGACATGATGGCGGCTCCTGGCTCAATGTCCTCTGTGAAAGAAACAATATAATTTCAAATTCAATGAAAACATCAAAACGTTAATGATTATCCTCATCATTTTATCACTTTTGGAATGTCAGTGCTGGAGGGAACAGGTCAATGACCCCTGCAAAAAGCAATCCCAAACCTCTGCCTTGTGCAAAAGGTACCCTGGATCAATGTTCCTGATAAATGATGTATCCTTTCAGGAGTGACCCTTAGTTAATTTTATACATTAGTCACATCAATCTGAACATGCTGAGGCTCTTATGTCTATGCTGACATTTGCATCTCTAGTTCTAAAAACACACTTTTGTAACTACGGCAACCTTGTCATGGTAAACCAAATTTAGTAAAATCTAAAATATTTTTACATTTGTATATTTATCCTGCATTACTCCTTAATGCATTCACTGCTCGCCTTGTGACAATAGAAGGGACAGCGTAACGGCGTTGGTCCTGGGTGAAGAAATAAAAAACTGTTGTTCCTAGTCCCACTTTTGCCGACAGCCGCTGCCCTGTGACCTTGATGACCTCAGGTCACCTTCTTTACTACTCTGCCTGTCACCCAAGATCTTAGAAAAACATACTTTTGAGGTTTCTGAAGCCAAAGTTGGGAGACAAGTCTGCCTCAAACGTAGTATTGCAGGATAAGTGTACAAATGTAAAAAAATATTTAGATTTTACTAAATGTTTTATTTATCCTGCATTACTCCTGAATGCATCTGTATCAGACGGTTTGGAGGTTGGAAACCCTCAGAATACAGAAACCTCAATAATTCACACCCTGAACACACAACACCAGTTGGTTGATAAAGTGGAAAATTTCATAAAAATGCCATTAGGGTCGGGTTGTTTCAATGTGAAAACAATTGAACATAGGAATTAAAGAGAAGCTCCCTGTACACCTTAGTAATATAGACAAAACTAGCTCACCAGCTAATTCTTTACTTGCTACTTCATAGAGCCCTTGTAGACATCCAAATGTCTAATATTCTTCCACTAGCGAAATCTGAGCGACTGCACAGGAAAATGGAATGGCTCTGTATAGGGAGAGTTCATTATTTGCGTCGAGGGTTGGTAACCTGTTGGGCTACACTCAACGGCCCAAAGCTTTGCACACCTCCGACGTCCTCAAGAATCACATAACGAAGATAATGACTGGCGAAAACTGTGTTGGACCTCCAAAAACATCCTTCCATGATTGTTTTAATTGAACAATTGCTGTGTAAAGCCATGGTAGAGGCTAACGGCCTGGTCGCTCGTGAGGATTATTCGCTCTGGTGGATCCAGATTGTCAATCAAATAAGTCGGAAGGATGAATGCGACTAACTTTGGTCGTGGATGTAGGAGAAACGGGTATAAATAACCGCTTCCTCAAACCATGCCTAGTCTTGGAACGGCAGATGAAAAATCACAGTGCCCGCACCAGGCATAGAAAAAGTTCACCCTCATGTTCAGTTCCCATAATAGTCGATAATGGTGGGATGGTGAAGGAACGATCAGGTTGGCCTGGTAGTTGATTTTTTGCAATAAAATCCCAGGATAACCAGTGATGTACCACTCCGTGCATCCCATACTTAAGCGAACCTGGGTGATGTCAATCACATTTAGTTTGCTCACCCGTGTTGTCGTGGCTAATGCCAAGAGAAACACTGTTTCCTTGGTGAAGTCATAAAATGAGGATGCATAAAGGGGCCTGAAGGAGGGCCCTGGCAAACCTCGAGGTACCACGTTCAAGTCCCAAGCATGTGGGCGGAACTTGGCCTTCTGATCCTCAAGCCTTAATGAGCGTAGAAGGGCCTGTAGTTCCGCGACCTTAGTTATCTTGCGATTGTTCCGGAACAGCCAAGACTGAGATAAGTGTAACCTTCCAAGTGTCTTTGGGTATGCAGATGTAGGAGGTATTCAGCTAGGAATTGTAGTGACACAGTTGTAGTGTCTTGACTTTTTGCCTTGCAAAAAGTTTCAAACAATCCCCACTTGTCATCGTATAGACCACTGGTAGAGGGGTGATGAGCTAACGCAATAGCTTTTGCTGCGAATGCCGAATAGCCCTTAGCGCTGGAATGCTTCTGTGTGAAGTTTCCACTCAGTAGAAGGCATCGGCCAGAATGTTTTGACATCCGCGGATGTGTTGAACTATGAACTGTAGTTGCAGACGATCCACTAGATGGAAAAACCTGAATGTTTGTTGCAGCAGGGAGTGGGAGCATGTTGTTCCCTGATTGCGCAAGCACCACACCACAGTGCTCTTGTCTGTGGATATTGCGAGTTGGGCGGACTGTAGTTGATTCTGCCAATGTGATATAGCCAGAATTTACGCTCCATAGCTCTGAGGCTGTCTAGCCTTGCAGGTGAGCACCACACCCTTGACAGGAGCGTCTACGAACAGGTGTAGATTCAGGGATAACCCGGATAAAGAGACTCCTCCTGAGACATTTGACTCTACCATCCACCATATTGAGGTAAGGCCTTAGCCTTAGTGATGGCCTTGAGCGGATCCTGACGCCTGATGTAAGGGTTCAGGAATTGTTGAATTGGGGGTAGTTGTAATCGGCCTCTGCTGGTTAGGTCCTGTACTGAGGTGAGAAACCCTAACATCACTTGCCATTGGTGAAGTGTGCGTGGTTGATGAAGAGCAGGTGACAGGAGGCGTAAAATCTTGTGCCATCTCTCCCTTGGAAGTGATAGATCCTGGTCTGTTTTGAACAGGCCTCCTATGAACTGAAGTCGATAGGATGGAGTTAACTCCGAATTCCCCTCGTTGATTATCCGTTCCAGTTGATACAATAGCCATCTGGTGAAATCCTGGTGGCATACTAACGTCTGCATGTTTTGATGACACAGGAGACAATCGTATGTACGACTCGAAGCAAATGTTCCTCAGGTGTAGATAGGCAGTTATGGGCTTCATATGGCCTTTAATTTAATAGCAGATGTTGCTTTCTTGGATAATTCCAAGGAAGTGGAGCCGTGGTCAACGGTGGAAGTACCTCTACGTCTTACACAACAAAAAATCACATAAAACTACACAACATGGTGAGACCAATATGAAAAGAATTCATCAATTAATCTAAATTAATCCAAAACGAGAGCTTCACTGGTAGTAGAAGTCCATGCTGTAGCGTGACAGGCAGTGATACGAAGAAGGTGACCTCAGGTCATCCAGGTCACAGGACAGCGGCAGTGGTCAGCAAAAGTGGGACTACGAACAACAGTTTTTCTATATCTTCACCCAGGACCATCGCCATTACGCTGTCCCTTCTATTGTTGTAAGGTAAGCAGTGAATGCATTAAGGAGTAATGCAAGATGAGTAAAAAATATGTAAATATGAAAGTCCTCACCACTTGCTCCACCAGATCCCAGTCAACGAGAGTGTCTGCGTCGATGGAGTGAGCTATGTAATCACCACTATCTCCCACAACAAACTGGCAGCTGAAAGATGAACCTCACCCTGTACAATACTATTGCATGATGCTGAAGAAGATGAAGAAAACATAACATCTTTTAATCTGTTACTTAACAGGACAGGACTGGACTGGACAATGGCTGATCGGTATAGATTTACTTCTTATTCCCTGGCTGGAATAGAAATTGGGAATAGCTGCTAGTTTTCTGAGTTGGATTGCTTAAACTAAAAGACTTCCTGCAGGCTAGTACATTTCAGTAACGGGTTGTCCCTATGTCATGTATCACTTTTCAGACTAGTAATCATCATGATCATGGTAATTGTAGACATTCCTGGTTAATTCCAACACAAACTGGAAATGGAATGCTGAGAATATATTTGCTGCTGTTATCATTACTAAAAAATGTGGGTGTTATTTTCACTTAAACTGTGTTTATTAGAAATACTGTCTGATGGATATTCAGATATATTCAGATTCAGACATATAAATTATGATCACTTTATTTTGACAATGCTGAGTCTTTAAACATCAAAAACACATCCTACACTAAAAATAATTCAGGTCATGTATATTTCATAAATATCTAACATTGGAGAGAGATTCTCAACACAATATTAACTAAAGGGATTGTGAACAAATACATATTCCATTCGAAGACATTACTTAACATAAAGCCACTATTCACTTATGTTCATACCATAGTATAAATAAAATATCAATAACAACAAAAAATATAATCACATTCCGGAAATGTTCTTTTGTGGAAAGAAATGTCCAGTCAGACATAAAACATGCTTATTTTACTTCTTAAACATGATCACTTTTACAAAAATCAAACAATGCTTCAGTGTAAGTAATTACTATATTTATTCCCCCAGAACAGATCATTGTGGTCACCATGTTAACATAGCTAATAGACAAAACTTGGTTTATTTTCTGGGCCACACTACTTACTTTGCCTGAAGAAATCTTTCTTTATTGTACACTCTTCCTCCTGTTCGTGGTCTTCTCACTCTTTGATAAGCACCGGAACTTCCATAGTGAGTTTCACGACCCGCAAACGTGAAGTTAAACAGGTGATTCAAACTGGCTTTCTTAGAGCCACCAGTGAACATGAGGGACTCATACTCTGAGTCCACAGGTTCTGCTACCTGAAATTAAGCAAATGAAGTTTATTAACATGATTAACAATAGTGAATAAATTGGAAATAAAAAAACCTTCCTCTTACCTGTGTACAGATATGTCCCAAGATGTAAGAAGATGAAAACATCAACATGCAGAATGATGCTATTCCTAAACATGACAAATGTCAGTATTGTTCGTCATTAGGGTTAGAAATTCACACTAGCCCACTAGCCCCGGGCTAGTACAAATTTCCTAATTCCCTCATTGTTTTAACATAACATTATATTTTCAAGGGCATTTTATCTTTATCCAGGCCAGTTAAGTTTTTCAGTTTAGTTCTATCCATGTAACTCATACTTAACATGTTATTGAATACAATATGTACAATGACAGAAATATTCTGAGTATAAATTATAATACACCAAAGTATCTACAAAGTCTATGGAGAAAAACATCCTACAACAGACATTTAACAATCACATTATGTGTATACTTTGACTAGTGAAACATATCACAAACATTATCATGGATTATCATGTAGGCCATCATACTACACACAAAAATCATTTTCTTGAGCATGCCAAGGTCGATGACATACCTGCATACAATTGTACATCTTGTCATGCTTTTTAAAAGGTTTGTTGAAGATCAGAATGAACATGACAAAACGATAATTTCATATAAAACAATGAATATAAAATGTTTAGCTACAGAGCTGATCTGATTTGGCTAGCCTAGCCAGATAATCTGGCCTTGCACTTGCCATGCTTGCAGGTAATTGTGCAATAGAGTATATAGTTACCTCCCTTGTATAATTATAGTTGTACTATGTTGTACCACATAGGGTTTACACATACACCAATTCAACATGTTAAATGTCTATTTAATCCTAAAATCTTTGTAAAAAGAAGTTCGACCTTTCATGTTAATAAACAACAGGTCATTATGTATGTCATTGAATTTTGAAAGCCTATGAACTTTATTACAATATATACCTCTTCTCTTTGACGGTCATTGTAATTTCCTCTAGATCGTGGTCGCTTGTCCCCGGTAGCCCTGGATTTCTGAGGGGTTGGGCGACGGGCATGGTCTGGTGTGCTTCCCCGACCCGCTCCTGATTCTCTTTTCTTACCATACTTAGAAAACCTATTAGGACTGTTAATATCTGAAAATAACCCAGAAATACACAGTGAACATAACAATGCATACTAACAATGTGGACATATTGACAATGTATAGGCTGCATTTGAATGGGAACCACAATTTCAGCAGATATCCCAAGTCAATAAATCAATATTGAATGTCCAGCACAATGAAGCCAGCACAAGCTCAATGTACATGACCGTAACAGCTTGGGTCAACTGCAGTAGTTGCCAGCCATAGACTATCTGTCGTATTTCTATATCTGGTTATTCAAGACTTTTGATAACCCCCAGGGTACCAGCAACGATTGCAAACTGTTGTGATAAATGTTTTGGTCATGTGACATCAGCCGTCAGGTGTCGAGAAGTGACGTCACATAACTCACCATTTTTCTTACTGTCGGACGTTGCACCGTTCTTCGGCGGAACAGACAGCTGACGAGATAATTTTTTGTCCATATTTACTATCCCTTCCTCGAACATCAACAGTAGTACACAAATGAGAAGTAGAACCTCTCGTTCTCTTCTGCTTAGCAGAGATAACGAATGCTGAACGACCTTGGGCAACCATTTTCATAACTCCATGTTGAACACTTTAAAGAAGTAAAAAAATCCAATTATATCACAATTAGATCAATAACAGTTATGTAGTCTACAAAAAGAATCCTTCAAACACAAAATGCGGGGGCACAATATGTTCCCCCAGCGCTCCTTAACGCTCTCTCAGCGTCTTAGATGGGCGAGTATTACACCCAAACACAACTTGATGGAGACAGGCCTCCAATGCCCGGATGTTGTTGAACGAAACTAAAACTAGAACCGGAATTAAAGAGGACGACAATCATATTTAATTTACGAATTTGACCATGCAGTACCTTTCTTTAATTATTTCTTTTTTTAAATCACCCGGTGAGGTAAGACATTCATTTAATGCGTGTACATATGTAAATACATTGCAAAGTCCAAATAATAATACTTAAGGTATGTTAGAGGCTCAGGACAGGCCCCACCTCCACCCCCTCTGGATCCGCTACACTGCCTACCCATTGTTCCAACATTATTACTGATATTACTGACTCCTCTGGACTGGAAAAATAGATAGGCCCCGGTAAATCCATGTTCATACGTTGTAATAAATGCCGTGTGGGGCATTAAAAGGTTTTGTGAGTGTAATAGGGTTAGTAGTGACTGTTTGGTTAATCATCATCATCATCATCATCATATATCTAAGACAAAGTGGTGTTTGAATGAATTCATTATACTTGCTAGGATTGCCAATAAGGGCGGGACATGTCCACATTTATCCTTGTTACGAATGTGCAAATCTACTTACATGGAAACTAATTAAAAAATTTATTTGGGAAGTGACAAACTGCGAACAATATTAATAAACTGCGTCAAGGACAAAACATTGTTATCTCTTCACAAAACAAAATACCCAGTACTGAAACATTGATTGTTTTCGTAACGAAATATCCATTGCAATGTTTAATATCGTTATATGTAAGAGGTCCCATCATTCTGTTATAGTGAAATAATAATAATGAGCGTTTGGACTATACTAAAACCCTTGTTTAAAATACGTTTTTAACATATTAAAGATATATATTTTTCAGTTTTCGATTGACCAACAACAAATGCAACTACTGTTCATTTCAGTAAAATATTAAATATTGCTTTGATATGACATTTTAATATGTAGTATAAATCATACTTGAGATGTTAACGTCTTGCAAATAATCCGCCGTTCAAATATAATGTGCATTTATCGTTTCCATGGTCCATTACTACTTTTAGACCGTCCCGGAAATGCAACGCATGCGCGTTCAGACTGCGCGAAAATTTGAAAAGAACATTGGGCCGAACATTGAGTAGGTCAATTGGACTAAATATTGAAAATACTTTGATTGAAACATTCTGTACTATCGGATCTCGCCTGATCGTTACATTGACGTTTGAAGATATATGAAACGAACGCGTTGAAATATTGGCATGAACGTTTCTTGTAATTGTTTTACTTAGAATTCTATCTATCGAGAAATTCCTAAATTAAGAACCTGTTCATGTTTTGACTGTTTACAACACTTGATCATATTCAAGTGATATTGACAGCTGTTGAACAACCTTCAGCTAGTGTAAAAACTCGAAGTGGGTTCTGAATCTGTGGGAAATGAATAGAACTCTTGAAAGTTATATTCACGAAAATGTTAGCTATTGTGACCAGCTGTAACAGGGCGTGGAGTTATCTGACATATGACAGACAAGTTTACTTTGCTTACGGGGTTATGCTCTTTGGTCATGATTATTAGGAATGACATAAAATAATGTTAACATGACATGGGTGTATTGCACTCCTATGGTGAAGATAAATCGTTAATATTTTCCCATCCGCAAATTGTTCCTAGATCTACATATGAATTTAATAATAGCAACTTCTGTGGGAGTCAAGTTAAAATGGCAGCTGAAAAGCTAAGCAAACTATTCTCACACAACATAGCTGATACTGTTACAGCGTGGCGGAAGCCATCAGGTGTTCAGCAATCCAGTTTCTCAATTTCATTGTGAGAGACAACTTAGTTCCAATAATTTGGATAAGTGACATAAACTATGTAAACCATTAGGCAAACTGAGTTGTGACCAAATTGTATGTCACCAGCTGCTCACTGTCTGTGCCCTTATGGCAAATGGCATGTTTTTTGCTCGTACTGTCATCCCTTTGATAACTATATGGACAAACTGCATATGTTGTTTCCACTTTGCTCCCTTACAAAATATTTCCCAACAGATGTATATATGGACCACTAAGTTTCTTTTCAAATTTGAAATTCTCTTGAGCAAGACTTCCACCCTTATCCCCACTCAAAATATATACAAGTGAGTAGATTAAGCGGCAATGCATACATTTATAGCTTTTGGAAGGGGGATACAGGCGGAAGTCTTTCCTTCTTTTGTTTAAGAAATATTTCCAGCAATGTCTTCACACATTGTAATGTTATGTAAGGAATCAAACCAAGGTATTTGAAAATGACAAGCACATGTTAATTACTATTACAACGAAGCCACCATCCTTGGTATCCACCAAGCATTCATCATTTTCATGAATGTATTTATGATATACATAGCCATGTCCAAATAATATGTAGTTACAACAACCAACTTGTCATATCATTCATTTAGTAAATCTATCACTTTTCACAAAATAAAGATATAAGTATTTCATTTCAATATATCATGTAGAAGTAGCTAATGCACTGAGACGCATATATAAATGCGGACCACTAAAATGGCTCAAGTTATTTCAAGTAGATCCTCGTCTCGAGTTTATGGGATCAGTAACTAAACTGTTAAAAAAGCACGATGTCACAATCAGGCATGGTGAAAAAGAGGCCCACCGTAGTCAAGCTATCGTTGAAAGATTTAACCGGACATTAGCGGAACGTTTGTTTGGATATCAGTATGGGATTGAAATGAAATCAGTTCGAATAAGATCATCCGAATGGGTGACACAATTATCAACTGTTGTATCAGCGCTAAATAATGAAGTAACGAGATTAATCGGGAAGAAACCATCCGATGCGATTAAAATGAAATCTGTGACTTCCGAATTTTCAGCACTGAAGAGAGGCAAAGAACAAAAACGTCCGGATAGAGTAAGCGTAAGATATTTATACCATGAACTCGAAGGGGGTCTATGTCATGCAACCGATCCGATTTGGTCCCTTACAATATATACCATTAGTCGGTTGGTTATGAAAGAAGGAGAGCCTATTCTTTATTATCTTAAAGATGGACTGGGCAGGAGATTTGTACAAGAAGAGTTGCTCATAAACTTTATCAATAGATTTAAAATAATGAATTTTTTCCCATAACGTTATTTTAAAAAAATAATCTGGGACACATGCTTCAACAACAGGTAAAACATGTCAAAGAGCAATGTAAAGACATTTCAAGCAATACATAAATAAATTGAATAAATAATGTTATAAATAATATCAGAAAACATATTTCTAAAAACTGCCAAACTAACATCTAAGTTACTATTTCCATCTTTTCATGCGATTGTGTAATGTAAGTCAAATGACATCTTGGCTATTGTCGCCTCGCTTTTTAGGCTCGGACATGATGTTGGATGACAAAATATATGCATGAGAAATCTTTGTCACAAGTCGAAACGATTTTCTGCTTAAAGCATTCAAAATAACTCAATTTAGCCAAAGAATCTGATATCTAAATTCAAAAATAGTCTTGTTACTGATTTTCTGAGCTTTCTAACGATATCAAACCTGATATTTATACAAATCTCAGAAAACAGAGGTATTCCCGGTATTATTTCACGTCACTGAGCGGAAAGTGACTTTTATCAGGAAATATGTGATGATAGATCGTGCTTAAACTTCATTTTGTCATCATTTTTCCGATTACTTTAACAATGTAAATAGAAAAAGAAATAAGTTAGTGGATACCTCTATTATGAAATAATTTTTGCTTTCTTGGTGCTTAATCTGGACTTTATGAATGTGCTAGCTTAATTTTTTTATTAAAAACAAACTTAAGTTCTAAATGCATTATTTATATAATGTGATAAACATAACTCATAGTTATAAACAGTAGGATTATATCTTTCACATGGTGTATGACATGAAGTAGCAAAGGTGTTTTACAAGCTGATAATTTCCTGTATAATGTAGGCTTCATCTATCACCACGGTGTCGATGGGAACTTTGTGTGATAGCAGTAAAAGCTTGTGTTTGTGTTTTGTGATTTATGTTGCAAGAGTATGTCTCCCTGCTTCAGCTACAATGTTTGGGCCTACAGTTTTTGATATGTGCTGGCTCTTAAGGCTCTCGGTTTACTCGGCTGAGTTTCAGACACTGATGGAGTAGTCTTCAATGGCATAGGAATATTATCAAGCAGTCAAGGGGGATCACTCTGAGATGCTGTATTTTGGTAAGTGAATCTTAGAGACCAGATTATCCTCTTGTTACAGCAGCTGGAGATGATGATGAGTGGATGGGATACTGATCATGGTCAGGTGGAAACCTTGGATGAGTTTGATGAAGCTCACCATCTGGAGAAGACCTACTGCTCCACCATGACCGAAGAAGAGTATGAAGATCAGACAGTAGCTGAGACGGACAAAGCACTTCAGGTATACATAGCAAGCAGAATGCGATGCAGGACTTGCCTTTTAAACCCCACACTGTCAGACAAGATAATACTATGCATTCATTAGATAAATAGCAACCAATATCAAATTTGCTAACACTATTGTTTGTAACTAACTTGATCAAAAATCACCAGCCCAATACCAGTGATCGACATTGCTCTGGGACATTGAAGTTTCCTGCTATGATATAATCTAAGGATGTGGTTCAATTTTAATATTCGGTTACGACAAGGACCCCTTCAGTGCTTGAAATTGGAGAACCTTAAAGTTAGCTCCCACAGTAAATGAGTCTACTGACCTTCAATCTTGAACTTTTGTCCATTAGGTTTATAACTAATATGCCTGATATTCCTGCTTTGAACACTGATCATGATAATTATCAGTGTTAAGGATAAAGGTGAAAAGGACCTCGTCACAACCGAAATGTAAACATTTAGAGAAATATGGGGACCCTAGATTAAAAAATTATAAGAGGAAAGACTTCTGCCCATAGGACCCTCCAAAAGTTATTTATGTATCTATTGTATGCATTGCCGCTTAACCCTTTTAATTATATATATTTTGAGGGAGGATACAAAAGAAAGTCTTACCCCACCATTACATTTGTACACTGTTAAACATGGTGATGTGACTGTTGTTTGATCCACCAGCATTGATAACATAATTTTGCAGCAACTGAATTTGTAATTTGTAACTGATACCTTGACCCAGTGTTGGAAATGAGCACCTGCCCATTGGTGCATGGCAAGTAGGTCTCATGTCAGGCCCAAAGTTTCCAAGTTGTGTGGGTCCTTTGGGCCTGCAGTGAATTTATATGTGGATCTATTTGTCAATAGTCTGTAGTTTTTTAAATGGGGGCCTGAAGAGTTTGGTCAGGCCCTGCAGCTTCTAAAGTCTGTGGGTCCCGATGGCAGCCTGGCAATTTGTTTTATTTCAAACACTGCTTTGATCATGTACAAAAAGGAGACTGTGTTCAAGTAGTTCCGAACTTTGTCTCCACGGTTTCAGGATTTGGTGATGTATCTGGAATCCAACCCCGAGGCTTATACTCGTATCATGAGGAAGAAGAAGGTTGAGGAGATGGAGAATGGTGGAATGTATTCCTACCTGAAGGTGTGGTACATACTTTGTTACCTAATCATTGTTCAGCTACTTCTCTACAACCCCAGCAGTACATCCATTTACAGACTACACAAGGAGTTTGCTTAATAATATTAATAATAATATGTCATGAAACCTAGGATCACGGATGTGAACACCAGATTCACCCTGGTTATGTTTCAAAGTTCAAAGGTGTTCAAAGTGGCAATAAACCAAATCCCGCCCTTCACTGACTAAAATTATATTGGTTAAAATTTATGATAGGACATTGGTTTGAAATGAATGAATCATACATTTGAGCATTATTTTATTGGTTGTCTTCACAAATAATATTTTATTAAATAATAAACTTTAAGTTACATTTTCTCTCCTTTGCAACAAAAACATCAACTTGGAACCAATGCAATAGCAGAAGGCTTGAAATTGTCCATTATCAGACTATTGGGCTTTACCATATTAACACTTGTTATTCTAGTTATATTTTAACATCCGCCCTCAAAGTCATGAAAATTACTAATATTACTGGAAAATGATTGATTTTCATTTACATGATCGCCTCCTTGGTTGCAAGCAGTTTCAGACTGTTTGCTGTGTCTACATCACCTTGCCACAGAATATAGCAAGTTTTGAAAGTTTTCCTTCATTGTATTAACAGTAAAGAGAAATACCTTTACCTCCAATGGTTCCAGGTAAAGATGATGAGCCTGTTGCATGGTGAACACTACCCGGCATGTCTTGTTGCCCCTGAGGAGGCACAGAACCACCTCAACCAACTCAAGAGAGGAATGAAGAGGGCTTTTGAATACTCACAGGGTAAGTGATCAGTCTGACCCTAGTCCCAATCCAGAACTGAGTAAAAGAACAATTTCAGGCTAGTAAGTAGACTCCAAAGGTTTTGTGACATGACTGGGTAAGTATTTTAGAATGTTAATTAACTCTTCTTTTTCTCAACAGGGTTATATTTGGTATTGACACATGCATTTCAATTACAAAGGGGATTATCTCTCTAACATACACTTCAGTTGGTTCACTGCCAATTGTCAGACATCCCATTTGTCAGACGACCCAGTCGTCAGACAGACCAGTCAAATGTGACCAGTGTAACTGCCTGGTCTTACCTACTAATTAATGAGCGGCTCCCAACTGTGGGCAGAGTATGCTACTCCAACTCGTTAAGTGATACACATGATTGTGTTTACAAGTTGCGTTTGATCTGTGTCGGGTTGCGTGTGTTTTATTAGCAAAGATTTAGAGATATTTTTTTCCAATGATATAGAATGAAGGAAACTCTGTGAAGATTATAAACAATGTTAAATACAATGTTTGGTAGAATAAGTCTCAGAGAGGAACCCCTCAAGTATTCCTTGAAGAGTTCACTTACTCTAAGAATCAAACCAGAGGCCGGACCACACACTGGAGATGTTATTGTCTTTTGCAATAATGTAATGAATACTTCAAAAAGTGTTATTTCTGGTATGATTTGATGATTAAAAGTACATAATAAACCTATCCTGTAAATTCCTCAAACTTTGTGTTTTCTGGTCTGTTCCACTTCAATGAAAGGTAAACAGGTAACTATTGCTTGACTAACCAACCTTGTCTAATCCTGGTCTAAGCTGTCTGACAATTGGGAGGTTACCCTTCAATTAGTGTCACTTAATCTGTGCTCCCTGAACTAATTATGTATTGTTTAGTGACTGAAATCACACAGCAAGGCTCATCTGGATTAGGGAAGCTAGCAGTCTCTTGGATGTGTATTCAGTCCTTTGGTTGCCATTAATATCAAGAGAGGGTTCGAAATTACCATAAGTCCGCTGGTCCAGACTATATTGCGTATAGGAGAGAGAGTATATGGATGTCAACTTCTTTATTATGGTGAACACAAAGTTTCTGAGTATATGCTTACTCCTTCATGAGGTCAGTGAGATCTGTAGCAGATAGGTCTTTTGGGCTTATTATAATAACAATCATTTGCCAAGCCTAATGTGAGAAGTGTACGCATGACCAGATTGTTTAATACATCTATCTAAATACGTTTTGCCAGTGCCATGGTAGCAACATGCCCAGTCAGACATTTTGTACCTATCTCTTGAGACCTACAGTGGGTACCCGGATAGGGTCAGGTAATACCCAGGTAGTAAATCGGCCTCGTCCCAGCCCTTCTCACCTGGCAGATACATTAAGATCTGGGTTAAATAGGTCTTCAGCAACCCATACTTGCCGTTAGAGGCGAATAACAGGATCAGTTGGTCAGGCTCACCAACTTGCTTGATGCATGTCATCGTATCTCAATTGCGTGGATTGATGCTCATGATGTCAATCACTGGATTGTCTGGTCCAGCCTCGATTATTTATAGACCGTCATCTTATAGCTGGAATATTGCTGAGTGCAGTGTTAAACAATAAACAAACTAGATACATTAATCAAGCAAGATTATAGAGTTACTCAATTTCATAAGGAATTCTTTGGGTACACTTAAAACATTTACAAAAACTCAGAGGTGCATTCTAACCATGTGTTCCAAACAACACATGTACAAGGGTAGTTGTCAAAGACCCTGCTATTTGCTGTGCAGAGTTGTGTCCCTTCGCAATCCCAGGATACTGTCTAGTATGAACCTTGGTCAGGTGGCACCAAACATAGTATATATATCTACAACCTACTTCGCTTTGGGCTTTCCTCCCACATTAAACTGGCGCTGATGTTAGTCCACAAGATGAAATTTAGTGAGCCTCACCTCACCAATGACGTTGTGATTACAGAGAGCAAGGCAACAAGATACTCTTCAAGACTAGCAGCGAGGAAGCCCCTGTCAGATGCCTCCCCTCGGCTCAACACACCAGACAAGGACAGGTCTCGCCAGTCATCCAAGAGAGCAAAGAGGGGCTTGACTGAGCCTCACTCAGCAGTACCAGTTGCCAAGATTACCCCCAGCAACGCCCCTTCAGTGCCACCCCCACCCCCACCCCCACCCCCACCACCACCACTTCCAACTAATCTTGTCATTAAGCCACGTTTAAAGAAGGGCTCATCCAAGACACGCTCCCCCAAGACAGACTCATCCAAAACAGACTCATCCAAAACAGACTCATCTGAATCTCACTCACGACAGATAGCATCGCCATTACCAGCCAACTCACCCAGTGGGGCAGATAGCTCTGATCATGAGGTAACAGACTAGCACTGAATTCTTCTATAATCTTTATATATGGGCCTTTTTAAAGCCATAATAAATTAGACAGTAGATTATCATTCCCGCCCAACACACGACTAAATTCCCAGACAAATTAATTTTATTTACGGAGTAATGTTTAGAGCACTGTAACGATATCAGTTGTCAAATGACCATTTCTTGTTTACGACATGCGGTACATTGGTCTATGACTGACTCTTGGTGCGCGCCTGTCTGTCATCTGCTTGCTGTCAGCTGTCAAGATGTCAGGGCTTCAGATTGGTTCATTATGTTGGACATTAACCGATTGACTTCCAAAATGTTCTTAAGATATTTTTTTCAAATTTGGTACCAATGATATAGAAGAATGTCTCATCAAAGGTTGATAAAATCATGAAAATGTTCTATTGCCATTGGTGTCTAGCAAAATCACTGTTCACTTTGGAATCAATTGTGTTGATTTCCTCAATGTGCCTTGCTAAATGGGATGAATTGCTGCTTGCTGGTTTGTTAAGTGTAGGTTTTAGGTGCAAGCCACTATTCTCTTTTCAGTTTGTCACCCCTCCTACAGACACAAGGCCACTAAGGCGACACAGGAGAACAGTGTAAGTATGCTGGGTAGTGCCTGAAGGGGTCTGCCAGTCTACATTAACATGCGATTATAATCCTAGTATTTGGAGTGGACCAGGTTTTTGAGATAAACTTATTGTGTATAGTTCGAAGTATGTTAGTTTAATCTGATGTCACTTTTTTTCAAATTGGAAGTGATTGTGTGCGGTTTGAAAGATGTAATTCGGTGGTATCAAATCAACAATAACATACATGATGATGATGATGATGATACCCTACTCTCATGAATGAGAGGCTTGAAAATAACATGTAATGCAACTTCATGCAGGGCACTGATTGCCGATTAGCAATCTGATGTGACAGTCACAATAAAATCATTACTCTGATACAATACTTCTCTGTGTGAAGATATGACAACACCTCCATAGAAGGTCCGAGTGAACTTGGATCACCCAGTATAACTGAAGATTACATGGGTTCTTAGGCCAATCAGATGGTGGCTTTCTTAAATGAATCAATTCAGACATTTCAATCTTAGCAAAAGAAAACATCCACAGAACATAGATATACTCTCTATAGTAACCATGGCGCTCAGAAACAACAGCATGATGGTATCGTTTCAATTTCTTTTTGCATTCAGAGCTCCCCAATTATATTCGTTTTCAGAGATGCTTGTCTGAATAATTTGTTGATGTTGATTGGCTGATCAAAAGTTCACATATGACCTATATGAGTGTCCTCGGACCTTCTAACAAAGAGGGGGCATCGGGTAGCCTTGTGGTTAAAGTGTTCGCTCGTCACGCCGAAGAGCCAGGGTCGATTCCCGACATGGGTACAATGCGTGAAGCCCATTTCTGGTGTACCTTGCCTTGATATTGCTGGAATATTGCTAAAAGTGGCGTAAAACCATATTCACTCACTCATACAGAGAGGAATCGTATCAGAATAAAGGATCCGATTTAATGAGCTTTCCCCATGTCAAACCGTTTAAAAGTTAGTTACTGCATATGTTGCTTCCCATTTCTACATTTTTGCATTTTGTCTTCAATACTAAACTGATACGTTTTGATGTCCTGAATGACATTTTATCACTAACGAGAAACGAGTATGAAGCCTGAGTTACTTTCTTTGTGAATTTAGTTTCTTCTGAAAGTGTCATGTGTCGTATGTAATTTCCTTCTTTGCTCAATGGGACATTTCAAGGCAAATATTTTTATTAAGGTGCCAATGAGATTCTAGTTTTTATTTTATAGCTGAATATTGTGTGAAAATAACCTTCCCCAACTGTGAGACATTGTACTCACAATGTTCCAACATCACCCTTGAATACATTTGGCTGGTATGTGGTGTGGTGGTGACCATGTGTCTAGTTTTAGCCAGCTATTGAAATAACTCCTGGAAGACAGATAAGTTCTACTCTGCACATGGACATTGTGCAGTCACAACCATTGTCTGACATTATGGCAGTATGTAGAGAAACATTGCCGTTCATGCAATGTTAACAGAACAATGGTGTGAGTACTCGCTGGTTCCCCTCTGGCTGGAATCAGGCAGGCAATGAGTTGATTCATTGATATGCACCGTATGTACTCATGGTGGATGGAGGAACATAGTGTTTACATACCAGTGAAGTACTGACAATGACTGAAAATGTTCATTGTGAAAGCAGGCTTACAATACAGTAAGTCTGTTGTCAATCCTAAGGCCAGTCCTCCAAGTGACTAGAATATCCTGTTGTGTGTCTAGGTCCAATAGCTCAACGTCCTCTGTGTCCTCCGTGTCCTCCCTGTCCAGCATCCACTCCGAGCTCATGTCCTCCAACCCACTCCGGCGACTCCGATCCACACAGGTCATCAGGTAAAGTCATATATCGCCTGGCCACAAGTCCTGCATCACAATACTACAATCTCAATAAAATCAGATGATTGGCAGGTCAGAAAGATCTGATTGTACGCCAATTCCTTCTATTGGTTCAATTAATCGAAACATCACTGGTCACAATCAGCCATACCCGTGAAGATCCAGGTTGGAATTAGTCTTCAGTAACCCCTGCTTGTCTTAAGAGGGGGCATTGCTTGTCGTAAGAGGCGACTAATGGGATCAGGTGGTCAGACTCACTGACTTGGTTGATGCATGTTATCGTTTCCCAATTGCATAGATTGATGCTCATGATGTCAATCACTGGATTGTCCAGACTTTATTATTTACAGTCCCCTGTCTATTATCTGGAATATTGCTGAGTGCGGCGTTAAACAACAACAACAACAACAACAAAACAATCCGCGAATCACAATCCATGAACTTTACTAGTATTTGGCATCAAACTAATGATTGCATTACAGCATTAAGTCGCAGGCGTCTGGTGAATATAATATGATTTTGTAGTGAAGGGTCTTATTTGATATAAAAAAAACATTCCAAAGTCAAAATATAGCTTACATAACAGCTGTGCTAATCTTTTCCCATGTTGAATATAACATCTAATCATCCTAGTTCTGTAATGGGATTGTTACAGTGTATTGGACTGTAGCATGTTGCCTGTATATGCATGAGTTTCATGAGTAACACTGGTAATGATTCAACTCTGTTGCCCAACAGGTCACCTGGCGGCACACCAGTCCGAGCTGCAGCAGACAAGGAACATCTGGCACACTCTGAACCTCTCCACAAAGCATTAATCTCGGTTATGAAGAGGAAGTTTCGAAACATCCGTACTCCAAGCCCTCAGTCTGCTGGACATAGTCGAGTCAGCAGCCCCAACAGCACGTCGGCCTTCAGTCCATCCCTTGTGTTTACACCCTGAAGTATATACGTACTGTGTTCACTGCTAGTGATGCACAAGCTCTACAGATACTGCAGTATGCATAACAGTCAGTCAGTATAACAAACAAGAGAAGAACCAGTAACTAGTTAATTATATCTGGAATTTGTTTCTTGCAAAGCCATGTTAGCTGTTTATAATCACGAATGTTTGAACATCATGCAAAATGTAGCATTGGCCTAAAAATACAATGTTGTGCTTCTGATTACATGTAACAGTTCATTTCAAAATAGCGCCTGCAACTTAGTTGGAGAATTACTGTAAGGCTCTGCTGCGTTTGGTATAAATTTGTAGGTGTGCTTTGTTTTGTCAAGTGGGATGTGCATTAATAGGGGCATCTTCCCGAGGCAAGAGAGTTAACTGACTTTAAATGTCCAGTTTCCATCCTTGCTGAACTAGACTGGAATTCCTGGGCTCGATCGTAGAGCCACCAGTGGCTATTACCAGTTATGTCCCTTCTAAGCCTCTCCTATGGACCAATCAGATTCAACCTCTCTTATCACTTGCATTTGCTTCACACGAAATGGAGGCGCCCAGTCAAGACGATCTGATTGATAATCAAGATCTATATTGTGATAAAGCGGGTCTTACATCGCGAAGTGCATCAAATCACGTGAGCACCTTGATTAAAAACGTGAAAAGATCTGGAAAATATCTGTTGACAACGAGTTGGAGGTGCACATGCTTTGCAAATCTTGCAATCAACCGAAATCTGCACGGCAGTTTACAAACGGGATTTCAACTTCATTGCGCGACTTTGATTGAACTATGCATAGACTCGTTAGCCAAGCCAAAATGTAACTCCATAATACCAGCCTAGTTCGGCAAGGGTGGAAACTGGACTTTTATAGTCAATTAACCCTCTTTCCTCGGGAAGATGCCATAGGGGAAATATGGTATTAGGTGGTTAATTTCACAAGGCGGAATGTATTTATGTTGGTAGGAAATAACAGATTGTTTATACAATGTAATAAGTGCTTGTTTGCTTCTCAGACATCAGAGTGTTTTTTTCTGTCATCATAAAACTTGTAGCATCTCATTGCTTGATACAATGTATGTAACTACTGCTCCACAAACTTAAGACAAATCACAAACTGACTGTTAAGCCCATTGATCATCATTGACATACATACCAGTAATCAGTGTTGTCGGTAAGTGTAGTAGAGGTCGGGTGGAAACAGCTCCAGTGCAATTGTCTGTTCGAGGTGGTGTATGAACTGCACGAGTATGAACTCACGGTCCTCTCATCACTGGAAACTGATTCTTCCATTGAATGGCAAACACAGTGTCCCAAAAGCTGTGTTCACACATGGTGTCCCAAAATGCAGTGTTCACACCTCATTTTCTAAAGTATGTTTAGCAGTAGGAATTTTGGATTTGTCTTAACCATGTTAACCTTCAGTGAATGAGTTTGAAGATTTAACAATATGGTTTCAATAAATCTTCAAAATGTCAGTTCTCATGTAATGTCTTTTTAAAACATTGTGTTAGATGAGATGAGATATTTTTTAACTTTACGAAGTGTGATGTTTTGTAAGATTGTGATAAGGACTGGGATTGTGCAACATGAAATGACAGCTAATCATCATCAAATCATCTCATGAGTGAGAGCCATAGCATCCTTAACACATCACTGGGATACACTACATTTCCATCATCTGTGAATACATAGGGCTGACAGGCAGTGTAGTAGTGATGCCTGTCAATTTTCCCGTCAAGGTTGTGTTTGACACAGGAGTTAGATATGAACTTCCCTTAGGATAATTAAGTCTTATCTTATCTCAAATGAGCCTACCCCATGTATGAATTTTGTGTGAACCCATCCTATAGTTTCCCAATAAGTGAAGCTATATGTTGAGTGGATGGTCGCAAGCTTGTGGCACATGTAGCATAAGAAATGTTGCCATGCTGTCATCTCAGCTCACTGGTCTCCCTCTCACTGCAACCTGGCCATGACTTGATTTGCTGGATCCAAATGGCGACTATATGTATTCACGGTGATGGAGAAATGTAGTGTATTATCCCTTGCAGTACTCACAATGGTCCGGTAAATGTGGCAGCATCTCCTGTGATACATCGAACTGTGAAATTTGTACATAGTTGGAACATTTGAAGTATTCAAACAAAATGTTCACATACACAGTTTATTCAGATTACAACTGTAACTTGATTTTATCCTTGTGGAAGCCAACTGGAATGTATTGCACCCAATGACATGTTGCTCCAGTCAAAGGCATCATTTTGTCATCCTGTTCCATATGACTCTTCTTCCTTTTGTTTTGTCATTCTATCCCTCTTGCATCTCTTTCTCTTACTTCTTGGTGTCCCATTAGCATGCCATGTTAGAACTGTCCCCAGCAACCAATGCTGGACTCGAAAGGTGTCCTAATGGATCGGGTGGTGAGACTCCGTCACTTGGTTGATACTGTGTCCTCATACCCCGGCGGTGTGGATCGATGCCCATAATACTGATCACTGGATTGTCTGGTCCACACTAGATTGTCTGGTCATACAGTTAAAATATTGCCAAGTGTGCTAATAAACAACAAACACGTAAACTTTGTTGGTCTTATTTGTTGCAAAAGCCAACTAAAGTGGCTTTGTGTGGTTTCAATACATGACATGGCTGATTGTGTGTCATCGTAGCCTGCAATCGTGAAGCATTGGTGAAGCTTTCATCCATGGATTGTCTGGCCCAAACTCAGGTATTTATAGGCTGCTTTGATATTGTTTGTATACTGCTGACTGCAGGGTACAACAGCCTCATCATCACTTGCACCTGTGCCCACCATCTTACAGCTAAGCCTTAAGTTACATGTTGAGTTGCTGTGCACGAGTTCCTTGGACATGCCAGAAATCTATGATCGTAGGTTCGAAGCCCAGGTTGCCCATGGTTGTGGGCTTCATCAAAGTGGTCAACGTCTGATACCTGCATCACTTCATGCCTTCCTCCTGCATGAAGCTGACATGCTGTGATATGACTGGCCCAACTCACTCACTGACTTACATTTGGAAGGGCAGCCTTTAACATAACATCTTCATTGCTGTCAAATGCAAAGAGTCAAAGTTTCATGTAATCAAGACATTATATGTACTACTCAAAAGGAGTTAAATAGAAAACACCAGATTCGTCCTTATGACTACAGTTATCTGTCATGGCATGACATTAACTATTGTCGTCAGGACCTGGAAAAAGTTCCAGTTATCCAGGGTTTGAGACAACTAGCAAAGTTAATTTTCGAAAACCAAATATGTTGTTACAGTTTGAGACAACCACGAATTTGACACATCCAAGTTCGACTGTATAGTAATTTGAAAAAAACATTGGGTTTTCTTTAACTTCTTGTGAGTAGTATATGTTAGTATTCAGTTTGTGTGTGTGCTAGCAGGAAACAATTGTTTTTTTTATGAAGACTGATTAACCAGAAATTTCCAAGACTGACCAGATTGTTTGGGCTTGTTATGGAATATACCTGTGAAGATCCAGGCTAGAAAAGGTCTTCAGCAACCCACGCTTGCCGTAAAAGGCGACTTTGCTTGTCATAAGAGGCGACTAACGGAATCAGGTGGTCAAGCTCGCTGACTTGGTTGATGCATGTCATCGTAACCCCACTGCGTAGATTGATGCTCATGATGTCAATCACTGGATTTTCTGGTCCAGAATCGATTATTTACAGACTGTCGTCATAGCTGGATTACTGCTGTGGCGTTAAGCAAAAAACAATAATGTTATGGAATAGCAGATGGCAGCAGTATATATATATTTCAAATATCTATGTTTCAATAGGGGTGCTCTTATGTACATGTAGAATAAAGTATCTGGTGCACAGAGTATTAGCAGTAACTATTGTTTTTATTATCGCCAAAAATCCTGATCTCATAAAAAAACCAGATGTAATTACTCTAATATAATACCTATCTCTGAAGATCTGGGTGGTGAACCCAGCTCAACCTTTGAGCGCCCAATCGAAGTGAAGGACACATGTAATCTTTAGCCAGTCTAATGCAAGTTTTCTGAATGTTTTTACCACCTCAGTTCAAAAAGCGACTCCATTTGGGGTGTAGATGCCATGGCTCTCGAAAACATAAGGGTGCTTCCTTTCTGAGATATGGAAATCAGGTGTATTGGTCTGAATGCTTCTCTCACTCATAGTGGAAACAGAAGCCTGGGGGACAGTGATGGGCTGATTAGAAACTGGAGGACTTGTCAGATCTTCCTGTAGAGGGGTATCATATAAAGTAAATAAGCTGATATTAATGAGATTGAAAAAAACAAGAAAGTGGAGACATTAGATATTCCAACCATCAGGGCTTAGCGGAATGCCCTGTCACTATCAACCATTGGTGTGTATGGTAGCAGCTGACTATGGCATGAAACGTCATTCACTCCTTCTCTGGACTTTGTAGGCCTTATTGCATTATCTGTTTTAATAAAAAAATTACACACAGTTAAATTTCAAGAACGTGTATCATATTGTGATTCAGAAAAGTATTGTTGGTAAGAAATAAAAAGGTTGAAAAAAGCACATGCTTCTTTGTTTCTCTCAATGACCAATCATAGAGTTACTTCCCTTCCTATATTCATGAACTTTGGGGTTTATTACTGAAACTTGTCAAAAGGCTTGATGGAAAGAATAAGACAGTTCTTAGATATAAATATTATTTTATGGATTTGTGAAATGTTGGGTCTGTTGATCCAAAACACAAGTAATAAGAAACAAACTACAGTGTCGCCATGTGTTGTGTTCGTGTTTCCTCATGATCTGTTAACCTGCAACAGAACCTAGATATGCTGCCAATATGCTGAGATAGTATTAGCCAGCATTTTACTACCAGACAATCACATTATTACACCTGGCACAGTGTTACAGCATTGCTGTTGTCAACACTGAGGATTCATTTACATATTAAGCCAGTATTAATTAATCATTAGATACCAGTGACCATTCTTCCTTGCAAAACATTCCATCTCACCTCAGTTTATTTGTATTTTGGTTATGCCAGAATCAGTTAGGAATAAGTGTACCCAAAATAACCTATTCAGTCATTTTTTTTAAGGAATAAATATTCTGTTACTTTTGAAGCAAAAATGGAAGATAATCAAATACATGTCATTTTATACTGGCCCTGCAGGATAAGAGGGTGGCAGCTGCATATCCCATTATGATGATGCTCTGTGATTATGTATATTTAACATGCCCAGATGAGAAATAGCCCTGTGTATGCCATTCTGGGTAAAAAATACCAGAAATGGGACGGTGGGAGAGCCTAGTGGTTGAAGCGTTTGCCTGGCACGCCAAAGATCCAGGTTCGATTCCCCACATTGGGTACACTGTGTGACGCCCATTTCTGGTGTACCCTGGCGTGATATTGCTAAAAGCGGCGTGAAACCATTTATTCAGTAAACATACAGCTGTGGTGCATGGCCCGTTCAACAAGGCGATCGTAGCGCAAAGTCAATGTTAAAATATGGGAGTTACGATAACTTTAGCGCTACGAAAGCTTTGTGGAATGAGCGCCTGAATTCTAACGGTGGGCCGTTGTACCTATTCAATTAATAAGTATCAACTTTGGACGAGTTTGAAGTATTATTCTGTTAAGCTTAATTGGAGTAAGCTGTGGATCACGTAGATGTCTGCCTAGTCACATACGAAAGTGGAGTTTTGTGTTTTTGTGTTGTTTTTTTGTAAACGGCAAGTCATAAATAAAATGCTAAACGAGCTCGCGTGTAATACCAATTTAATGAACGGGTGAATAGTTATGGTATCTGATTATAGATATATAGATCACGGAGTGGAGCTAATGCACACTCGATGACCCCAGCACCCTTTTGCTAAGCTGACGTCACATGGCATTGTTTCGCCGGTGGATCTTCCAACAAAATTCCATAAAATACGCCATATGGTATTGCGACGTGTTTGTAAACTTTGTGTTGCAGAGTGGATCATGGTTTGTTGGTTTGTTGTTTAACGCCGCACTCAGCAATATTCCAGCAGAGTGGATGAGCTACGATGACCTTAGCGATAGCTTTGTGGAACGGACTGCCTGAACCCACATGCACAAAACGATCTTAGGGCTAAGACGATTGTAACTCCCTTACTTTAACATAGGCTTACGACAGTCGTAGCTATAAGAGAGCTTTGTGGAACGGACCCCTGAATTCTAAACGTAGGCCGTTATATGCATGGTATTTAATTAATAGTGCCAACCTTTGATGTGTTTGAAGTATGATTCTGTCAAACGCAATAATAGGATTATGCCGTGGATCGCGAATAGATTCATAAACGACAAGGAAATTAAAAAATTGTTATAAGTGGCAAGTAATAAATAAAATACTTAACTCGCTCCCTTAGAATACCAATTTTATGAAACGAGTGAATAGTTCATTTATCTCGTTTAGTATTATATATTAACTCACTCACTCACTCACTTACTCACTCACTCACTAGAATACCAGAATCAGTCTATCATAGGTTTTATTCCAGCATATGACCCATGCTCATGGATTTCACAGAAGTTTAAAAAGGGTTATAGTATTTATATTGGAGACACACTGAAAGGTGGACAATACTTATCTTTTGTATATAGTGGTGAAATGAGTATTTTATATGTAGTCCTTGAATGTCCACATGTGTTCACAGCAAGCCCCGAAGAGAAAATAATCTCTTGCGACATGCATGCCTTTCTTAATTACATTTGCTTAAGATTTCATGAATTCAGAGAACATTTATAACTCTGAACCAACAAAAGCAAACAATGCTGTGTTTGTTATGTGTACACCAAAGTACACCCACCACAAATGATCCAGTTTATGTGGGCGGTACAGCAGCACCACCTTAACATTAAGATGGAAAGCACGGCCCCTTCATTATATTTCTCACCTCACATCACCTGAAGCTGCGAACGTTTGGGTCAAACGTTTTCTAACAGACGACTCTTGAACGTAAGTAGGCCTTTAATGATGCTGTCATGGTGGGAAATTATTAATATGAAGTTATGTAGCTTGTGTCCAAATAGATGTTTATATTTATGGATGTCTTCGGTGTCAATTTAAGAGTAATTCAAACGCAGGAAGCAAGTTTATGGAAACGCAAGTTTACTTTAGCTATCGGCCCATGTCACAGCAGTTGTACAGCAGCCATTATTGTAATTGAAATTAACATCAGCAGTTTTGTCCTTAATTGCATAGACTTAAAATATACATAGCCAAATGTCTTATGATACTAGATGTATCACTTGACATCAAGACACTGAATTTATGTAATGTGGGAAATACATAGTAGTTATTTGAAATGTACTGTTCGCGCAATTCGGCATACACCGTGCACACAAACAAGAAATGATACTCATCCTCAACGAAACCCCTTTTACAAACATTGCAAAACCTTTCATTTCTTGGAACATTTGCATATCTGCCAGTCTCAATTTTTAGTTCGTGTGAACTACATCTAAACTTTGCTTAACACGAAACTTATGGATAGAAATATACTTAATACATGCATAATACTCTTGACACACTATAGATTTTTACATAGAGTAATTGAATGTTTTTGCACCATGTGACAAGGATGCATGCCAGTCTTGCTGATAAATACATTTTGCTCTTATAAATTCTGATAAAAATGTTTGAATACTACCAATGCTTTGATAAGCCCAAACATAGCCAAATCCCATTTTAAATAATACATTTCTTGACTTTGAAGCCCAATTGCTTTTACCATGACTCATATCTAACAATATCATATTATAGTATGGCATGGATAGTAATTTATACCAATATTTTATACAATACTTGTTGGCATAGATATATTCAGGGTATCTCCCACATTCACCAGTACAACATGATTTGGATTTGACTTCACACCAAGAAAATATTTGCATGCCTGGACAAGAACGTCTTCAATAACTCTGCTAAGCTTACAATCTGAGTCAAGTTCTAGTCCCCATATTTCGGCACCATACAATAAAATTGGCATCACTTTACAATCTAAAACTTTGAAGAAAACATCATACGGCAATTGCCGCAAATGTCTAAGTTTCGACAGATATTTTAAGATACCAAATAATGCCTTTCTAGATAGCAACGAAGAATTCGTAAAGTGCATATTCCAGGTTAACTCACTAGAAAATATTATACCCAAATACTTGTAAGATGAAAGACATTCAATGCGGTTGCCCTCAAAATACCATTTCTCACGCCTAGAAAGGATACCAACTTTAGTTTTATCTAGATTTACGTTTAGGTCATATTGATGACTACACTGTTGTAACACGTTAATTCGTTTTTAACCCTTCAAAAGTGATTCAGTCTTCCAATATTTCCTTCTACACCCGCTGACGGTGGTACCTGAACAATGGATACAATGACAAACTATATAAATATAGAGTCAAAATGAAGCTAACATGCATGCAACTTAATTTATTAAAGGGTTAGTTTAGCGTGTCAGATGTACATCAAATGTAGTGATATTTTTCACATCATTTGGATTTTAGGGCGTTAAACATATCTTTAATGGGGGTATGTTAGACGATTGGTGATACTTGTGGTATATACAATCATCATTTTAAGAGAAAAGTTTCACATTTAAACATAATGTGAAAGACGCCTTCCATGCACAGAGTCTGAGTTGCATTATCTACGTAGCGTACCACAGCACACCATGCACGACAGACGGGGTGGTGGCGCAGTGATAGTATTGGCTGGCATCACCTAAAGTTGAATACAGACCTCATCCGTCTTGATTGTCTGCTCACAGAGGCTCGTTTTAGTGATGAGGTTTTGAGACAAGTCGTGGTTCGCTTTGCGCGTAGGATTTGACGTCAGATTGAACTGCAACAGGATCACGCCCTCCCACAGCTCGTTTGTCAATTATTAGTAATTGCTGGAATATTGCTAAAAGCGGCTTGAAACCAAACTTGAGTTTAACGCCGCTCTTAACAGTATTCCAGTCATATCACGGCGCGTCAGCTTAATGTGGGATGAAAGCCCGAAGTGATGCAGGTGATGCAGACGTTTACAACTTCGGTGAAACCAACGAGCATGAGTATGGTGCTGACAAACCTAGAATCGGAGCGAACCGTGATTCGAACCCACAATCATAGGTTTCCTAGCTGCGTGCCCAAGGGACGCAACTCGGACAGCGAATCGCGGCGCCTTAGACGACTGGGCCACCCGTGCTCCCGCTAGCCCGCTGATATACCATACCATAGTTTAACATGTTTATCCAAGTCAAACACAGTGTTATGACTCCGAGCATGTTCCATCTTTTTGCATGACGCGACCAGTGATCGAACCATGTATCCGGAAAGATGCTCCCTCTCAGAGGTTAAAGGGTTCGCTTCTTACGCCGAAGACCCGGGTCCGATTCCCGACATGGGTACAATGTGTGAAGCCCATTAGAAAACCGGAACATACAACATGCCAGGAAACTTAAAAGTTTTTCTGAATGCATATACTCTTCATGCATAAAACCGTTGCTATTCACATACAGTATATACCAAACTAGTCGAAGAAATCACGGATTAAACTTAACCGCTGTTAATAGATGTCAAATTTTGCTTCAAATGTGATTATTCACATTCATTAACACTGGTAATGTTGGCACCACAATTTATAACATACGACCCTTAATTCCGACTCTTCGTTTTTATTTAAGGCGGCAAGCAAACATGTGAATAGAATTACCTCCCTTCGTAATTAGCGCAGAGACTGCTGGGAGCGCACCTTGCAGTGAACGTCAAATGAGCTGTGAGCAGCATCTCTTGGACTAATTCCGTGAAACTGTGTCACTTGACATCGATGGAGTCAAATGTGACTTGAGGCTCTTTTCTGTCAATCAGGACCCTCTTTGATACAATAATATCGGTAAGTATTTGTCTGTAGTGTTGTTACACTCATAGTTTGTGAAAAGTGACAGCTCTCTCGGACAGGGTCGGCAAATCGAGGTTTCCACTGGTTTGGAAACAGATTGTTGCTGATCGATTTCAGGGAGGTTGCTTTAGATGACTATGACTTAGAAGCATGTGTGGATTTATAATCAAGTGCTATAATGAGTGTGGAGGCTTCCTGTGTTTCATTTGTACGTCCTGATTATCGTTGCCGATCAATCCAAATATGATAGGCTAATGGTAAAACTTGCTTCGGAGGCGACGGTTAACGGACATCAGTCCATTCTGCACTGTCAATTGCTGTAGGTAAGTTGATGTAGGTCTAAAAAGTGTTAGTATCATTTAGGGTTCATTATTGTTGAAGACTACATCATGTTTATGAGACATATTGACGCTGTTAGTAATGAACACATTAACATTTCCAGGAGAACTTACAGCATGCAGACAGACTATATCATGGTTCTTGTCAGTTTTATGTCGTTAGCACATGAGCAGCAATGGGTAGTCATGATCATTGGTTTTCACACACCTAAAATATCCATTCTTTCTTCACTTGTATAGTGATTAAACACCCAAATCCAGTGACCATGTCGCAGACTGTTTGTTTGTTTGTTGTTTAACGCTGCACTCAGCAATATTCCAGCTATATGATGGCGGTCTGTTAATAATCAAGTCTGGACCAGACAATCCAGTGACATCATGAGCATTGATCTAAGCAGTTGGGAAATGATGACATGCTTCAACCAAGTCAGCAAGCCCAACCACCCGATCCTGTTTGTCGCCTCTTACCACAAGCATAGTTGCCTTTTACAGTGTTGCAGACTTGCAGTAGTTTTAACCCCTGTTTATCCAGACAGTTGCCGTGGTAGCATGCAGTCCCTGTAATATAATCTGGATGAACAAATGTCCAGATTAGGAAATCATGGTTTGATTGTTCCCAGCAGTATTTGTTTGGAAGTTAGAGTTTCCAGATTTGCAGGGTCCAGTCTAACGAGGTTGCACTGTATTCAGATCATACAGAACTTATTTCTTATATCTAATGCCAAAGTGTTCACAGTTCAACACCCACTTATGTAAAAATATAATCAAATTCTGTTTAAGCTGGAGACTATTGAAGTATTCATGTTATAAGGAAGCTATTATCACTGAGCATGTTGGAGTAGGTGGAATTGAATAATACACTGAAATGCTGCTAAACTCTCCCACATCTTGACAAGTTCAAAAGGTCATCTCAAACCTTTCATATAGATCATGTTTCCATTCAACACATTCAGCGATCATAATCCATTTTCACCGGCTTCACTGAATTTTTATCAGTTGTATGTATTTATGGCAAAGGACCCTACCCTGAATTACGAATACTGACTGTGCAGGTTTCTCAAAACAATTATGAGAAGGCAATATTTATGGTTTGTAATCAGTCTTAGATATATAAGTGATAATTTTCTTTGGGTGATCAATATATTTTGCTGCCCCTGGTCTAATCTGTTAGGGGTGTGGGGGGCACAGGTTGCACAGTTGTCTAAGATGCCCAAGATGCCCCAATTCACTGTGCAGAGTTGCGTCCCTTGGGCATGCCAGAAACCTATGGTTGTGGGTTCAAATCCCGGTTTGCCCCGATTTTATGTTTCTAGGTTTGTCAGTACCATACCCTTGCTCGTGGGTTTCCTCAAAGTGGTAAATGTCTAAGTCCTACATCACTTGTGGCTTCCCTCCCACATTAAGCTGACACACCATGATATGACTGGAATACTGTTAAAAGCGGTGTTAAACACAACTCACTAATCTGTTAGGTACAAAGATTCTGATTAAAATGAGAAAATGACCTCTTATTTGAAATTTACTTATGTGCATATAAGCTGACATCAATGATACTTGTGACAAGAGGTAGCACTTTGTACATTATTCAGCGCAGTAGAAATCATGTAGGCTTACATGCTTGCATGTGATTGGGAAATATAGATCTGTAAACATGGTAGAGAAAATACAAGTACGCTGCATTGATTATATTATGCACTGTGTTATGTGATTGATTTAAAAATCAACATGCATATTTGTACGCAACCAACAAACAAATAAGTACTGGAAATATATTTTGTGTAATGTGAGCTAATCTGGAGCTGCTCCTATTGAACACTGGGTTACTGGAGGGGATAAGCTGACCGCAGCTCAGGGGAAATCAGCGTGTACAGTGATGCACAGTGAGTCAATGAGTGTACATACAACATCAGCTTTGTTTGTTTGTTGTTTAATGCTCCACTCAGCAATATTCCAGCTATATGATGGTGGTCAGTAAATAATCGATCCACGCAATTGGGATACGATGACATGCATCAACCAAGTCAGCGAGCCTGACCACCCGATCCCGTTAGTCGCCTCTTACAACCTGCATAGTCTCCTTTTACAGCAAGCATGGGTTGCTGAAGATCTATTCTACCCCGGATCTTCACAGGTCACAACATCAGCTGGTAGGGTTTCTTTAAAAGATCAATGCCTCCCTGTGAGGCAGCCTTAGAACTTTGTGTATTTTAAGACTTGTCCAGAGGAAAAGTGGTAACTTTCAAGTTTTGCTCGAACTGATCACATTTGCTGTCAGTTTTCATTTTGTAGCAAAATTAAAGCACTGAGAACTGGTTCAGACTTCTAGCCCTCAAATGCTGAGCACTTCCACCATTGGAGTTTTGACTTGTCCTCAGGCAATACAGCAGTCTCGGGCTGGAGGACTAGCATATATTTCCATGGTTGATGAGGTAGAAATAGTGGAAAGAATGGATTTGGGATGGATTCTTTCTCCCAGAACAATATGCTTCATGACACTGAACATCTTGTCTAGGTCCTTTGGGGATGTCCCCAGTAACCAGGTAACCATTGGTAACCTGTGCCTGTGTCGGGATGTAACTGAAATGGATTGTATGTGATTGGTGACTTTTCTGACTGCTTGTCAGTGTGCCAAGGGCAGAAATTATTGTTCATGCTGTCAGTCACTGGTTTGCCCGATCCACATTGGATTATTTATGGGCCATTGTGATACAGCTGGAATATCGCTGATTACAGCAAAAACACCCTATACCTCACTATCAAACACCAGTACATATCGGAGGAAACAGGTATGGCATAGACTGTGTATGCATTCCACGTGGCAGAAATTCTGCCATAGTCCATATAATTAGCCTCTGTGGCAGAATATGTGTAGGTTTTCTGATATGTATGTATGACAAGGCCCCTCTCCTGCTGAATTTCAAACACTGACCATGTGTTTTTTTCAAATGTTTTATGAGATGGCAACATTTAAGATTTGCAGTCAGTCTTAGATATACAAGGGGTGTTCATTAAAGATTTCCCCTTAACCACTTAGGGATTTCATATGTGGTTGAAATTTCACATGTGTAATAATACATGTATCTATGGGTAATGTCTGAATTTGCGGCACCGAACTATTAATCTTACCACTTTTACAGGTGTTATGATCGAGTAGGGTGTGACAATGGAGCCAGTAGAATACCGAGCAGTGATTAGGTTTTTATATTTGAAAGGTCGCAAACCAAAAGAAACTTTTGATGAAATGAAAGCAACTTATGGGGAAGATGCCCCATCATATGACGTTGTTAAACACTGGCATCGCCAGTTCAAGTGTGGTCGGACATCTGTGGAAACAGCTGCCATTCCTGGTCGCCCCCATTCAGCCATTGATGAGGACACTATCCATCAAGTGGAGACCGCCATTTTGGCAGACCGACGTATAACTGTTCGCCAGTTAGCACAAGATGTCAAGATCAGTGTAGGGTCTGTGGAAAAAATCATCCATGACAATTTGAACATGCATAAGGTGTCTGCACGATGGATTCCCAAGTTGCTCACACCTTTCCAAAAGCAGGAACGAGTCAATTGCTCAAAGGATCTTTTGGACATGTGCCAAAAAAACCATGCAAACTTTTTTGACAGACTTATCACACAGGATGAAACATGGGTCCATCACTATGATCCTGAGACTAAAGTTCAGTTGATGCAATGGAAGCATGTGGAGTCACCATCCCCAAAGAAGGCACGTGTCCAACCCTCTGCAGGCAAGGTCATGTTTTGGGACCAGCACAGAGTAGTGATGATGGATTTCTTGGCAAAGGGTACCACAATTACAGGAGCTTATTATGCTTCACTGCTGCCGAAATTGCGGGACGCTATCAAGCTTAAGAGGCGTGGCATGCTGACCAAGGGTGTCCGTCTCCTGCAAGACAATGCTCCAGTACACAACTTTCATGTTGCCCAGACAGAAGCGCGGTCCTGTGGCTATGAAATCCTTCCACATCCTCCTTACTCTCCTGACCTTGCACCATCTGACTTCCACCTCTTTCCAACCATGAAGTCATTTTTGAAGGGAAAACGTTTCACAGATGATGAAACACTGATTTCTGAAGTCAATCCCTGGTTTGAGACGCAAAATGAGGGCTTTTACAAGCGAGGTCTCCATAGTTGCATAAAATGATGGGAGAAGTGTGTAACTCTTGGTGGTTCCTATGTGGAGAAAGACTAATACCTATGCCAAGTTTCATCGGAAGTGGGTCAGGGGAAATCTTTAATGAACACCCCTCGTAGAAGTGTGTTGTATATCCTCCAGCACACACTGAAATATTTTCGTAAACGGTCACCCTCAATATTGACACATGCAGGGCACTAGATGCATTTTTGAGCCATAGATTATAAATCACATGTTATCATTCGCATTTGGTATTGAATACTATTGATAATTTTAAATTTTTTTGGTGTATCAATATATTTTGCTGCCCTTCGTCTAATCTGTTGGGTTTTCTTATGCTTCGGCATAAATAGTGTATGTGCATTTTGCATGGCAGAAATTCGGCCATGGTCCATATACTTACCCTTAGTGGCAGAATATGTGTAGGTCACTGATTTGTATTTGTATGTGTATTTGGAATCTTATAATAATAAGTTATTTCAATAGAGAAAATACAGTCTTGAAAA